GCCGCATGTACTTGATCAAGCCCCAGTCAGATTGAGAAATGGCATATTTGGCGCGTTTGGGATCCGATGTAGTGTAGAGTTGGATTGACTTCTTGAGCGCTAGAGTACGTTGGACCTATGATTCCAAAAAGTAAGCAAATCGTTAGTATCACAAGTATCACACTTGTTTCAACAATTTGAAGAAAACGAGAATTAAATACTTAGGGATTGAATTCGAGAATTGTATACTTACGACGTAATAAAAATAGTTCCATCGGGTTGTAGGACAGCTAAGAGGAAGGAGCTTGGGGTCTTGGACACTGTCTCGAATCGTAATATAGCATTCGAGCTCTAGAGGACTTTTGCGTATGTGAGTATCCAAGGCTCTGATACGGCTGACCACTGTCGTCTTCTTTTTGGGGTGAGACGCCGTTGCGCCGGGCTCGGTTTCGGTAAAAGTCTGCGTTAAAGGCTCCTGAGGGAAATCGATATCGAGATTATCGAAATCGTCCTGGGTCGGCCCGTGCGCGTCCATAGAGGCTTGATCAAGAGCCGAAAGGGATCCCTGAGTTGAAACCTGAGGGTCATCATTCGTCATCGGTAACTCGTCAGGCTCGAAGGTCTCTCGTGATTCGGCCAGACCCGAAGTCTCAAAAGCGGCTATATCAGCGTCTGTTAATTCTCCCATGCCCTCGAGGAAATCTTTGGCCACCAGGCTGATCACGTGGCACATGCAGCCATGGAACCGTGATTCAAATGGCCAATGAATACCTAGATGTTTGTATTGTTCTCCAAGAAGCCGTACCATGGACCGGTTTGACGAGGCGTTGTCTCCGGTCACTGAGAAGTGATTTCGTAAGGCTCCTACGTGTTCCAGTGCCTCCCAATACACACCTGCCAAGTTTTCGCCGGTGTGATTGCCAGAAAGCGTCTATCAAAAGGAAATACATATGTTAGTCTCATATACAATGAATCAGGAAAAAAAACGTACCTTGAAAGCCAGTAGACGGCGACAGAATAAACCTTGAGAGTTAAAAAAAAACCATTAATTGCTATGTAGGTGTGAGCAAAATCCGCCGAAGTCCAGCAGTCAGTCGCCGTCGAGATTGACCCCGGTACCCGGGCTATCTCGGCAATCAGCTTTCTCTCGAGATCCAAGAAGAGCGCGTCGGAGTCGGCCTTGATGGTCATTCGACCAGGAAAACGGAATCCAGGGCATATAGCGCGCAACGCCGCCTGCATCAAGTCGCCTTCGAAAATCGAGAAAGGGAGGTTCTTGCTGACGACCGCACCAACTAATAACGTCCTAAGCTGCTTGTGCCTTTCGGCTGCAAGCACTGGGTCCTCGTTAGGAGGAATACTTCCCGGCTGCCGATTCATCCAGGCGTCCGGCAAACCTGGGCACTTGCGCCGATGTTTGTGGAGGCCCGAATTGGGACGGCCGGTGATCTGAACATCCATCCTGTTCAAGAACAAGGTCAGCTGCGTTCGACTTGTCAATAACAAAAGGAATGATACGTACGGGCAGTGGAGGCACGAATACCATTTCGAATCGTCGCCGTTGGCCACGTCAGGCAATGCCTTGGGATCCTGAAAACGTTGGAAGTCAAATACAATGAGTCAGTTTGGGACTCATGAGATTGGATAAACAAATACGAGAGGACTTACATCGTAATACAGGTAAACATCAGAGCGGGTTTTCCCGGCGCTCGAGAGATGGTCGTCGCCGTCTTCCTCGTCTGGAATCGCCACACGGTGAGCACTGCTCTGCGAAAGCACAACCAAGCCATTGGATGGGCGGCTCGTCGTGGTCACACGGCTCGTAGACAAAGAGTTGACACGAGGAGTTGACACAGGCGCACCAAACCAACGAGCGTAAGTTGATTGGGTAGGAGTAGATTTAGGAGTAACTTTAGGCATGTTGGTTAAGAGATAAGCTAACGGACTGAGAGGAAATCGAAAGGAAATCGAAAGAAAAGATATCGAGGTATAGAACGAGAGGATTAGCAAGCAACTCGGTGACTGGGAGGACGGTGAAGATTGGAGCGTGAAGTATAGTCTCACCGAGGGTCAGAAGTCCACTCCAGGTCACGAATTCCCTTCATCTCGCAATTGACCCACGCCAGCGCTGGTAGCCACATGACAATGTGGCTACCTGATGATTGTTGAGCCATGACTACGTTATCGATCGAGATATCGTAAAACTAGATCCAAGGCGGCAGGTAATCCAATTGGTTGGTTACTTTGGGCTTGATAAAACAAATAGATCAATTCGAGATGATTGTGATTGGAACTTGAGGCTGAAGGGCTGAACGAGATTGGAAGAAATGGTGGAGGGAGGTTAATAAAACCTTTTGAATTAATGATCAATCGGAAGTGGGAATCTTGATTTGAAGGAGAATATCGGATATCGATGTTCGTGAGGCGGTGCCGCTTGTTTGGATGAGTTTGCTCATCCAAACAACGGGCGCGAGGGTTGATTAGAGCATGAGTGATGGGGCGGGAAGGTGGAGGTGGAAATGAGTACGAGGGCTTCGTCTGACACATACATGTGAGTACAGCTTTTGTAGTACTCACATGTATGTCCCGATCGAGAGTATGTACTCCGCCACGGGGCTAAATACATTACAGAGTGAGTGTGAGCTCGGTATGCTCATGCTCACACCTGCATCCCTGTCCTGATTCAACTTGTTGATTGACAGGTGTCGAGCCTCGGAGGGACTTAGTTAAGTTAGTTGTTCTGCGAAGATTTATGTACTGTTGTTCTCGAAAAGCTTGTCCAAGGTTTCCCGCCAAATTGCTCAAGTTTTGCGGGAAAACTCGGACAAGCTTTTCGAGAACGACAGTATCGACCCATTGCGCCTCCGTGAAGCTGGGAGTGGGGACTGCTGGGGATCTTCGCTTTGGCGTTTATCCTCGTTTATCCTTTTCCCATGTGCCGACATCAACTACAAAAGTGAAAGGAATTGTATACACCCAGGATTTTACCATGAGGTTCTGTTATTTCACACCTGATTTACAAGCTTCTTCCACATCCGAAGTCGAAGGATCGTGGGGAGACTGTCGAATGTGAATTTTTGGGCGATGAATTTCATGGCGCGCCTACAATGAACTGTTTATGATGATCGATGACTTGCAATGTCAATTTCTTCCTGTGTGTTTTAACTTTTTGGCTCTTCCCTCAGCGGTGTCTTCTCTGGAACTTGATTTTCATCAGTATCGTCAACCGAGAAAGGATACTCTTCAACTCAAGGACGCGAGCCTGCGATGACACCTGATGAACTCAAGCTTTTCGAATTTATCACCCATTTACCATCAGACTTGAACCCATATCTAGCGATAGCCAAAAAAATTAAAAGCGATGTTCATGTACGATTAAGATCAAACTTATATCGACAAGAGTTTTGCGATTATTGATTTAAATCATATGTTTCCTGATACACATCAAGTACAGCTTGCGGCTTTTCCTACTTGGGTTCTAGTATTGCAACGATGTGCCATTGGGGCGTTTACTGTGTGAGTCGTATACTCACAAGCATACCAATTGCAAGAATTCTAATCAAACTTGATGTTGTTTATTTTGATTTGTTTAGAATTTTCCTCCAATCTCTGTATCTCATCTATCTTCGTACACAAGCTAAAGCATTCACCTTTGGGAAAATTTCACCTGGTATGTTCATTGTTTGCTTGTCATCAAGAAGACAAAATTACACTGTGATTAATGTTGACTTGCTTCTTACCTTCCCTGTTGCGGTTGCAGTGGGAATATTTCGATTAGATATCCCCAGTAGCCTTGCGATTGCTTACGTGCTCTTTTCCCCACGTGAGTACATTCTTGAATGTTCTTGGAGCCAACCCTGAATCAAAAATTCAAATCTTGCCTTTTTGTACCATCTCGTTCATGTGACATGACCATGAAACTCTCGCGAGTTTTAGTTTTTGTTGCCGATCTGGTCTGGTCCGAGTTCGTGAACGATGGAAATAATGATATATCAGGAAAGATTATCCTTTCAGGCTCTAAATTCTTAGTAGCCCTCACTGTGTCATGGTAAGAGATGATAGGATTTAATTTTGAAGTCAATGGGCATCAACTAAGGTTTTCATACAATTTTCCTCATCACTTTCAATTGTTTGATTATCAGGAGTAAGTTTTTGATTCTTCATGACATTGATAAAACCCTGATCATCCGGTGATGTTGCTAAACTATTTGTTTTGGTTTTTTTCATTTGAATTTCCGTCAGTTTTTCTATGGACCTGTGCCTGTCAGTGCGTATCCATAATCTATGAGTGTCGTTATGGAGAAGAATATACATCTGGACGCCGTTTTATACACCCAGTCATAAGTCACTTCTTGAATATTATTCTGGTCGTGATGATCCTTCTTCCAATCCGTACGTGAATAATTTCCTTTTCTGATTGTTCGTGTAATTAGTCAAGTATAACGAGCTTTACTCAAATCTGACTCAAGAGTACTTACTTGAGATTTTTGGATCGGTATTTATCTGTTCATTTAGCTGGAGTTGTTTATTGTTTTTCCAAAGTCAATGGTGAATATGAAACAATCAAACATATCACCGATGATGTGATCAAAACTCTCCATCATCTGGCACCTCAGTACGACCCTAGTACATCCAGTCTCGAAACTCCATTGGTGTATGCAATGCCTGCCGCTCAAATCACGTCACACTTCGTGAGTATCATTTTTCTTTGATTGATAGCTTTGAATCCACCATATCGAGCTGAAACAGATGTCAAATATATGCACATTTTGGCCCTCGCATAGCACGTCATGGCTCATCTTACAAGGGTATCTATGATCATCTATATCTCGCTATTGATCTTTTTCGTCGCTGTAAGTAATCAATCCTGAAATCAGGAAAGGTTCACAAAACTTATCAAACACGGCCGTGGGGATATCCAAGCTCTATGTTCCTCTACTTGGGTTTTCCATAGTAACTCTTTATTTAGGTTGTACCCCCTGCAAGAAGCTTCAGACCGTACTTCAAGAGTTAGGCAATAATACACAGCATGAGATCCCAATTTTGAGTCGAAAGACACGCAGACAAAGAGCAAGATTAGTCTTTCACGCTTTAATGACTTTTTTCAGTACTCTGCTTCATATTCCTGTCATCGCGATTCTGGTGAGACTCGAAATCTTGATATGATTTTGTTCTCGAGAGATTGTGGATTCCGTTGGCTGAGGTGATTGGCCTTTTTCAACAAATCCTTAGCTCCGCTTCAAGGGTGACCACTATTTCCAAAATTTAGACTGGAGGATCATAGCATCAGTAGTCAGTTTTTTTCCTGATCTTCAATCATCTTCCCAATGAACTATTTCTGATACTTGAAATTCTTTTCATATAAACAGGGATTACACTTTCCCTTATCAATCACTGCGAATATGTGAGTCATGATCAATTCTCATACACAAGAAGATATCTTTATCTGACTCTCTTATACTCTAGATCTATCTTTGTTCTCATTCTCCATTCACACCAACAACTTGAGGAATGTCGTACACAAGAGGCTACCGTGAACACTACTTATGACATGCCACCTGATCACTTGACATGCGATTCTAAACCGAGTTACTTTGAAAAGCAGGCTACGACAACGGATGTAAGATTCTTTGAACAAAAAAGTTTTTTATTGATGTTCAATACAGATGTTAACACACATATTGGATCTTTTCTTTCTTATCTTTTTTGTAGTCAGGAAACGATTCATCAAATAATTCGAATTATCAACCAGACTTTTTATCAACAGAAGAAGACGGTCAATATCAAATTTCACAATCTCCAAGTTCAAAGAAAAAGGAAAACAAACTGTTTTTAATTTTGTCAAAAATATATAAATCCTAGACTCATGTTTTTACGATAAGATAACGTACAATGTTAAACGATTATTTACTACGGGAATTTTTTTTCCACCTCCTTTGGTCCTCATTACGAACAAATTAAGCTTTTTCTTCATTACTCAAAGTTTTTCATCTTCCTTATCTTTATCTCTTCACCTCATCCACTTACTAAGCTCAAGATGTTTTTGGATTGTACAATCATCAATTTTTAACGAATTCAGTACTATGATAAGTGAAGAGCTAAGATATGGACTGGTTCTGCAATTGTAAAGTAACGAAATGCAAATGACTCATCTAATTGTTCATTGTCAGCTCACATGGTGGGCGTTCTTTTTTGAACCACGACGTGCCTGATTTACTATGGCGTGTGGGCTTACATATGATCAACTTGGAGAATCTTCCAACAATGACATGGTATGGATGAATGCAGGGGTGACAGTAGCATTGGGGAGTTGAACTTGAAGGTTTGGGAGCCAGGTTAAAAAGTAGTTTCAAATCTTTGACACACAACGGTATCTTTCTGTTTTTCCATCAACAAACCCCATCAGTACACCCCAGGTTTTAGTTGGAGTCTCCAATAAATAGTGACGCCACAATGGACAATTGTAATGTACATCATGATATGAATGTCGAGACTGGGTTGTTACCTGTTGTTACTTCCACTCAACAAGCACTGTTCTCAAGCGGGACACCCTGGGCCTTTCTTTTAGAAATTCTGCTGTGCAAATTTTCCCGTTGGCAATAATGACATAAACTTCAGGTACATATAAAATCAAACTGGCACACAGAATTTGCGGCAGAATAGCAACAGGCATAGTTTGGCTGGCTTCTGAATGTTTTTGGTAACCTCGATTGTGCATATATGACCCAGAGATCTGAATGCTTTCAAACACCTTATGTGCATGCTGCTGGTTTCCAACTTTCACAACTCGAATCGAAATCTTGCTGCTGCATCTTGGATTTCTAGCCATCCAAAAATATGGGGATCGAGATACATGGGCAGAAAAAAAGATCATCCTGATAAGGGAAGTGTATAATGCTGACACTGGCAGCTGGAGGTACTCCCCATGAATCAACACATCTTCAAAAGATTTTTTTATTTGAGCTTGAGTTGAAATTGATACACTTGAGAATTTTCAGGTCAAGAAATAATCAATGAATGTAAGAATGTAAGTGAAGAACCCAAGCAAATGAAAAGGTAGCTTGGAATTCCTTAATCTATGTAGCCTTTTATGGCTTTTCATTCATTTTTTGACAAGTCTTCACTATCGTAGCCAAAGATTCAATGGCTCAAGACGAAAATGAAGAGCCTGAGAAGTTTTTTTCTTTTTCATTGTAATTGGTTAGACGATTATGATAACCTGTCTCTATCTGTCCCATTTAATGTTTGATATGAATAGGATATCAACTTGATGTATATAGCTATCAAGTTAGTTGTCTCAGTTTTTCACGCTCGTGAAATTCATCCAGATCATAGCGTTTCCCTCGAATTCCCCAGATCGCATAATTAGACTTAACAGCAACTCTCTATAGGAGTCAAAACATTCGATCCTTAATCAGTTTTCAAGTCTCAATCCAAACTAAAAAAGACGCCCATGTGAACATGATGGTTCAGCTTCTTACCGGATCAAATTCTGCCACTTCCCATCTTTGACTTGCAAATACATTCTCCCCAGGATGAAGTAACCATTCGAATTGATCTTTGATCCCCTCTACTTTCTCAATTGCTTCTACATCCCTCTCAACGTCAGCTGGACTGAAACCACCTGCGAACAAGGCACACTTGGTATCCAAGATCATCTTCACATCCTCGTGCCAATTTGTCTCGAGTTGAACGGTATCCGTCCTTAGCACAGATCCTGGTGCAGTAGGACCATCAGATGTGACTGGAACGGTTGGGAAACCAAACCCAGGAGAGAAAGCGAAGAAGACATCATTGTAAGGGTCAAAGGGACCCAGAACGTCGTGAACTTCTCTATAAGCTGCCTGAAGTGAATGTAATGTTAGAGTAGGTGATACAGGTAGAGTGAAAGCGGGGACACCGAATTTCTCTTGCTTAAATCCTCTAGATGTTGGAGTTTGTTCAGGTTGAACTCCAGGTGGTGAGATCTGTTGCTGTGGGAGAAGAACCTCGGGGCCGATGAAGAAAATCTGAAAAGAGACGTCGGGAGAAGGAAACAGGAATGGTAGTTGTGCCCATACAGCTGGAGGTAAAGAGGATTCGGCACGAGCACCAAGGACGAAGATACGGATCGGATTGAGGGTTCGGCCTAAAACTTGAGCTGTGTTGACTCCTAAAGGTGGATGCAACGACTGCCGCAAAGCTAAGGTACCCATCAAATCGCATATGATAACCAAATAGAGAAGTGAAGTAAGAAGACAAAAGTTTGAACGTTATGGAAATGCCTTTGGCTATAGAACAGATATATTACGTTGGTTGAAGGGTGCCGCGTACCGGTCAATGACCTATAACCTTCGGTGGTCAACCTCATATTCCGAGTTGAATAAGGACTGAACTCGTGTAAAACTGCTCCAATGCTGATCGGATAGGTGAGTAGTTTTGAAATATGACGTCTTGATCGATCTTCATCAATTGAACGAAATCCTCTGGTGTAAAGAAACAAATCCCAGTTTGAGAGGGTGATCGCCTCCTCGTAAGGTTGACAACCTGGAAGATCAAATTCATTCATAGGCCTTCCCGATCTCAGATCATGTTCGTCCTCGTTTGATTCCCGTAGACGAGGCCAGTACTTGGCTTTCTCTGGATCTGATTCCCATGCTTCTCGACTTGAATGAGTAGGATAGCCTGACTCAGGGCAATCGTATGCAACATGTAGATCTGGTCGAATCGGACACCAAGCTGAAGCTTTAATTCTTTCTGCCTTCTGTCTCATGGCAGGAACAGGAGAAGATGAAAGAGGATGAAAAAGATCATCGGGAGCTAAGAGTGGTGCTGGCTGAGAAGAATTTGTTGAACGACCTTGATTTTTACTTGTACGTTTGAAAAGGTTGGATAAACCGAAAATATTTCGATGTCGACATGAAGTTGAAAATGGATGAGCTGAAGCCAAAAGCCTTGATGGAAGTATCGAGTTACTGAGCATGTTATCTTTGAGTTGATGTCTCAAAGGGTTGGCTCAGCAGGAAAAGCTTGAGCCTGAAGAAATTCTTGAACCCCGATTTGGCTAAAGACGTCACGGATAAAAGCCCCGATCATAAAACCCATAATCCACTCTTGGTCAATGACAACAACCACTCCCCACCACTCCATCATGATCATACGTGGTACATATGTACATACATACTCTGTCTAAGTTGACAGCACCACACCACCAACCTTGTCTGCCACCCAACCTGGATTTATTCATGTTGTAAGTAGGAGTATTGGTCACCTTGTTGCCAAAAGCAGTGCTGCCCCACTTGCCGTCACTCAAGCCTAAAGAATCTTATGTTTTTTCTCTCAAGCCCTCTTGTCTATAAGTTTTATGAATCTGTAAAATCAGTTGCTTCCTTTCATGAAGTAAGTCAGTGCAGTTTCAAAAAAAAATGGAATTCCTTGATTTGCGGATTCTGGATTTTTATGCTACAAAGGTACTGTAATTGACCTTCAGCAATATTGAGGTGACCTGAGCTCAAAAGTTTGCTTGATAATTATGTATCAACAATATTACTTTGTTTATTCTTAAGAGCGGTTTCTGGATTGGGAGTTGGACCTTGTAGTTCCATATACAACCAAATCCACACAATCTGACCAATACTGTTACCATCAAGAGTTACATACTTGGGAGAGACCTTTCTTTAGAGCATCCCCAGCTGTGTAATGTGAACTGTGTTGTACAGGAAGTTGGGGCAAAATCATCCACAGCCAATGTCTTCACTTTTAACATATCTAAGGGATTTCCCTCCATGCAAGCCAAAATAGAAGAAATTTGTTATATTTCAGCTTGCTCCCTAAATTCATCTGTACCTTGCTTGCCCCATAATCTTGATTGATATGATCAAACTTGGCACCAAACAAACACGGATTGATCAAACTGTGTACCTCAAATACCTCTCCATGCAAACACTTTTTATGGCAGGGATCTAGGGAATGGCTGGGGTTGCTCTTAGGCCTGTGACCCAGACCCAGGCCTGACCAGCCAACTCTACCCAACAATATTTTCAAAGTTGAAAGTTGACGCCCTGTCACACTGAAACACACATGTGGCTCAGGTGCCTGTTATTTTTTTTCTCAATGAACAGACAAAAACCAATTTTATTCTTTCAACATAGGTTCTGTATACAAAATTAAATAAGTCACTTGGAGCTGTATTGGCCGGCTCAAACCAGTACAGTTTCAAGGGACTTGGATAAGTTTGTTGTGTTCCATATAACCTTTAAATACATCTTGATAGACATATAATGGCAATATGTGTCAAAATCATTGCATTTCACCACACATTTGCACCTATAAAGGACCAAGGTGTGCTCTGGCTGGCCCTGAGTGATTTTTGATTCCCTCAGGTCTACCCAAGGCTAGATTTGGCCCCATGGCTGGCCCTGATCCATCAGGGCCAGGTCAAAGCCCTACCTTTCTGAAGCTCTGGATCTATTTTTAAAGAGGTTTCAAGGTTGTAATCACATATCAAACATACTTTGTAGATCCCTGTGTTGTAGGTACATTCATACAAATTGCACCACTCAATCATTGGGCCTGGGTATGTGAGGAAAAGGGAGTGTGGCTTCCAAAATTTGAAACCAGGTTTACACTTTGGCAACCATCCATGGAGATGATATCCCAATGAGCCAACTTGAAGCCCCAAATATGACACCCGGTTGATCTAACTTGACACAAGTCATGTTGCGCCAAGATTCACGGTAACCCAAAGCATTGGAAAGGCAAAAGATTTGGATGAAATTCACCCTCCTGCCTTCAAGTTTACTTTTATCATGGTTCTGGTCCTGGAATGGGCTTTTATATTCTGTACTTTCATTCAATTAGGGAAAACAGAAAACAACCTACAAGGAATCCAGATGGGAAAAAAGAGGAAACAAGTAAGCAACTTGTTGAAAGCTATCAGGATTGTTGGTTTGGACTCTCTCAAGGGTTCCTGATTGGCACTTAAACAGTCCCAAGATGTCCCAATGTAAGTTGATTTGAGTACCATCAAAACAACATGGTCATGAGTCAATGTCAAGATCCTGAAGTCATGGCAAACAAGATGGTGAAACAGCACCTAACAAAATACAGTGATTGCTTGCACAAGGTATCATGTTTGATGGAATGGCCAGGGGGGGACTAATCTGCAAAAATATTGTCTCATGCAGTGGACTTGTTAATACACTAGTTGTTTGATTCACTTGGCTGGTCTGATCCATTCAAAATGACATTAATAACATGTGACAATCCATGGAAATGTGTTCTTTGAAAAGATGCACCACTCCTAGGAATAGTATAAAGTATAAAAATGTAAAGAGATCAAAAAAATATATTCAAAAATGAAACCTCAGATTGGATCAGACCTTGCTTCTAATCTTCTTGATCTTCATCATCCCTCTCAATTTGACCATCTAAAGCAAGTACTTCCCTTCTGATATAAGTCAAAAGAGAATGATTCAAACCATCATATCTCATATCACTGAAAAATTTGAATTCATTGGGAAAAACATCAGTCAGCACTCCATTCTCCTTACACTTCCAAAAAAAACTTGAAGATAGAGTAATAAGAGACTCAACTACCACCAATTGCAAGCCACAACTAAACCTGTTGGAGTAGTTCTATGTTGTTGAACATGATGAAACCAAAGTGAAGGAAGATACAAAAGATCACCTTCCATTAAAGTAATAGTCATAGCTCTAGCAAATTGAAATCTAGGAAATTTTTCAATATTTGGATTCAGTGGATCTATTGGTATCCATGGTATTAAAGTTTGATCTTCATTTGGTTTTATTGTCCATTGATTTGTTTCAGAATCTTTGATATATCTTCCTGATTTGTATCTTGTTTCATGCATGCAATAGAACTCAGTGGGCGGGAAGATTGTGAAAGTTTTCGAACCTTCAAGTACTAAATAAAAATTCTCGTATGGGTCTTGAGATTTTTTTTCAAGATTCAAAAGTTTCAAAGAGAGAGAGAGTATGTCAGATTTCTTTTGGGGGATTCGGGTACGGAGAGATGACTTGGATCTGATGCGTTGCCAAAGTGATGTGATCTTACCTTTGTGCAGGGATGTAATTGATCTATCATCTCCAATCCAAATATTAACCGCATCAGGTTTGACCCCGCCACCTACAAACACATCAGTTCTCAGTAAAACTTCAAATCGGATCCAACAACAAAAGATAACTCACCTATAGCTGCACTGGCTATCGGAACCTCTAGACCTATATCTGGAATTAAGGCGTTGAATTCTTTATGTAAGTTATTATCTTGAGATTGAAGATAAATTACATCTCTCTGTTCTGTTTCGGTTGGGCTTATTGGTCGAAGTTCATTTATTAAACATTCTAACGTCATCTTTTCATCTGATAAACAAAAGATAATCAGTCTCTTCGATAATCTTGAGCTCTAATCTAGAATTTCATTATTTACGGCTAGCTTACAGTTCGGTTCCACAAAGTATTCTTCATTGACTATCGAATCCGAATTTCTATCCCACAAAATAAACGAGTCCAATATTGATCAGAATGAAAGTTTCGAAAGAGATTTGATTGGACTTCGGAATAGAAGATGAATGATTGAAGTTCTGACCCACTAGGTGTCCTTGCTACTGTTAATAATTTCTCATTTCCTAATCGATCGATCAAAAGTTTTTCTGACCAAGTAGAACCAATGGTTGAGATATGATGATGATTAGACTGCGATTGTTTTTGATAATAAGATCTGATTACTAATGGTCTATTTGAATGAATAAAACTTGAGAATTCTGATTCAGTTGGCATTTCTTTATCGAATTCTTCAACGTCTGAATTATTCATTGCTTGAACAAAATCCAACCAGGTTGATATCAGACGTCATATTATGATAGGTTTGATGAGGATGCGATGTACCTTGATAGCTTTTGACTAGTTTTTGTAGACTGAGTTCTGAACGGTTGCTCATCTTGATATCTCGAATCGATTTTCCAAAAATGTTGGTAAGATAACCTCACCTGGGTGCTGGATGCAGTTGTACCAGGTTCAACTAGCTAGGTTCAACCTTCTGCGGCAAAATGGCCTGCCTCACCTGTCACCACCGGGGCCTGCCACTTTGCAAAGCCCTCAGCAGAACTTTGGACAAAACCACCGTACTGCCACATCACAACTTCATGTTACTTCGTTTCTCAAGTGAAGACATCCAAGAATGCCCCCCTGAGAAGCAGGACAATAGAGTCTGCACTCGTCAGACTCAAACCCGCCTCACCCGCGGATGATGACTCTTCCTCTTCTTTACTTTTGCCGATTCTACGCTTCCTGCTGTGTCTCAAAACTAACTTGAATGTTTCGTATCAACACCAACTTTTGTACAACATTAATGATTCAGAATTGACTGAAGAGAATATCTTTGTAAGACTTGTTGTTCGAAACCGGAACGATATAACTTTGGGTACATACAAACATGGCAATGTCTGAATCTAGATGAGAAAGACTAAATGATGAATTTAGAAACACAAAGTGATGTAAGATGACTGCTTACTGACTTTTTCTTTAGTTTCTTTTCTCTTTCGCAAGACTCCTCCAAAAAGGTTTGGGTTAGTCATGGGGCGTCAAGCATACTAGAAGAATCGGGGTAAATGTTTTTCGCAATCCGATTGAATGAGAAGATATGTTGGTTCTCAGCATCTAAAACAACTTAATCACAAAGTATTTACCTTATCGTCCGATCTCACGCAACCCGTTTCATTCAGATAGTGCAGGATGAGGGTAAGCGCTGAGCTATAGGTTCGTGTCTATGAATGACCGCGTCACAGATCTTTGCGGTGCGTAAGATCCTTGCAATATCGCCTACACAGTCCTGTCAGCGATGAAGGGTATAAGAGGACGGAATGTGCAGGTCTTTCTAATTCCCCCGAGGTCATCTAATCAGCTAGTTTGTGTCCCGATTTTTTCTCCTTGACTCGAATACGAATCACTTTTATTGTCATGAAGGTTTTGGTTACTGGTATAGTACGTACACATTTGAACTGATTTCCATCGAAGTTCTTATCTCGTGGTAAGATATCACCATGGTATGGCTCGTGCCAGCATGGAAATAACTTCACGACAGACTTACTGATCGGTGATATTTACGTGCAGACTGGATTTGTTGGATCGCATATAGCCAAAGGTTTCTTAGACCTCAATTGGGAGGTCGTAGGAACCGTACGTTCAGCAACGAAGGGAGAGACTCTTCTGAAACAACCTACTTTCTCTGGTGCTGCTCAAGCTCAACAATTACGCTACATAGTTGTTGATGATCTGGCCACTTACGACTTTTCTACGAGATTGCAAGATGTCGATGCAATCGCCCACACCGCTAGTCCATGTCACTTCACTGGTAAAAGCCTCGATGAATATAGTAAGGATCTATTCCTCATCAACTTCTTTCCTGTCATCAAAACTGATGTGTATCAGAACGAAAATACTGCATATAAGATTCAAACTGAAGCTCAATACTTTTACCTCACTAGTCACCCCGGCCGTCAAAGGCACATCAAATTTACTTATGGCCGCAAGAGATTCACCTACAGTAAAAGCCGTTGCCGTCACCTCTTCATTTGGAGCTGTCTTGGACTTTCGTAAACCTGCACTCGAACAAAGTGGAAAAACTTACACGGAGGATGATTGGTTTACGGGTACTTATGAGGAAGCAGCGGCTCAGAATCGAGCAGGCTTCTGGTATGCTACTTCAAAAACTTTAGCCGAAAGAGAAGGTAGATTTCAATCTTGTAGATGTCGTCGGATTTTGAAATCGATGGAATGAAAAAACACTCATGAATTGAATTGAACTCTTTCAGCATGGAGGATCAAAGACCTCGAAGGAACAAAATGGAGTCTTGCCACGATCTGTCCGCCTTCAATTTACGGCCCGGTAGTAAGTTCTGTCACCACTCTTGTTGAATAGGAGTAATCTCTGATATGGAATCCTCTTATACAAATTTGTTGATAGATCCACACTTCAAACCCTGACGACATGAATGTCACTTCCCGTAGACTTTATAACATTTTCTTTGGAAATATCAAAGATGTCATCAAGACAGATTTCCCAGCATTTATAGATGTTCGAGATGTGGCGGACGCTCATATAAAAGCTATACTTCAAAGAACCACAGATAGATTTTTGACCTCTGCCGCATTATATGATTTTCAAAAGGTGTCTGATTTTGTACATGAGAAATTTGGTGAAGAAGCAAAACGAGCTCCAATAGGTCAACCTCATCATTATTTAAAACCTCAACAAGTTTATTTGTTGGATTCTTCAAAGGTTGTTAATGTCTTGGGTTTATCGATGAGATCCTTTAAAGAAACTATTAGTGATACTTTTAAGAATTACTTACAAATTAATAAAGATTTGACATCAAGTAGATCTTGAGAATGTTTGGTAATTGGATTTTTGAGTTTGTTTCCTCTTTGTTAATTTCACAATCTTGTTATTTTCTTGAAATTAATATGCGTAATTGTGTTGGTGACTGGTAGAATGTTATACTCCTGGAAGATGATTCAATGACTTTGTAAGATCTGTCTCACATTTGATTACCTCACAATTCATAATGATTGTTTATACTGAAGCATATGTGGTCAATAATTTCAATCAAATAGCTTTTGAATCTACTTATCTTTGTTGGCTGTTCAACACCCTCACTGCCAGCATAGATGCCTCGGGTTGAGAAATCCGAGGCATCATCGGAGGCAAATCCTCAGACAGACCTTGTCCGAGGTTTTTGCCCAAGGTATTTTTTTGCCCTGAGAATTACCTCGGATCAAAACCTTGGGAAGCTTCTGTCTGAGGTTTTGCATCCGAGGATACCTTGGATTTTGTAATCCGAGGTAAATATGTTGGTGGTGCCTCAAGCTTCCCTTTATTGTTCAATTATGTTAAGAAACTTCCTAATAATTCTTATGATTTGAGTATCAAAACCCGCCCAAATCAAAGCGCTAAACCACTGTAGAATTATTTGCGTCCAAAGATGAAAGTTGGAAATTCTAATATTGAATGGAATTTAATAAACTTTCTAGATTCCTACAAAGACTTAGATCCCAAGAACCGGATTAATTCTGTCCCGAGCCGCAAGATCATGTTTCTCCACTTGATTAGAAAATCACTCTTGCCAACATAATGTAGCATTCAATTTACCTCTCATACTGGAACCCTAGACTTTGTAGATACCAATTCTTGTGAACTGAGTTGCTCTTGTCCACACTCTTTCACAACATTATTTTGCCTTACAACACAGTTTTCCAATGCTTTTCAAAACCATAGTTTTTCCCCTGTTCTGCTTCCAAGAAAAATCTGCTACGTTGTGTAATGCTGTGAGCTAGACGTGTCCAGCCAATCCTGTGCTTCCTCTCATTCTGCATGTGCTGAGACTGGTGTACGTAATCGTTTTGCATTACTGCACACTACAAAAGATATAATATTTTCCACACAGAGAGGAAAAGTACTGAGAGTCAGACACCAGCAAGAGAGCAAAAAATCCAAAAAAATATTCATCTTTTTGCTAACACTACATGCAAAGTGCTCACAACCCAAGGGGGGGTCCTGCAACAGCATGGGGTCAGTGCAGGGTCAGTGCAACCCCACACCCACGGTGTGACCTCTTTGCATGTAGTGTAAGTCTGGGAGCTCCATCCAGAGTATTTTCTTGTATTTTACAAACATATATTGTTCAATGTACTAACAATAAAGGTTGAAAATCATCAAAGAACTACATTTATCAATACCTCCAATATTAAGTGATTTTGAAGGGCTCAGCGCACATGTAGGTATGAGTCATTCACGGAGATGCAATATTGTCGTAAGTAAGATTATTGCAGATGAGTGAAATGTAGAAAGGTTTGAAATCAATCATCACAAGCAGAAGCAAAACACACACACATAGATAGAAAATAAATGAGATAAGAGAGAGAAAACAGAGACTAGACTGATTAGCTTACCTATGAGTCATTCACAGAGATGCAATATTGTTGTAAGTAAGATTATTGCAGATGAGGGAAATGTAGAAAGGTTTGAAATCAATGATGTTCAAAACCTATCAACTCATAGGTGGCTTGTAAAGGAAAATCAGCATATGTACGCAGCTAAGAGTTAAGCTAAGGCTAGAATAGTGAGCACACACAACAACATATCAAATGACAAAAGAGACAATCAAACATGATTGCGCATAACAACAATAGAGAAAACATTAAGAGAGAAACATTCACACCAAGAGAGAAAACTCATGAAACACTATTCGCTGCCAATCATCAACAGTAGGTCCATGTGCTGAATAAAACCCAGACTTACAATAACTTAACAACTTGACTTTGCCCCTTTTCTCAAGTAGAGGGGTGTTTAAAGTTTCATGAGTGTGTGTAGAAGCCTTATGAGAAGATCTTCCAAGTTTATTGCAAGGTTTCATGGCACTCGGAGCCCTTAAAAAGGGATTTCCATTGAATTCTTATTTGTAATCTACCCTGGCTATTTATTCTTATTTTGTTTTATATTTCTGAGTTTTGATTTCAATTCAATGTCTTTTGATTTTATCACAATACTAAATGCCTTTACAAAGAGGGCTACTTCAGACATAAGACCATGAACAATATGTAATGTATAACAGGTGTGATATTTCACATCACGTGTGTGGGGGAGGGAGAGAAGACTAATTTCCTATTACGTACTGTGTTGTGAGAAAGGAAAAGGACAAGTTGGAGATCTTTTGATTTTGTTGAGTGGTAATAGAGTTGTATTTGATATTTACAATCTCTTACTTCTCAAAAATTGTTGGGGGTATTTGCCTATTAGCCGTGTTCAAACCTGACCCGGTTTTAAAAAACCCAGTTGACCTGGTGGACTTTTTGGCTGGAAGCTGTCAAGAACTGTCAATGGATACACAAAGTTACCACCAGAAAACCAACTGGGTAACCGGGTTTTTGTGTCAATCGGGTTAGGTTTGAACGCGACTATTCTTCCTTTGTACCAAAATCTTTGTCTTTACCAAGTGTTTTGTATCACCACACATCCCATAATTTCATGGAACAGGTGCTGTTGTCCCTTTGGGCACCTGTAACATTCAAGCAAAAGTGCTTAAAAATCTTGCTGGTCTCAGGCCAAAGTCAGGGCCCCAAGCCCCTGTTTGAGAGCAGACATGGCCGTGTTGGACAAGGGCTTCATTTAAGGAGCAGACGTGGCCACATTGGAAGAGGGGCTTAGCTAACCTCAAGTTTGAAGAAACTGTAAGTTTTGTTGTAGCAACATTTGAAAGTAAATATGAAACTGTTGGATTGTTGAATTGTCTTTACACATATGATCATGTGTAGACCATGATGTTTGAAACTTTAAAAAAAAGGTAGTGATAAGCAAAATACAAACTGCAAACATGACATTTGAAAATTGTGGGGAAGGCATGATGCAGAGTTCATTGATTTTGAAACACACTTTTGAGCCAGACCTTGCAAAACCCAGCATAGGAAGGCATTGACTTTTGTCAGTTTGAGATCTTTATACTTCCCCAAAAACATGGGCCAGATATGAAGTCTTTCCCTGGCGCAGCAATAATTGTGAAACACAACAAAGTTTGTCCAAATGTTGATAAGCTGAATGAAATGACTGATGTTAATCATCACAGATGGCTGGTCATACCTGTTCATCATCATATTGTTTTTTCTTTGAGAGTGGGATCTTGTTGATTTTGAAACTTTGTTGAGTTTAGAGTTTCTAGCCCTTCAATCGGACACAGCCTGATTCATTTACAGATCAAGATGAGAGAGGTCGCCCATCTTGTGGGGCATGCGCACCCACGACGGGGTCACAGCCTCACAGGTATTTGTTCATGTATAGTCAAACCGGAAAAGCTTGTCACAAATTCCCCGCCAAATTGCTCGAGTTTTGCGGGCAAAATCGGTCAAGCTTTTCCGATTTGACTGTACTTATATTCATTCTTGCAACAGGTTACTGTCGTTCTCGAAAAGCTTGTCCCAAGTTCTGTCAACCCAGATACATGGTGATAAAGCTGCAGCAGACGAACGGAAATGTCCCAGCTGTCTTCTTCCCTTCTTATTCAACATCAATCTAGAATTTTCATCCAAAGAGCATTCTTGGATAAAAATTTATTGCCATGAAGATCCTAATTACTGGCATAGTAAGTGAAATTTCGACAAAATTTGGTGACTACATAAAACCTCCTGATGAGTAGTATTTACGTGCAGAGTGGATTTGTCGGATCGCACATAGCCAAAGGCTTCCTAGACCTTAACACGGCGAACGTTAAATACGAAGTCGTGGGAACTGTTCGTTCGGCCAAGAAGGGGGAAGCTCTGCTAACGCAACCTGCTTTCCTTCATGCCGCTCAAGCACAAACCTTACGCTACATAGTTGTCAAAGATATCTCCGAGTACGACTTCTCTGAAGATTTGAAAGATATCGATGCAATTGCCCATACCGCTAGTCCATGTCACTATGAGGGACAAAGCTTTGATGATTATTGTGAGGGTTAAATCTCTACTTTCTTTGCGCTGGATGATCAAGACCCGCTTACACTTCAGACGAAATCGATATAAAGAGGATGAACCCTGACTTAAACATTGATCCCTTGTCCAATCAGTCATGCCAGCAGTCCAAGGTACAAGAAATCTACTGATGGCAGCACAAAAATCACCTACAGTGAAGGCTGTTGCCATGACTTCTTCCATTGGAGCTGTCCTCGATTCCCGTGTACCGGCACTCGAGCAGGCTGGGAAAGTCTACACTGAAGCTGACTGGTTTTCGGTTAAATATGAAGACGCAGCGTCTCAAGCAAAAATAGGCTTATGGTATGCAGCCTCAAAGGCTTTTGCAGAAGAAGAAGGTAAAATCAAATCATGTAGACATTCTCCAAGTCGTTAAATGATATATTGAGCTATGACGTCTGATATCACTATCTTTCATACTCTTTTCTAGCTTGGAAGATACACAAACTTGGGGGCAACTCATGGAGTCTGGCCACTATATGTCCCCCTTCGATATACGGACCAGTTGTAAGTGACATTAATGTGTCTATCTGATTAGCAAGTTGTCTGATAATCGATCGCCGCAAACGAGCTATCAATAGATCAACACTTCAAACCCGGAAGAGATGAGCATTACCGCACGTTGGCTATATGATCTTTTTTGTGGTCAAACAAAAGAAGTAATGGAGACAAGATTTCCAGTCTGGGTGGATGTTCGCGATGTTGCAGAAGCTCACATCAAAGCCATTCTTCAAAAAAATAACAATAGATTCATAGTATCTGCTGGATTATATGATTTTCAAAAGGTGGCAGATTTTATCCATAAGGAGTTTCCTGATGATGCACTACATCAAGTTCCAAAAGGTCAACCTGGAAATCACTTGAAACCTGATCAGGTCTATGTTCTTGACTCATCAAAAGTCAAGGCAGAATTGGATGTCTCCTTCAGATCTTTTGAGGAAACTTTTGGTGATACCTTTGAAAATTGTTTGGAAATTAAAAAGCTTGACACAACCTCAAGTTAAAGTCAAAGAGTTTGACAAGGCACAGTTGTATTGAATCATTCTTTTTTTCTGTGGTTTTGATATATTTTCAGAAAGCATGGTGTGGATTTTGAAATGGCTATAGCCTTGAAAGCCAAGTCTGGATTGTGTTGATGTCTGATCATGATGATATGCTCTTGATTGAATATGGTTCAAGTCTGAGTTTCAATTCCACACAACAGTTCATTAATTGCATCTTCCCACCAAAGGCACGACGTGTTAGGCAGCTTCTATCGTAGCTAGGTGGGTAAGAAGAGACTAGGTGCACATGTAACATTACACACACGGCAAAGTCGGGTGGGACAAGATACAGAGCGCAAGGAGGGAAAATTTTCCACTCCAGCTACTGTGATCTTTTCCTGCACCTAAGTCGTAGATTGGAGCATTATAGCTCTACAAGTTGCTCATAGTTATATAGACTAATTTCTTTTTTGACCCACCCACCAATCCCTAGGCTAGGACTTTAATTCTCAGGTACCTTCTCAGGCACTTTACGCTGTCTAGAGCACGGAACGGTCCGTGGTTCAGACCACACAGGGCCTCAGATGTAGGCCCCGGAGTGGCAAACCCAGGACTTCCCCGGGCTCGAGACCCCCCCCCACACTATTCTCAACTTAGGTCAGACTAAGTTAGGATGGCATAAGGCTGAGAACCTACATATAGATAGATAGACATGTAATCTAGATATATGCAGAATAAAAAGAACTTGTAATCCTAGATCTTACCCTTAGAGCAGAGATAGATGTGTACTTTTAGTGAAGGATTTCAAGCCATCCCAGTATTGTTGCCTTGTCATTTCTTCCTTGAGATCTTTGTTCACTGACCAGGTTTAGCAAATGCCTATGGTGATATTTACCTGACAGAACTGTCAGGTGAATCAGCTAATATGATAAAGATGATGACAAGCCACAATCTGAATCATCTCATGAGAAAGAGACTGTGGATAGATGTGAGGTATATGTAAATAGGAACGACAAGCAAATGAGAAAGAATGTCTTTTTAGTATGCCAAAACTCATTTTATTTAGGACATCACAGCAACACAACCTCTTCATCATATATATCCTTGCAGTGCTGCAGGTATCACCATGTCAGTCTTTTTCTGAGACTAACATGCTCTGAGACTTTCCTGAGACTAACAAAAAAGTACAAAGGATGGTCCCTCTTTGTACACTGGGCATACAGGCTGGTGGCAACTAGATATAGATATGTATGAAGGCAACAGAACTCTGGAGGACTGCATGGAGTTGGATATGGTGGACATGGATCTGAGTGGATATCAATACACATGTGTACAGGGCTGAGAAGGTCTCCCTCTTTTGGAAGAAGGTCAGTAGAGGCTGAGCTGTCCATACTAATTAGAAACACACCCAATTATGTAAACAACTTTCCCTGTATGCAAGCCTAATCATGAAGACTTACTGTTGGACTGGATCCAAAACACAATACATGGCTGTTGATTGTCTGCAAGCTGGATGAATCAGCATTGATCAAGGGTCATTGATCAATAGTTACATTGCGAGTGCAAGATCAGGATGGAGGTGTGGCTTTTGACAAAAAGGTGTGTGTTAAGCTCAGCCTCTCACAGTGCAAAAATGAAAAAATGATGAAACAGTCCAAAAATTGCATTTTAACTAGGCCATTGCTATTTGCCAGAACAAGAGGCAATCAGGACAACCCTGACAGTCAGGCCTTTCAGTGACCTGTCCCTCACCCGTGAAAGCCAGCACAAATCTTTCACCCTTCCTTTCCGCCACATCAAATCCCCAATGAAAGCTTGGTGAGACCTTAAAAGCTAAAATCAAACAATTGTGATTCAACAAATAAGGTCAGAGTGTTCTGCATGCAACATTGAAAGAGGAATGTGAAAACACACTGAAGTCCCGCACCCTCTTTCTATCAAACACACCTGGGACATCAGAGACAAAAACAGCTATTGCCACACACCGCACTTTTGTGATTGGAACAACGTCAAGCTTATCAAGAATTGTAGTATGACCAGTGCCAGTGGCATGAGGGAGTCAAAGCTGTCCGTTTTGAGAAACTACCCCTTCACGTTCAGTTATCTATCCTTGGGGTTGAACAGGGCATCATGCTAATTGCATCCGGAGGCCTCTGTCCCCAAGACCTATCCACTGTGCTTTCTTATTGTGATAGGCTTACCACACTCAATCTCAAGTTTTTGGACTATTGGAGAGATCCTCTTTCAGAGAAAACACATAACTTAATTCACAATCTTGCCTCCTTGTTTCCCAAACTTAATATCTTCAACACATAGCATAAGCCCAATCTAAGCTATCATCAGCTAATCAATGACTTGAATAAATCCTATCTCAATCACCTACATGATGATGATCATCTGATTTGTTTCATGGCCATTTGAATTGGGAAAATTTCAGATCTAACACAGGAAATTAATGAAGCTCTTTGTTCTCATTCTCTTAATGCACTTTGAGTTTGTTTAAAATGTTTTTCATAGGTTAGTAATACTCTTTATCTTGGTTGGTATATAGTACTGTAACAGAGGGTGGAAATGGGTGAAATATTTGAATGATACTTCCCAGGACTGTCTTTTGTCTGTGAACGGGATGAACGGAGTAAAGACAGGGGATGCAACAGGTAGCAGCCAAGCTTTTGGTGGTGGGTACCCATGATTTCATGGGTTATGGGTGGTACTGACAGTCAGTGTCAGTGTCAGAGCCTGAAAGTCACAGCTCTCCTGGTAGCTGTGACCTCTGCTATTTGCAGCCTGCAAAAATTCCATGTAGGTGCTTCCAAAACAGCGCCTACATGGGTGTTTCCCGCAAAAAAGTGCCTACATTTAGGATGTAGGCGCTGGAAACATCCAAAATGACACCTACATGTTGAAAAACCAATGTAGGCGTCATTTGGTTACACCTACATTCAAAAAATGAAATGTAGGCATACTTTGGTTATGCCTACATGTCAAATTTGACATGTAGGCGCTTGAATATTACACCTACATGCAAAAAACAAATGTAGGTGCTTGAAAATTATGCCTACATCTCATTTTGTGAATGTAGGTGTGACTCTTGAGCACATACATCTCAAAAGGATATGTAGGCATAAAAATCCAGCACCTACATTGTGTTTCCGGCATGTAGGCACTCAAAACAAGCACCTACATCTCAAAAGAAGCAATGTAGGCATAAAATTTGAGCACCTACATGTGTATTGAGGCGTCATGCAGTCTTGCATTTGTAGGCGCTAAAAATCCAGCGCCTACAACTCCAGACTGGTCTGACGGGTAATGAAGAACAATTCTCAAGTTGCGATGAGGGTATTGGGTTAGGGTTAGGGTTAGGGTTAGTTCATACTCATTTTCCCTTCTCTTCTTTATCAAACTCAATTCTTTTTGTTTAACAATACTTATTTCTGAGATTGTTAAATCACATTTTGATCAGTGTGTCAGCTTTTATAATAAAGCTAATAATCTGTTTGTCACAGGTGTAAGTCTTAAATGTTTGGTTTGTTGTTTTAGTTAAAATTCATCAAACTCAATTCTTTTTGTTTAACAATCTGAGAAACGAGGATTGTTGAATCTCATTTTGATCAGTGTGTTAGCTTTTATAATCAAGCTAATAACGTGTTTGTCACACAAATCTCATTCAATTTTGTGCTGATGGCAAATGTGGTCCTTGTGTTGGTGTTGCCGTTGCTGAGACCTCTTAGCAGCACTGACAACCATCTCGGGGTCAATATGGATCCTAATGAGGAAAATTCAGTATTGAGTATTGTAATTAGTATTGAGCTCAGGAAAGACTTACCACAGATGGTTTGATGGGGAATAAGGTGAGACAAGATGAAGCCAAGAGCTTTTTAGAGGTGAAAGAACACAAGAGCCAATCTGCAGAGAGTGGTTACCTGACTGCAACAGAGGATATCAATTCCAAACCTAACCCCAAGAGTGTGGATCTTTGGTAAAAACACAATGTATGGCCCCTACTCCTGACCCCTGACCCCTACCCCCTAACTCAATTTCTTTGGCCAAAATCTTTGAAAATTTCGGACCCAAAACTCTATGTGGGGACAGGTGTTACACATTCTCGACTTTATCAACAGTATCTCAACAAAAAGTTAACCTGTGGTGTAGATGATGCATGGTGCACATAATGTTGAAAACTTTGAAGAATGGGTGAGAATAGACAAGGTTACAACTACCACTACAAACACGACACGTGAAGATGGGTGGAGAAAGAATGACAAGATTATGTAAAACTGCAGGATTTGTAAAGTATCTTGTAACTTGTGTAAACCATTGATTCAGCAACGGGGTTCTCAAAGTAGACCCGGTTTGTAAAAACCCGGTTGACCCAGTAGGACCCAGGAATGCACCTATAGAGGTATGTAATGTAACTCGTTTTTTAGTTTTTGGGCTCTACACTACACACCACTTGTCGTAACAAGGTCCAGAGCACTTCAAAAGATGCGCATGGTCTAGAGCTATCGAATGAGCCTAGCCCGAGGTCCGAGGCTTTGCTACTTTTGGCGTAAAATGGAAAGGCGCAAAAAAAATTTGGGCCTCCGAGGCCTGATTCCGACATTCAATTTTGAGCCATTTTTGGCCGTTACATCCAATTATCTCTGGAACCATAGGTGCTATGAGGTTGAAAGCTAGCTTAAATGAAAGCCCTCCTTCTCACGCACATTTTGCGCTACTGTAGGTGCTGTGATAAGGTGATTTAGTACCCTAAAACCCCGCCAACAAAATGTCGGAATTTACATTACATACCTCTATAGGCGCATTCCTGGGTCCTGACCCAGTTGACTTTTTGGCTGTGATCTGTCAAAAAATGTCAACTCGATACACAAGGTTACTGCCAAAAAGCAACCGGGTCAACTGGGTTTTCTTGAAACCAGGCCAACTTTGAGAACTTTGATATTATTCCAGGCCTTTGAAACGCCAAATTATAGCATTGACTCTCTCCATTCACTCCGACACAGATCTGGGTCAAATCTGAAGCCGGCCCCTAACACAGCAACAGCTGTAAAAAATAAAGGGCAGCTTCAAGTGTTGGTAAACTGAATGGAATTAGTCACAGCACCATGCTGCCGAAGGATCATTAGTTCTTCTGCATGCATCCTCTTCACTTTTTCCACCTCGGGGTGCCCTATTCAACCATTTGAAGTGTCGAATAGAATGTACCATACAGCCGCTTCTAGCGTCGAGGGCCCTATCTCGACTCATCTCATTCATCTCCCGATTTTGGTAACCCAAAATCGGCAAGTCCCCAAGAAATTTTTTGAAATTTCATACATACAACTTAGCCGAATAAGGCTTAACAAGCCTATGGCCGTGTATCACACTTAACACCATATTACACATCATAACACCTGTAGCCGTCGGACCATACCCGTAGCCGCCGGACTTGCCATTTCATCAACTTCACTCACGGCGTTCTAACCGCCCAAATAACAACTCACCACCACACCTTGATTCACCAATCACCAGCACTACTCTATATCACATCGTCGTTCAAAAATGCGTCTTCAGCTCAACTTTTGATTCTAGTACCGGCGCCACCACTTCATCCTCGACGGCTCGATGCTCAACCTCACTCGATGCTCAACCTCACTCGATGCTCAACCTCACTCGATGCTCAACCTCACTTGATGCTTAACCTCACTCGATGCTCTACATCATTCAATGCACAACATTATTCAATCCACAACATTATTAAACTGAACGTGAAAAAAATCATATCGAAATGCCATACTTGGTTGCCTTGATTCACTTTGCTTACCATCATCAGCCAGTTGATCTCAAACAGAATTTCAAACGACGATAAAAAAATCTCATTTGCAAGACTCTCATTACAGATTATTCAAAAGAAGAACCCTTCGGATCCCTTTCCAATTATTTTCTTTCGATTAAAAAGTTTTGGTGACAACTATTCAATTCTTATAATTAGAAAATATCTATGAAGAGTGTTGATGTAGCTTTTGATCAAGTTATTGAACATAAATCAGGACCTTTCGATCGATTTCTTTTGCTTTGTCATCTCAATTCTTTGTTCATTGTTGGATCATGATACTTCGATTCTTGTATGGTGTTATGTACAAATATTGGTATAAGTAACTTGTGTAGATGAATAATGTTCATTGCTGATTCTATGGTTTTGACATTCATGTTGTTGTTAAAATTCGATAGAGGGAAGTGAGATCTATGATTGCAAGGCACACACTGTTAGTTTCGCACTATTTGATTAGTTTCGCACTATTTGAGACTTGTCAAATATCTAACAAAAGATAAAAAGTGATAGCAAAGTAAGTCTTGGAGAGCAACTTGGGGTGGTTTGTGACCGCTTGTAGCTTTGTCAACGATTGACATCAATGGGGTCCTTGCTTTAGGCAAGACTAAGTGAAACCAGAAACCATTGCTCTGGTTTTGCTTTTGTTCATTTGAGCAATCAAGAACAAAATCCGAATTAGAAAAAGCGACAAGCTCAATTGATGTGGGCATTGGCCAGAACGGCGATAAGTTTTGATTGTGTTTAGGGTATGTACATACGAATACGGATGAAATACATTGAAAGACACGCACCCATAATTAAAGATGATCTTAGTATCATCAAAGAATTCAGTCTTGAGCAAAAATCAATATCATCTTAGGGTGAAAATTGAAGTAATACAATAGTTTTGCTTCGGTCATATTTACATGTGGGTTTCAATACTTTCATGATGGCATAATTTCCAAGACGAACTATGTATTACTCAAATAAGGATTGAATTTTCTTCAAAAGATGATCTAAATAAATGAAGTCGATCTAAATAATCACCAAAATGAAGTTGAAAAGGGATTTAATATCATAAGTCGAGAGAGAAACTACCAGTCCTTAGTCATTGTTCGGTTGTATTCGCCGTTGTGCTATTTGCAATGGATTGGTCGCCAGGAATAGGCGGATTGTTGGCGTTAAGCGCATCATTGGCGCGCGCATCTTGATTGGCAATGGCAGATGTGTCGTTGGTGTTGGTATCGTCAGCCGGGAGTGTATTGATAGGTGTGTCACTAGAGGCACGGTTGCGTTTGCGGTTGGCCTTCCCAATAGGACCCGCTTCAGTTGGCAGAATTAGGATCTTTTTGGCGAGAAGATCATCCAACACATTACGAGCTTGCATCGGGGTCAGTTGATTACTGTCTTGCATTATATCACTGGCTTCAGACTTCGAATCTTGAGCAAATTGTACAAAGTAGCCTGCATTGGCTAGCTTGTCCTTGCATCCTTTCCACGGCCACTTTGGGGGCATTCCCTTTGTCTCTGTTTCTAAGCAGAGGAGAAGACAAAAGTGTGAAAGTTAGAGAAATATCAAAATAAGATTGTAAAGAAAGAACATACCAATCAGTTCGGACAGGGCCTCTCGACATCTTGCTCGGACTGTGGAAGTGGGATATATCAGTGTAGGTAAACCAGTGTTGTATGTAGATTGATATCTACTTACCATCGACTTTGGTTTTACTCAAGTTGAGTTGCCCAGTCTCAGTCCCGGTGACAAACGCGTGTAATTGTGCGGCGATATGGTTCTTTGAGTTCAACATCTTGTCGTGCCCCACCCACTGAAGAGCACGTGGCGTGGCTCGGACAATCTGATAGGAATCATCACCCAAGTAGTTCGATACGCCTATCATGACAAAGTTGCCCTCGTATGTTTCAGCCATATCGTTAGCCTGCATATAAGTTAGTCAGTAACAACCTTTTGCTACAGCTATGACTATCACTCGAAAAAGAAAAAATAATTACCTCGCTTTGCCAATCAAGCATGAATTTGTTCACAGCTGATCGTGCGTTTGCCAAAGACATATTTTTGGCTCGCACGAGTTCCATACTGCTACTGGTACCGTCTTCGGGGGCTAGATCGTCAGAGTTGGACATAGAAGCAACCTTGAGGTTTCCAGGTTGGTTCTTGAAGGCATCCTTCTCTGCCTGCGACTTCTCAGCCCATCGGAGCGAAGCTAAAGTTGAGCCTTCTCCACTTGCCACACCTGAGGCTGAAAGAGTAATGTGCTGATTTCAATTTACTATATACACTTAATCTTCGAACACACTTACTATCTTTGTATACCCCTTTAATCTCTTTGGTAGCACAAAATCGTTGCCAGGTGTTCGGGCCTTTCCTTGTTACCTTTTGACCCCTGTGATGCTGTATGTCAGTGTCTGTTTGTATGATTATGTCAAAATGTAAGATATCTACATACCATAGTTTACGAACCGCCTTGACAGAGACCTGATTATTGATGCAATTGATTGCTAATACTTTGTCAAACTCTTCGTACAAATTCATGTAGTATTTTTGCAAGGCCGGTGGTACAGTGTTCTTATTCTTGGCATGCTTTTCAGCAAGCATTCGCAGTGACACAGAAGGCTTTTTCATCATATCTTCAGCTGTCGGAATATCAATTGATTCTTGTTGTGAAGCATGTTTCTTTCCTTTGAGTGAGTTAGGAAGAAACGTATTAACAACGGCCCTTGTAGTTGCAGGCGCCGGTATCTGTGTTGAAGTCGGTGTGATTGTGCTGGAGGGTGTAGTTGTGGATGTTGATTGAGGCACACCAGCACGCTGTCCTTGAGAACGCTGTCCATTTTTGCGTTTCTGAGATGTTACAGACGGCTGAATCGGGCGAGTAGTCCCGGTGGCGGGAGGAGTAGATGAAACGTGATTAGATGATTGTTGTGTTACAGAAGTATGCGAGTCCAGCGCACGGAGCGAAGCAACACGTGGATTGTTTGCAGGAGGAATTATCACACCGAAGTTTGGATCGCGTGAGTATTGATTCTGCTCGGTGTTCTGCTGACAATGGTTTGAGTGTTGATCTTGACCATGATCATGCGAGCCAGGGGGATAGATAGAAGTGTGGCAGTGTTGAGTTTGCTGACTAGGTCGATAAGTTGAATGATCATAGTTCTGAAAGGTATTGTAGTTCTGAGAGCTATGATAGTTTTGATTTGGATTATAGATGTTCTGCCCGTAAAGGTTCTGCTGCCCGACGTGACCTTGACCTTGATTTTGAGAACCAATTTGGTGTTGTAATGAAGGGATGTGAGCACGTTCATGAGGGTGACCGTGATCTTGAAACTGCTGACCAACACCATGAAACTGGGCGTGATAATGGTCATTTTGATTTGGTTGGCCTTGGGTTACCTGGCCATGAGATGCGTGTGCTGGTGATGTGGGATTGAGAGCTGGCATTCTAGAGTTATAAGGATCAGGTTGGTACATTGTGAAGGTTTGCAACGAGAATGTTGTGGAAGAGATTGAGAATTTTCAAGGTGTGGATCAAAGTTCAGATTCAGTGGAGTAATGCATGTCAGAAAGGTTATCTATCTCAATTTGAAATTGATCAAAAACCTTTCTGACCTAAATAAACTTGGACAAAACTCAATCAAAACTCACCGTGAAAGGAAATTTGACCTCACAGTCAAGTAGCACTTGAAAGAAGCCATATGGAGATAAATTATTTCAGAATTTGAGTGGTAAGTACATGGTCATATTGTTCAAGTAATGACTTGTCTAATCTATAGCCACTTTCTGGGCAGGCTAGAGGCGGCTCATGTATACTTTGGGGAAGTCAATTACTATTTTGAGGGCACTTGTGAGTTGTGTTGCTTCAATAAAGGATCTATGATTCAAGTCCAAACCAAAATTGGGAGTTCTATGATATTTTTGATGCTGTTTTCTTTTGTCTTGATTACATCAAGCATACAAACAACCCTCCTACAGACCACTTATGGGCTGAAGAGCAGTCATGCATGTAGTACCAATGGAAAATTGGCAAAACATACCACAATTGAAACTTTGTGAGTTTTGAAGTTAACCAGAAGTTTGAAATTGGATCTTCTTCTTGTAGCTTTTGGCTTTTATAATGATCACATTGGGTAGTCAAATCAGTGTATTACGGAATACTTATGGCATGTTGAGTGGTCACATAGTTTTTTTTGATAATGTTTCGGCAACACATGCCACAATGAAAAATTTTTAAGTTTTGAAGTTAATCCAAAAGTTGAACTTGCAAAATATTATTGGAGTATATGGGCTTTAGATTTATCACAGTTTTCAGCCAGATCACCGGTGTGTATACCACTTATGGCGTGTTGAGTGGTCACATAGTTTTTTTTGATAATGTTTCGGCAACACATGTCACAAATAAAACTTTTGCAGTTTTGCTTCAAACCCAAAAGTTGAAATTGAAAAATGTTTTGGGATATTTTGGCCTTGATATTTACCCTACCACGTAGTCCGCACACCCTCACATGGACCACTTATGGGCTTATTAGTGAAATTTCGGGCTGTTTTGGGGAAAATGCTCTATAAGAAAAACTTTTTTGTTTGTTGAGATAAGCCAAAAAAAAAAAAGTACCTTTTTTGTTTTACTTAAACCTATGAAAAAAACCAAAAATCTCAACTTTTTTTTTTTTTTGGTCACCTCACCCATATTTCCACTACATAATATCATACTGCAAGGATAACAACATTCATGGTCATTGATGCAAGCAAGTTCTTTGTTGGTGATAATTATGAAGTCCCCATGGATTTCTTCTCTGAATATATTTCAATATTGCATCACTTCATTATTGAAATATTCACTGAGTTAAACCACTTTCTGTGGTTCATAACTTTTTCAAAACTCCACATTATACCCCATATGATATCCCATATCACCTTCAAGAGCCTCTTATATGAGAAAAACCCCTTATCAAACTATGCATGAATTGACTTCCGGAACATCCTCTATTAATATATCCACAAGTTTGTAGGGTTTTGGCTGGGTGATACCACTTTTGAGTGATTTGTTGAGTGGTTTGTACCATTTCGAATTTGCACTTCTCAATTCATATGACCTTGAATATGCCAAAAACGACTGCAGGTAAACCCCCATGAAATTTATTTCTGAAGCATATTCATTATCACCACAGTTAACTTTCGATCAATATTGACTAAGGTGTCTAGTTTTTATGGGATTTCTATGAGTAACAAACACACTGTGCCATGCGATGTCACCCTATTGTGTTTTTTGTAAAAAATAAAGATGTTTTTGACCTTTCTCAAAACCTGTGCAAACGAGAACTTTATTAGTGCTTTCTCCACCACCTACACCTATTAGAGAGAGTGATTTAGATGCAGAAGTCAAACATCTGATTTCTGTACCTTGTAAGGATTCAATTTTGGTAAGTCAAGGCCCGATTCACTTCATCATACCAGGCTTTGTATGGATTTGATTGGTGCCTTGTTGTTTCAACCGATTTTTTTCTGATGTCTACATTCGGAATCAGCAAAGAGTGCTTTGGGATAATTAAACCCTTATTGGTGTCGGTTGTCCGATTGGCAGGTAAATGAGGAAACCACAACTGGGCCCTATAATTAAATGAAAAAGTCATTATCTCTGGTATATAAACCTCCAACTCGAGTCTCCCCTGTTCACCTCCAAGGCCTTTGCCTTTCAGGATTGTCCTCTCCATTGATTGCTTCGAACCTTGAGATCAGCTCGACGCATAACTCAGAAGCTAGAATGGAGAGAAACAGCCTGAAAGGTGTTGGGCCTGACTTCATCTCAGTCTTTTTTTTATTTTCAATCTATCATCTCGCTTTCTCTAAAGAATCGGTTTAATCTTTGACTTTTGATTTGATCATCTTGAAGTCTCCTTCAGCTCAATCTTAAGTCGTTCATCTTCAATCTATCATCCTGCTTTCTCTATCGATTCAATTTAATTATTGGCTTTTGATTCAATCATCTTGAAGTCTTGAGTCAAGATCAAAAGTTATACATACGAGTCTGGTGATGGAAGCAAGGAGTCAAGATCGAGGTATGATTGACATACTCTTTGGTTTGGTTACTTCAGCGTTAAATTTCACCTTGAATTTAACGCCGTTCTGAATTTGAAGTCGTTCCCCTTCCCTGAACTCTTGTATTTTTTGCGGAAGTTGTTGAGAACACGAATGAATGAAATTTACTTTTCGATTATGAAGAAACTTGATTATCTAGATGTCTTACGTTAGGATTGAAAGTAATATTGAATGAATCAAGCGGTTCTCTGGGGCCACAACAATATTGAGAGATCGAGACAACAATGAGCTAGGTTGAAGTCTTCAGCTAAGATGAGACCATCGAGATGGAACGTGTAAGGGATGATACATATATATTCCAGTGGAAAAGAAAAAAACCATTCAAGTGGCAAGATAATTCACATCTTGCCACACTCTCAATTCGATATCAAAGATCTCATTTAACTTTGCATTTATGAAAGAAACAATACAAGAACAAGCTAAATAAACAATGTTGTTGGGTCTACAGCACAGCTTATATCTACCAAATCGAGCTGATGTACAAGCCCAGAAATCCCATTATCATCCTCGCCATCAGAACTACTATCACTATCACTATCATCATCATAAATATTCACAGCAGACTGTTCGCCCGGCTCTTCCAGTTCCTGTATATCTTCCTGCATAGCATCCTCCATATTTTCCTGTTCAATCACATCGGCGCCGATTGGAAGATCTAAATCACCAGGTATCATAGACATCTTACCTTCTTCATGGAGTTTTGAGATGTGATCTAGTTGACTGTCCCAAGTTCTCTTGAGCTCTTCATCACCGGTTTGGCTTTGTGTTCGAGAAAAGACTTCGAGTAGCCCTTCGTGCCATAAGAGCTGAGTGTTTGTGATTTTAACAAACGCATTCTTGATGACAACGGCAGCTGCGCTTCGACGAAACTGTGGTGGTAGATGTGAAAGAGTTTGGTGAGAAACAATAGGAAGTGCAAGGTCGGGTTCGTCAGACTGTAGAGCAAGGAGAGTGGTGAGGTTGCGATGGTGGGTAGTTGTTGCCCAACGCATAGCTCGGCGAGCCTCCCAGCCGAGACGCCTGAGCTCTTCTTTTGCTCGATCAGCATACGCAATCTGTTGCATCCCTAGCCTTGTCTTTGGATCCACTGCCCAAGGTGCGTCAATTTTGGTGAAGAGTGAATCATTCCAGAAAGGGTGATCGGCTTTGATATGAAGTAATTCGGTGTATTCGATGTCTTCAGGGAGCTGACGATGTGGATATTCTGCGTGATATTCTGCCCGTCGAGTGCGATATGTGTCGACAATTTTCATAAGCTGGACTGTGTGCCTCCGAACCGCCAGGAGGAGGTTTGTCTGACCCTTATGACCTAGATTCAGAGCAAGGTAGTGAGCTTTGCATTTAAATTGGTATTGATTTCTTGAATTTCTTGACTTACCTAGATTTGATGAATGTCCATCTGAGCGACTCTGTTGAAGTGGTCTCTTTTCTTCACATATGGCAATAAACCTCAGTCCAACTTCGTGTTTGCTGTACCAGAGCTTCAGGAATGCCTCCTCCTCGTCATCCACTGGAACATTTGCTGTGCCTACTCTTGCGACCTGCTTCTCGATTTTCTCTTGGAGCTCTGCTGTTGTTCGAAGACGGACAATAGACTGTTCGGCTGTGATTACGGGCAGCGACCTGTCCAAAACAATTTCTGTTAACATTGTCCTACGTAATATATTCAACCACTTACCATGCAGTATCTAGCTCTTCTTTTAAGGATAGCAGTCGACCAAGCTCCAACTTCTGCCTCTGTAAGATTGCTTCTTTACTGGAATATGCTTCTCGCTCCAAAGTCCATTGCCCACGAAAAAATTCGGCTGAATAGTTTTGGCCAGGTGCAGCTGGATTGGTCGTTCCATATAGGATAGTTAGTGCAGATTGAGCTTCGCTCAAAACCTTCACTGCATTTTGGTATCGGTTTTGAAGCCACAGTCCTGTTAAATCAAGCGCAGATCATCAGTATACAATGAATAAACCAAGAATGAATAAAGCAAGAGGTACAACTTACCACATCCGTCATTAACCCTGGAAGCATAGAACACAGCACGCCAATGTATAGCAAGGAGGCGATGAAGGCGAGTAGATATGCGAAGAGGTGCTACTAGAGCAGATAGAAACGACCAGAGCCTCTCAAGGCCTTCGCCGTCTGAAAGTCCCCAGTATTTATTGAACCGAGGGTGGAACTTGATCTGGCAATCCCACTTATGCACGTATGCATGGAATACCGAGGTACCGAACATCATCTTGAGGTTGTCAGGGGGAAATAGCTCACGCTATGATGGGAAATAGATTCCATGTTGATCAGATTGGGTTTGGGTGGAGTTGTGATAGTTCTTATTGACTTACTTTTGCGATATGCGCGCCTAAGTGGCAGCCAATGTCATATAGTACACCTATAAACTTGTCAGGGTAGAGTTCTCGAAGCTGTTTGAGAATTGTCACAGGATAATGCAGTCTGTATTCAAAAGAAACGTGTCAGTTCTTGGTGCATTCTTCTCAATATCAATAATGCACTCACTTCTCGCCACTCTGGAATATATTCACAAAGTAAAGGGGTACATCATGGCGACAAGCTGCTGCGAAGAGACCTGTATCGTCACATCTGTCCCATGACATGCCACTGCGAACATCGTTGGCAGCAGTATGGGAATCCGAACACGAGCTCTGTAATCAGATAACTGTCAGTATTGGGAATTGGCAGATCAAAAATTGAGATGATAAATCGAGAATACTTACCTTGATGTCCTTTGCTTGAGCATCGGTCTGTTGGCAGGCAGCAGCATGTGGTTCAAGCTTGCTAGGTCGAATGAAAAAGGTGGGGTATTGATCGTCTTGAGGGCAGTCCTTGCTAGCATGTGATTGGTGACGATGTTGGAAATTTCCATCCATCGCAATCATGAAATCCGGTTCGTTTGGAGAGTCTTTCACTTCTCCTTCTGCTGGACCAAAGCACCGAGAGCACCGAGCGGCAGAGAGGTCGAGTGCAGTGAGCTGAAGGCCTTCTTCATATATTGTTTGTTGACCGATCAAAATTCGTCGATATATGTCGATTGCCTGGGTGAAAGGACGTCTTAAGCCTCGATTGACGTTCTTCTTGTAATTGCCCTTGATTTGTTGAGGTGTCAATCTAGATGGGCACTGTACATCGAGAAATGACATGAGTGCGTCGATAAATCCGGAAATTGATATTGAAGTGTGGTTCCAGAGGTGATGTTGAAACTGGAGAAGCCGGATAGAGAAGGCGGTGCGAGGGAAATGGGGAGATCCAGCGATATAACCGAGATGAAGCAGACGGATAACGTCTGGTACACAGTCGCAAAATGTGACCCGACGTTTTCTGGCATGACCTAGAAAAAGGAAGGAAGTATTAGTTCCAATTATGACTTACATAATAGAAAATGAATGAATCAATAAATAAACTTACTAAGAATGTCAACAAAGTCAACACAACGTCGTCGGAATTTTTCAGGTGGACACTGGCATTTAATCTCATTGGTCAGATACGAGTTTTGCTTGGTCCAATTCTGCGTGAAGGACTGGAGGTGAAGATATGTGGCAGTAAGTTGAGCTTCAAGGGCCATCCACTTGCTTTGATTCCTAGCTCGGGCTTCAGCATGTCGAAGAGATCTCTGATGTTTTGCATATTGATCGCCTGGTGAGTCCGGCCTGATTTCTTCGTGGGTACAAGGTACTTCAGGTATGTCTTCCCACTCATTATTGTTGTCTGCATCGTCGTCTGTCTCAGAGAGGAGGGGGGCTGGAGGCTGTGAACGCTCGAGGAGACCAAGGCCTTGACTGATACGCAGAGCTTCATCGCGAGTCATAGGAGGTGGTGTGGGGCTTTTTCGTCGTTGACGGGTTTGTCGTTGGCCAAACATATCTGATTCATATCCACCGAGGTTGAGATTGGGACGCCCCATCGATGGTGATTTGTGGTGGTGAGTTGTTATCGAGTGGGTTAGGAGGGTACACCACCAGTGAAGTTGATGGAATGGTGCAGGTCCGGCAGCTACGAGTACGGTCCGGCAGCTACGGGTATGGTCCGACGGCTACAGGTGTTATGATGTGTAATATGGTGTTAAGTGTGATACACGGCCATAGGCTTGTTAAGCCTTATTTGGCTAAGTTGTATGTATGAAATTTCAAAAAATTTCTTGGGGACTTGCCGATTTTGGGTTACCAAAATCGGGAGATGAATGAGATGAGTCGAGATAGGGCCCTCGACGATAGAAGCGGCTGTATGGTACATTCTATTCGACACTTCAAATGGTTGAATAGGGCACCCCGAGGTGACTTTTTCCTTTGGCAGTACTTATATTTGTCAGTGTGAACCCCGACGCCCTAAAACAAGATTCATGGCATTGTTAAATTCCTTCGACATTATACAAGAAATGAATAATTCTGATGAACCTCCTCGAAATACGCAGTTAGAGTTTCTGACTCTTCAACCGGCCGGGCCTGGCCGGGCGCAACCTGGTTCATTCAAACCGATCGAGAGGAGACACTCTCAGGAGTAGCTTCGAGAGGTCGCCGATCTTCATGAGCATGTAAATCGACGGCCGCATGACAGGCATTTTAAAACAGTTGCCAGCAGTGGACGTGCATATACCCCAGCTCCTAAATGCTTTTCTAGAAGCATCGAATCAGGCCCCAAGTCTCTACATTTGATTTGTACCGACTTTCTTTTTCTTAAATAAGAGTCACTGTCATTGCCATGAAGATTTTAATTACTGGTATAGTAAGTATACTCTTGAGCAAAATCGCATTATCGCATGGCTTACCCAAACTCCAAGAATTTCACGAATAACCTGCTGATGAGTGGTGTTAACGTGCAGAATGGATTTGTTGGATCGCACATAGCCAAGGGTTTCCTCGACCTTCATCACGACGTTGTTGGAACAGTCCGTTCAGCCGATAAGGGGAATGCTCTGCTAGAGCAACCTGCTTTCCGTGACGCCGCCCAGGCCAAATCCTTAAGCTATATAGTTGTTGAAGATCTTCCCACCTACAACTTTTCTCCTGTGTTGCGCGATGTCGATGCAATTGCCCATACCGCTAGTCCATGTCACTACGAGGGGAAAAGCTTTGATGAATATTGTAAGGGATAAATTTTCGCTTCCTTTGCGCTGCAGAATGATCGAGACCCATGTGTATAGTCAATATGTCGAAGAAGTAAATTGATGTAAATTATCGAATCCTTTTCTAATCAGTCATCACGGCATTCAAAGGCACAAGAAATTTACTTCTGGCGGCAAAAGAATCACCTCAAGTTGAAGCTGTTGCCTTTACTTCTTCAATTGGAGCTATCATGGATTCCCAGACACCTGCGCTTGAACAGAGTGGGAAAATTTACACCGAAGCTGACTGGTTTTCGGTTAGTCATGAAGAGGCAACGTCTGATACAAGAGAACTTTTTTGGTATTCTGCCTCAAAGTCTTTAGCCGAAGAAGAAGGTAAATTCTAATCATGTAGACGTTATCCAAGTGGTAAAATGAGGTATTGAAGAAGCTATGACTTCACTGATGTTTATACTCTTCTAGCTTGGAAGATACAAAAACTCCGAGGGAAACAATGGAGTCTTGCCACTATATGTCCGCCGTCTATATACGGCCCAGTGGTAAGTGACGTTAATGTTGATATCTGATTTGGTGTTCTGATACGAGACCGCCTCATTGCTGAAACGATCAATAGATCCACACTTCAAACCCGAAAGACATGAACATGACTTCTCGCAGGCTGTATGAAATTTTTTCCGGTCAAACAGACGAAATAATGAAGACAAAATTTCCAGCTTTTGTGGATGTTCGAGATGTTGCAGAAGCACACATACAAGCTATTCTTCAAAAAGCTAACGACCGGTTCATAGTTTCTGCTGGATTATATGATCATCAAATGGTTGCTGATTTCTTACATAAAGCATTTCATGAAGAGTCAAAGCCTGTCCCCAGAGGCCAACCTGGAATCCACGTACAATCCGATCAGGTGTATTATCTTGACTCATCACATGTCAAGGCAACATTAGGTCTCTCTCTTCGATCTTTTGAAGAAACCTTTCGTGATACCTTCCTGAATTGCTTAGAAATTCATAAGCTTCAACCTCACGTGAATCCCGAGAAAGTTTGATAAGACACAGCTATATTAGTGTCTTGATCTTGTTTCCCTCTTGTGTATTTTGTTATCGTGTTGTCGTCTTCCAAATGGTGTTTCATAGTCTCGATGTCTAACGACATCGATCGAGTCTCTCTCTCTCAAGTTTTGGGCAATAGGTTTTATGAGTCTTTTCTGAGCTGCTTGGGAATCAATGATGTTCTGAACCACAAGATATATTGTGAAATGCTCCTGGGGTGAATTTTGAATCAAATCTTGAGTTGGTTTCCCTTGTGTGAATTTTGAAGTTTTGTTTTAGTCCTGAATTGAGATGTGAATAGGTGGGCATTGTCTTTATCACTGATAAAGACAAAATGTGATCTTGATCAGATAAGCTTGGAGGATGTGCGTGCTATGTATTCAGTCATCTTCCTATTCGCAACAATTCTTTCTATTCAAATATTTTTGGGGAATAAGTTCAAATTAAATCATTTATCCTCTGATTACTTCGTCAAAAATCCTTGAGCTCTTGTTTGTTCACTGACCACGTTCAGCAAAGCCCTATAGAGAGCTGAGAACTATTTGGTGGATTGGCTAATCTGGCAAAGCTGCCAAACCCCAAGTATAAGAATGATCTGAAGAGATAAATATCGTAAACAAATTGGTGACTTGATGAAGAGAAAAAACAGAAAATCCATAAAAGAAAGTCTTCTTTATAGTAAAGCAAGATATGACGCGTCGTCTATCGCCCAATGGACTCAACATCAGTAAAGGAGATGGTTTGATTATATGATGTCATATCAATCAGATGATATCGACATATATGCAGCGGCCACCTTCGAGACTAGCCGGCCGGTTCGCGTCTTGACATGATCACTCAGAGCTTAACGCTTTAAGAATCAAAATACTTGGAAGCTCATCCGCTCATCGAGCACAGTAAGGTTAGGTCTCAGTGTGAAACAAGCCAAGTATCAAATTCATATATTTCGATAATTTTGTTGGAAGAAAGAGACATTTTCAGAAATATACAATTTAGGCTGCGTTCAACGATGGCCAGAAACTAAACCTGCAATCGGACTAGGAAGTAGCCAATTTGACCAATTCCAATTCTCTAGAGGTGGTATGTTAGAAAACAAAGGATTACATGCCTCTCGATAAGGTCCCAGAGTAATGATCAAGAAAAATGAAGTCCAAAGTGGACCAGTGACAAATTGTCGAAATCGAGTTTGAGATATATACTTCTCTATACATATACCAATTGGTTGGAGAATAAAGAAAATCGCCGAGCCTGGATATGATTTGAATAAGATATACGGTTCGGGGTGAGGTGGTTGTCTGATGACCATCGTCACTGTTTGATAGGATTGGTTTTTGTTTAAGAAGGAAAGAAAGGCGTGTAAGTAAAAATTGACCATGTCGATCATGGCGTCTGAGAGAGATGATGTGATAGCTAGAGGATGACGTCACAGTATTCATGAAGTGCAGCACTCGCTGCGAAAGCTCCAAAGAGGCCAAAAGTCTTTATCGAATTCGGACCCAATCCTAACTGAGCAGCCAGCCAACGAGCGGGTTTACCACCACATACTAAAAAACATCGACGTAAATTTTGATGCCAAGCTTTTCCCCAGAAATGAGAAAGACTGGTAGATTGAAAAACTGGTCGATTGATTGGCGGGTATAGTTCAGGATTGAAGAACTCTCTAAAGGAATTTGGTAACCTCAAAGCTTGGCTGAGATTGTAAATGGCGTATGCAAAAAGTGTTATACATGATCCTGCTAGCTCGAGACACCCGTATCCGAGTAACCCAAAGCTGAGGTTCAAGAGAGATGTAAGGATTAAACCTAGACCTGGGAAATCAGGTATGCCTGATGAAAGAACTGATGGTTTAAGACTTTGATCCTTAGAATCGCGTGCGAGGATTACCAAAGCTAAAGCTGGTCTCATGATGAAATGAAACTTTATGATTTTGACAAAAAGCTGGCTTGGTGACAACTGGTTTGCTAATGCATCTGGTCCCCAGCTGAATTCATGCCCGCGCAATCTATACATGGCCCAAAAAAAGGTGTGACTGTCAATGATCCCCACAGGACTTTCTTTGGGGACAGAAAACTTTGGTGATGCAAAATGACGAACGAAAGGAAATGAGAAATTGTCCAACTCATCAGCCCCTTTTCTTCAATATGAGCTTGATTTTTTTGAGCGCCTTTTGAGTCAGCTTCGCTTGATGTCCATTGTTTGACCCCATTGATATTCTTCAGATCTCTTGAATGATAAGGACCAGATGTACATCCCCATTCAATAGATTTCATAGAGAAATAAGCTGCTACAGCAGCCAAAGTCATATTAGCAGAACCTTTGGACGCTAAAGGAGCGTAGCAGTTTCGAAAAGGGAACCGAAGACTCCAATAGAGATTTGGAATCATAAGAGAAAATCTTGCCAAACGAGCTTCGGAGTTTGATTTGAAAGATGGATGAAGTAATGCAGATTGAAAAAGAAGAGATATGATAAATGCATATGAACTAAGTGTTGGTGGTACACATGATGGAGAGCTGGAATAAGGTGGTGCTAGTAATCCGACATAACGAAATAAATCGGCCAAGAGACCTTCATGTGGTAGGTTGTCGATCATTGTTGTTATTGGCAAGCATTAACCGACTTCTCGGATTGGGTTGAAAGGTTAACTTGTATACAAACAGCTCCTTGGGTGTATTGAAGTGGTTAAGATTGTAGATGGTTTGCAAACATAATAAAGAACAAAGCGAGTTGATCCCGTCTCTTTATAATTTAGGAAGGCGGAGATGAATAACCGTCGAATAAGTTGAACTTGGCTCTTCCAACGGCTTACCGTCAGGTGTATTGATGGCAATGGGGCAAGCACGAAGAGGATTTTGTAAAAAGTGCGTAGTTGCGGTGCATCTAACACTGTGTATCTAAACAAGTTGAAATTAAATTGTGGAGACCAGTTCGATCGAAGAGGTCGTACTCAGAGGATGCTGAGCGAGATTTCGAAACCTTCAACGGCTCCGAGATATCCTGCGGACCTTCAATCTGGCCCCGGCAGGCTCAATGCATCACAATGCAGTCAGGTGCTACTTATATTTTTGGCATCAGGGGTGCTCGACTCTTCTCATCTGCTTAACTTTCAGTGCGTTCTATCTTTGGGCAATGAACCAGAATCAACTTTCACCGCACAGCCTCACAGGACCGCACGCCCCCTTATGTATAGACCCATAAGCAAGACCACGTTGAAGATATGTGCTATGTATCAGCCCAAAAAGAAAGAGTTATTCTGATTCCTCATAACTCTCCAGCGAAGGTACACAAGAAATGGGAAATAGACTTGAGGAACTGTCAACCGCGCATGCCCACCAGACCAAGATCTTATAAACTGCAGGTATTTCCAGCATTCCCCCTGTGCGTTCTTGTATCATGCATTATGCCGAGAGCGGATGTGGAACATTAGTCCAGCGGTAACTTTTACATTTTATGACGTCATCAAGTATGCTTTGCTATGGACTGTGGCAATTTCCAATGGGATTGGTTGATTGATCTAGGAGAAAGAAGAGAATAGCATGATGTCTCCCAGTAATGTTAGTTCCAGAACCTCCTTTGAGAATCATGATCAAGTGGTCGAAGCTGACATCGGCACTTGGAAACTTCCTTACGACTATGCAAAGTGAATGCGGCAAGGAAATATACCCCTTTTCCTTTTCATACCTTCCTTTTTGATATTCACGGCCATATTATGTATCTGAAAGACTCAACTTTATTCGGTCAAGAACATTGTATTTTTCTGTCTTTTCGAGAGGCTGCACGTGGTAATGTATGTGATATCTTTTGATCACGCTGCTTTTAAAATGAAAGATTGACCTTGAGAGAAACCCAGATGGTTTGATGGACAATAACAAACCCTTTACCCAAGACGAACCATCAACCTTGACTGTGAAAGAACAATACCAAGCTCAAGATACTCAAGATCCTTATTGTTGTTGGTTAGATCACCATGGCTTTGTCTTCTTTAGTTCTGTGGCTTCTGTACTTTCCCAACTTTCTCAAAGGAGGTGAATTCCTAATTCAGAATCAGGCCACGTTTCGATCGTCATACCGTCACACTAGACAGCTTCGGGATCTTGAAACCCGGCTTTCCGACTTCGTCAAAAAGTGACAAGTCTATCCTCCTCGCCTTGACACACACACGGAGTGTTCATCTTGGAAGCTCTGAAGCTGATCACGTAATTTTAGAAGGCCCTATCCAAGTTCCTCATCCCTTGCTTTGGGTCTCGATACGCCGGAGCTCAGAGCATCCATCGTAAGTTCTTTTTTTCTCACATATGATTTTATTAATCATTTTTTACTTACCCACTCGATTTATCAGCAAAAGGAGGTTTTCGTTACGCGCTCACTATTTTACAATCACAAGATCTGTCCATTTCACATAACCTTCTCTCGACATGGATTGTTCTAGTCCCGATATTGTCGATACATGTGGGTTTCTATTTCGGACTTCCATATCAATACCCTGACCTATTTAACAAGCAGTTCATTGCAGATTTTCAAAGAGAGCTTTTCAACAATGAATTTCGTTACCATTGTATGCTGTGTGGAGGCAGAACGATGAAGGATACGACTCGTCACAAGGCATTACTTAACCACAGGATTTTGGTCGCTTCTCAAGAACGTACTCGCGATCTAACAAAGATGGAAGAAAGTCTTCCTTATCCTAGTGAAGATGAAGAGGACATGAAATTATTTCAGAGCACGAATGAAGTTTCCAAACTTATTATGCGCCAGGCTATCTACAGCCAGAACGATCCTTCATCTTCCCGACAGAGGTCGTCAGATCCCGGTGGTGTGCATTTTTTCTTATCTTCAGTCTAGTCGGGCTTACTGAAAGTTTTGTTTTCAGCCAATGACGCAGATCTAGATGTACATGGGCACATGAATGGAGCTCTTAATTCGAGCTCTGAGGTTGACATGCAAGGATTGTCCTCTGGCCAGGAATCCCCAGAAGCTCAAGACACACCTTCACCAGGGTCATCTCACCCTAAAAATACCGAGAAGCGGTCAATAAGCTTACCTATGGCACCAGAAGATCGAGCCAAGTGGGATCAGGTAGCTGGCCTGTTTGATCTGAATCCTACTTCTCATGCACAGGCTCTAAACATCAGTTCGGTAAGTTGTATCTATATTTACCCTACATGCTGGGCCTGCTTAGTAATCACTTGACGATATCATTTAGATCACAGGTGACAACAATCGGTATCACGCACTTGTCTGCCTTATGCACCAGTTGCGACAAGACTTTGCCAAACAGCAACTGGGAAATTGTTCTTCTGACCACTGGAAGCCAGATCCGGATTTGGGTGTATGTGCTTTTGTTTATGTGATCCCGTTCCGCGTACTGACTATCCATCTTTCCAGCCGGAATTGATGAGAATGATGCGCCTCACCCTACGCTGTCACACAATCGAATCATACATTATTATAGATTCCCAAACCGAGCCGATGGAGGGTTCATTTTATGAGAAGGCTATGGTACGAAGATCTTAAGTTATGGATTTCATTCAAGATTGCTAAAAATCGAATCATAGCAAGCTATTAACAGCAAATCTGACTCATGGAAGTCTGAGTATCTACCTCCAAGATTTGGAACCACTTCAGAAGACAAGAATGATCATGAAATATTCATGAGACTTTTCAGAGATAAACTAAGAGAAGTCCTAGAGGAATTCAGATTGATTGTAAGTCTGATGCAACATTTTGTATATTATCCATTGAGCTAAGATTCTTTACTATCTGGTAGCTTTTGACTCACATATACACACCAACAAGAAAATTAGATGATCCTGTTCAAGCAGTGCCAGATATAATTGCCCTACAAGGACTGGTAAGCTAGGTTTGATTGACATACTTCGCTTTTATCCTATTCTTGTCGTATTGATCCGGTTTTGAGCCTGTTTTCAGTTGTTTCGGTTTTTCGATAAGAATGACCGTCGTACAGACGAAGAGATCAACGCGCAGATAGATCCAAAGGCCACACTTCGATTTGCTTACCTTGTAATCCCTCTTTCTCTCAGTCTTTCTCTTCATGTTGTCTAATGTTCTAATACTTTCTGCTATAGAGACTCGAAGTTGTCGAACACCACCTGACCATTCCTATAAACCGCAGGGGCGGTCCCGATTCTTCTCCATGGTCTTGCGTAGATGTCAAGCTTTCTAGTCTTTGTGAGAAAGATCGAACTTATCAAAGAGCGTAGGTCACCTGTTCATTTTAGTCAAGGTAGATGAACAAGTTTCTGATTGTATTACTTCTTCTACGTTCATTATAGGTTTGGCGTTCTTGTCCTCACAAGGGATGAAGGTTTCTTTGATGGACGTATGACGGTAAAATTGATCAAGAAACGTTATCAATGCAGGGTACCCACAGATCATGAAATCGAGTCAATAACTGGGGACTGGCGTATGTATGCAACTTGATCGACTTACAAATCCTTCATGGTACTTGCTTGTTTCTATGCTTTTGTTTTCACTTTCTCAGTATAATTTGTGATAGTTTTAATATCCGTATGTGCAACATTTTAGTTTAAAGGATGTTTCTTTTGCAACCTCAGCTGCTGAATGCGTCTGAATTTTGAAACAAGACGCAAGCTTGGTCTCACTAGTTGAAATTAGATGTGACGTTTGTCTTCAGGACAGGCCACTGCACATCCTCTCGAGATACTTTCTTGGCTACAGTTCGTGTAGGATCCGTCTAGAGCTCGCCATACTAGATGTCAGAAGGACCTCTTTCTGATATTGCCCTCACACTTACCGATATCCATTGGATATGCATGCATGTGCGGACTCCTTGTTAACACTCCGTCCAACAGTCATGTGATGATGTGGAGCTCATCACCTTGGATGCGCCAGGTTGGAGGACGGTGTGGAAGTCCATGGATCCGGCCTCGGGTATGATTAATTAGCCGGGGTTAAGTGTGACTTAAGCCTAAGTTCCAGTCTTGCACCGCAAACTTGAAAGTCGATCAAACGTCATTGCAATCCTGTTGACCACCAGCAAGACCACCCAGCAGCAACAACAACAACGACGACGACGACAAGATTGAAAGATGGCCAGCTTAGCAAATCAAGTTATCCTTCATCCTTTTATCACTTCATCACTCAAAGTAGGATCAACATCTGGTAAAATTTTAAATTCAAATTCAAATCCAAACTACATTCCATCTCGATTTTAATACATTCTTCATACATTCTAGTTGGTAGAGATAAGTTATATAGGACTATACAATACTTCTCAAGGTTTTTGGTTTGGTTGTAAGTTAAACAAGTTGATTTCAATTATCAAAAACCATTTGACCGGCTGATTTGCTCTGTTTCAGTTTACAATCCAATGGATACGATAAACTTACCATCACTAGGTTCAATAACCTCAAGTCGGCACTTGGAGTATCACGTAAACGTAATTACCATGAATCTTTCTATTCTTCTCTCTACGCATCAACTGATCAAACTTGTAAAACAGTCTTCCGACTCGGAAAACCTTTAGAGCATCTACAAGCTGCTTTGAAAGCTACCAAGACGAGTTCAGATCCTGTTGTTTCAACTCTAGCGATCGGTAGACAACTGTCTTATTCGATGTATCTCTTCAATGATATGCTCATCTGGGTCAGACTCGCCTGTTTCCCTCTCTATCTCTAAATCTCCGTCATATTTATACTTTTTTTTGTTTGACATAGGCCGACAAGATTAAATTCATCTTTTTGGATAAAACCACATTGGCGACTGTCAATCAAAGAGCTGCTAGGTTTTGGATGGCAGGGATCGCAATGAATTTGGTTTCTTCAATTTTACAATTGTATCAAATTAGGAAAAAAGTTTTGAGTTTGAAACGTGATAAGTATCATAATCGAAATGAAGAAGAAAAAGAAGATCATAAGAAATATCAAATCAAATCTTATCTCAAGTTGAATCTTTTTTCCCTTTTCCTTTTGATTTCCTGCTCACCTCTTTCCAAACATGTTAAACTAATTGACTCTATTTCATTGAATTGACAGACAATCTACTGGTCTTCGATTGCAATTAATTCAAGACAGTTGTGATATTTTATCTCCTACCTCTACTTTGGGATATCATTCTCTCAATGATGGTGTCATTGGAGCCGCAGGGTCAGTTTCATTTCATCTCATCTTATTTAACCTCGTTAGCATAATCTCATCCTATGTGTTTTCTTCAACAGTGTTGTATCCTCTATTCTTGGTCTTCGATCTCAAATCAACAAAGTCTTAACTAACAGCTCCGCAAAGTGAAAAACTGGATCAGATCTACCTAGCAAAGACATCAAAATCCATCAATAAGATGGTATGTTTATCTATCTCCTTTGCTTGAGAGCCAGAGAATCACGTCTGAAAGCTTTATCTTGATGTCAAAGGCAAGACATCTGTAGTCATAGCGTTTTTTTGTTTGTAAACTCGTTTTCTTTGTCTTCCTGTATGAGCGGTGGCCATGAAGGAAAGGCGAGGGCAATATATGAAGCATCTTGATCATGTTTTTTTATCTTCAAACCTAGGATCAAGTTGAGTGTGAGGTAAGGGAAGAGAATCTGGGCTTCTATATGCATATGAATTGAGGCTGGGTACTGGTGCCACACAAATGCTGGTGTTTTAGCTATGTGAAACATTCATGTTTTGGATTGGTGCTGAGCTGTGTGTATAGAGTCCCAAGCTTAAGCAAGCCCCTTTTGATCACTTCACATTTACCATGTCCTCAGAAAGGGTGAGGATGAACCATATTTGGAAGCCACAAAGTGGGTCTTGGAGCAATAGTACTAAAAGCTTGACTGTTCTCAGACAAAGAGTTTGAGGTTTCCAAACATGGTTCAACCATGTAACCACCTCAATGGCACTTCTGGAAGGACTTTTACACCTACTATCACCATCTTCAGACCTCCAGAAAATCCAAGTTCCACATCACCTCATTTTCACCCCAAGGGCCAAATTCCTGAACAATATGTGTAAGATGCTTTTGGACCTGTCTTCAGGTGGCCTGAGATATGACAGTTAACCTGCAGTCAATGACACCTACTTAACAGCCAGGCAGTTTTCCCATTTTAGAAAAAATGTCTGTTTGTCTACCACCACTGCCAGCATATTTGCCTCAGATTGAGAATATCAAGGTGTCTTCAGATCTCAAATCTTGGACAAAATCTTTCCAAGGTTTTGATCCAAGGTATTTTTTGGTGCATAACAACATGTCAGAGAGTTAAGCAAGTCTGAGGATGCCTTGGATTGTGTAACCCAAGGCAGTGCACCTCAGTCCCCACAGATCCATAGTCCAAAACTTCCTGTTGGCAGTATTTGCAAAGATGCAAATTTTGTCATCCTATAAATATCAACATGGAAAATCTCCAAGGAATTTGTTGTGAATTCAAGTTCTATTGTCTGGGATGAACCACCATAACACAGGTGGTTCTATCTGCTCAGAAGAAGCAATCATTTGAGAGATGTTCCCTTATATCTTTAACACTCCATCAACAAAAGGTAACCCAGAAACAATACCTGATGACAATGCCACCAGCAAAGAAATTGATCAGTCAGCTAATGTCAAATTGAATTGAATTTCAAGTAGGTATGAATTGAAAAATGAATGACTTGGTGAATTTTTATCAACATGCTAAAGTTTCATTCGACGATACTCAAGTAATTTTTTTCTTCAAAAGACCAGTTTATATGCATCATCTTGAATCATAATATTTTTGAGATCTTTAAGATGTTGGTCTTTTCTTGTGTTGTGGCAATGGTGATGATTGAGGTACATATCAAGATCCAAAGCCGATGTGATAATTGAACTTCAGTTTGATTGAGCTCAATGGTGTATATAAGGATTCTGATGATCCGATGACCTTGATACGTTTGTGGCACCTTCCTGCCACTTGCTGGTCAGTCGTGTCATTTGGTATCATCACAACTTCGAGGATGTTGGTATTCCAGCTCATTCTGCATGCAGAGACTTTTGTGAATGTTTGATGGAAACAGGTCAAATGTTTTGTGATCGACGGTTTGCTCGAAACTAATGAACACTTTCATTTTCATATACTTAATGAAGATGTTCCAACCTCAAAAAGCTAAGTTTGATTAGTTCTCAGTTCTGATTTCCCTCCATTCCATTTATTTCGATTAACTTTTTCAAAATGTTCTCCAACATCACAAGATCCATCAAACTCAAAATCCCTCATCACTTCAAGTCCAACCGCATCGCAAAAAACCATAGCAAACCAACCCCAACCCAACTCATCAATAACCAATCCCCCAATCAACCCAATCTAGTAGTTCGTATCCTTCCTCAAAGCACTCAAACCAAAATTCAATAAACCGATTTCTAATCTGATTTTTTCCCCCAAAGAAATTTCATAAACCATCAAACCCAGACCCACAAGTTCAATCGAAAAAGAAAACCATCCAAGAAAAAGATGAAGAAATCCAAGCTATTTTAAATGATCAATCAGGTGGGATTAATGCAGTTGAGATCGATTTACAAGACGGTCAACTAAGTGGTCTAAAACAAAACGTTAAACGTAATATGTTTCGTTAGTGGTTTTTTTCTTTGATACATCCATCAACTTGGTTTCTTTTGATCGTTGCAAACCATCTACTTACTTATCCTTCGTTCGTTCTTCTTCTTTCGATTCGGTTTCGAAATCCAGGTGTGATTTAGATTTCTTTCGGGTTATAATAATCATTTTCTTTCTCGTTCTGTTTTGGGGTTGATCAGAGTTCTAAACCGATTTATTGAAGTTGTATACATAGATCAAAGTTTCCAAACTCTTTGCAAATCAGCTGTAAGTATCTTCATAAGTGAAAAACTAATTCAGGAAACATACTACTTGAATTATCCTCAGTAAAACCCAACATGATAAGAAAAAATCCTTTCTTTTAATTCAAATAAATATACACTTGATAGATCATAACCACAAACGAACCCCAGAAAAGCCCCATAAAAAATCTAAACAAACTCAATAAAATACAAAGGAAAGAAAGTCAAAAATCAATCTAATTTAAATACGATTGGATTTAAACTTTCAATTGAGAATTGATTTTGAAGTTGATTTAAAAGATTAAGTTTATCTTCTTGAGCATGAATCGATCTTAATTCAAGAATAGTGACTAAATTAAAAACCAATGAATTCAATAACGTATTCTCATTCAACGAATCGATTAAAGTTTTCATGATCTCTAATGCCTTAAGAGACGTTTTCGAACGGGTCAGTTTGATTTGTTTTGATTTTAAGTCAAGGAAAACCCACGAACCTCTGAAATTTTACCTTGATATAACAAACTCAAAGCCAATGAATTTTGAAAAAGGATTCTAGAATTCGAATCAAGTTGAAGAAGAGTATCATTCTGTAAAGCTTCCTGACACTTCACTTCACATCTATTCCAATCCCCTTTAGCCACACAAAGAAACGTATCCAAAAGCGAATGATGATCCATGGAACTCAAATAAGTTTCCAAAGATCTTACATCACCATTCTCGATCCAAACTTGAGACTTTGAAACCTGATCAGATTCAAGAACCAAATCATGGATCAAATCGTAATCAATCCTTGTAAGTTTTTGATGATTCGAAAAAGTTTCATTCCCACTTAAAAACGAAACTAACAACTCATTCAACCACTCCAACTTACTCTTCCATTCTTCTACTCCTACATCCATACCTTTCAAACACATCAACTTACAATACCTAACCAATTCTAGAACCAAATTAATTGATTTGTTCAAAGAGGTTTCATTTTGGTTTAATAAGAATGGAAGTCTTGCTTGAATGATGAGAATCGAAAATGGAATGAGTTGGTATAAGTTGGTAAAGTTTAAGTGATACGATTTGTGCATGAGTTTAAAGAATTGAGTAAGTTCTTTGGAAAGGATTCTCGGTTGGTTTTGTCTTATTAAACATTCGAATCTGATGGACCATAACTATAGATCCAAAAGAATTCAAACCCGATTGTAAAATCAGTTTCATTTTCAAATCAAAGGATGGGTTTGGTGTAGAATGATTTCTTTACTTGTAAAAGGTTTTGGGTTTCGTTCAGATCGGTTTGGATGATTTGATCAGCCGTGACATCAGCTAAAGTTTTCCAAGACTTTTGTTCCTGAAACCCCGATACAAAATCATCAATAAAAGTTCTAAGATGTTGAAGATGAAAGGTTATGAATATTGAAACTTACGATTAAGTCTTGGATCGTATGGGGTTGGGTTGGTTTGATGGGTTTGGTTGATAAATGTCGTGAGATGAGAATCGAGATTGGGATCTAGATTTGAATGATTGGGATTAGTATTAGTATGAAGGGTTTCTTTTGGATTTGATAGAGTGATGGATTACTTCTGGTAGTGGAGTGATGAGTGATGGTTGGTTTAGTGGTGGTGGTGGTGGTGAATGTGATGGTTGGTTCATGTTTGTTGTGGTGATTTGTGTCTTTTGGTGTTGAACATTCTTGGAGGTTTTAGTTTCAGAGGAATGTCACCTAGAGAGTCACAGATAGATGAGATGTTTTGATAAATGTTACAGTTGATGACATTTGGATTGAATGATTTACCATTGAATCGGATTTGGTGAATGGTAATCAAAGGTAAACAAGAACAACAAGATGAGAAAAACCAAATCATCACCAAAACCAATAACACCAATCCCAATACCAATCCCAATACCAACATCAGGATTAAGAACAAGAACAAGAACAAGAACTCAAACAAGAACAAGAACTAATCAAACTATCATTTCATCAGAAAGAAGTACTAAAAGGTCAACTGGATTTAAATCAGATTTCGATAAATCAGCATCAAACTTAACACCCACCAGATCTCAACTCACTCGATCATCAACTCGTAAAAGACCAATTCCAATCACACCTTTTAAAGATTTAGTAGATTCAACTAGTCTTCAATCTTCTTCAAAACGAATCAAATTATCATCTCCATCATCATTATCAAATCATCAGATCATTAAGAAATCAGAAGATACAAAAGAAAATCAACAAAGACTTGAAGAACCTACTTCTGATGATGAATTAGCATTGAAGAGACCTATCACTAGATCTAATTCGAAAATATTAACTAAATCTAATACAAACCATCAAAAGAATGTCATTCATTCATCTAAATCTCATTCAAATCTTATCAACCCTTCTTCTTCTCATCAAATCAAAGGAAAACAAATCTCAAACGATCAATCAGGACCATCTTCAAATCCTGCTTCATTACCTAATTTCATATCTCAAAACCTAACTCGACTGTTTCAAAAACATCAACTAGAGTTATCTAAACTACAAAATATCATCACAACTGATCCTCAATCTTTACTTTCGATCATCCAATCTGGATTAGATCGTAGATCTGAACTCAATGGCAGTGAAAATCATACTCGTCTTAATCAAGAAGGTGAACTCTTAGATGAACTCAACCATTTATCACAATCTATTAATCTTAACAAACCCAATCATAGAACAAGAAGATCAGTCAATCATAAAGAATCAAACTCTTTGAAACAATTAGATGAAAGTCATCAAAGTTTTCTAGACGAGTTGAAAGCTTTGATCCAACTAGAATTTGTTGAATCGGATTCAGATCATAAATCAAATCAAAAACCTTCAAACTCTAAATCTAGAAAACAGCCAGATGGTTTGGATGAAAGCTACGTATTGAGTGATTGCCTTTTATCTGAAGTGGATGCAAGATGTTTATCAGTAGCAGATGAAAGTATGAGTGGTGGGTTTGAACCAGATCCAGATGATGAGGAGGAAGATGAGGAAGAGGAAGATGATGCTGTAATAGCAGAATTAGCCCTCAATACCCCAGTACCACCGGCATCCGCTTTCTCGAATCGAAATGTACCAATCGATTTATCTCAAGACTCTCCCAACTCTTCTCCAACTCGTCAATCATCTAGAATCAAGAAAAACTCAGTCTTACAATCTAATAAAGATTTAACTTTGATTCGATCTCCAACTCGTTCAGTGTCTGTTCTCAAAGATTTAGAAAGTCAATCTAAACCTACTCCAAGTTCAAGCCTTTTACAGTCTCGTCCGATTTCTTCGTTTAAACCTATTTCAATTCCTTTTGTGGCAGTTCCATCTATACGAAAGACAAGCCCACATTTAACTTCACCACTTCCTTCAACACCTACAAGATCTAGAACAAGGGCAGTCGTAGGAAGGACAAATCCAACACCATCAACTGAGCTTTCGAAAACTGCAACAGGTACTACACCAAATGAACTCACCAACATAACTAAAACTCCAACGAAAAATTCTAAAACTAAAAGGAAAGTTTATAGTAAAGAGATTGTCTTACCATTACTTCATTCTCTATTACCACATCTATCAGGAACATCACCATTACCGATCGAATTTCCTAATCCAGATGATGGTGAGGAGGTCATTGATAAGAAATTAATGTTAAATGAGATTGAATGTTTAGTTGGATTAGAAGAAACCGAATTAGAGTTAAGGATGGTCTTGAACCGAACGATTGTTGAACATGAAGGAAACGTCTTGTTGTTATGTGGAGGAAGAGGGAGTGGAAAAACAGCTGTGAGTGATTACTTTTTTTGCTATTGATGATGAAGAGAACACCGATTGAAGGTGAACTTGATTGGGCTTGATATGATGTTTTGTATCAATCAATAAACTTTGTGAGATAGATTGTGAATAGGACATTAGGTTTGTTTGAAGATCCTAAGATGTTTGGACTTAATAGTTTTATTACGATCAGGTTGAATGGATTGATTCAAACGAATGATAAGTTAGCATTAAGAGAAATGTCAAGACAATTGATCATAGCACTTAATACAGAAAAGATTGAAAACTTAGGATTATCATCAGAAGAAGTAGTAGGAAATCGAGAAGAAGAAGAATTGATGATCGTTGAAGATGGAACAAGTTTTAATACGTATGCAAAAACTTTAAAGAATTTAATTTATTTACTTGAACCACCATCAGAGGAAAGATCAGAGGGTGCTGAGGTTTCGAAAACCTTGGTGATCGTTTTGGAAGAGTTTGATCGGTTTACTTTACTTGATCGTCAAGCTTTTTTGTATACTTTATTGGATATTGTTCAGGGTAATAAAAGAAGAGGTGGGATTTGTGTGATTGGAACGACTGCTGTGGTGGTAAGTTTTGATTTGAATGGATTTATTATTTGTTCGAAATCAAAAGAAAAAGAAAGATTTAATTGATTTTTTTGGGGGGTTTCTTTTTTTTTCTTTTTTGATAGGATTGTTTAGATAGATTAGAAAAAAGAGTCAAGTCTAGATGTCAATCTAGAATCCAATATTTATTTTCCCCAAAAACGTTAATCGAAAGAAAAGAATTAATTAAATCCTTATTAAGTTTAAAGCACAATCAAGTTGAAAAGATCAAAACAGATGATGAAGAAAATCAAAAGATGATAAAGAGTTTTGTACAACAATGGAATGAAGAACTTGAGGGGTGTTTAGAGTTCAATGATTTGAAGGTTTGGTTGGAGAATTTGTTTGGATTGGTTTCGGATGGGGTTCCTAAGGTTTTACAAGAATTAGTTGAGTTTCGTTCATTGGAGTTTCTTAACTTGGTAAAATATTGATTTGATTTTGATTTTGATTTTCAATAGAATCAATTAATCAGTACGATTTCATATAACCTAACCAATGACGAAACCATTGAATTTCCAATCCTAAGCCACTCATCTCCATTCAAACCATCTACAATCCCAACGAAAAAAACTAATAATTCAATCAAAAAACCTAAACCGATAGTATGGTGGATGGAATGGAATTTGTTAAGTAGTATTGAGTTAACGATTTTGATTGCTTCTAAACATTTGAGTTCGGTTTATGAGAGTAGAATGTTTAATTTAGAGATGTGTTGGGATTCTTATCGAAAACATTTAAAGAGAATGGTTTTGAATGAAGATGAGATTGGTACAGGAGGAATTGGAGGAATTGGAGGAAGTGGGTTTGGAGATGATCGGAAGAAACTTGTGGGCGTTGGGGTTGGTAGGTCCCAGGTTTATGGTCGGGATGCATTTGAGATGGTATGTCTACTTTCATCAATTCTTGAAGATTTGGTCATGATTGGTTGATTTTCTGATTTCTGATTTTCTGATTTTGTTGATTGATTAATTGATTGATAATCAAAAGGGATGGGAAAGATTAATGAAATTAGAAATCTTATTACCCATCAAACCATTGAACGAATCGAAATTGTCGAATTCTAATCATGAAAATCATCAAAACGGATTGATTGGAAGCCGATTTGATTATGTTAGATTGGTTTGTTTTTTGAGTGAGATTGATGAATTGATTGAGAATAGAAGGGATTTGGCTTTACATTTGAAGAGGTGGTGTAAGAATTGGTTTGATTGAAGTGGGGTTTGGGGTTGGGGGTTTGGGGGGTTTGGGGGTTTGGGGGTTTAAATATTATTTATGGAATTAGTTTAGATATTCTTAGAGTTTAATGAAGAAAGAAATGTTTTTATACTGAAATAGATGGATTAAAGTTTAAACTTATCATGGAAATTAATTTGTAACAAGAAAAAAATAATTGAAAAAAAAAGCATTTCATCAGATTATGTATGTATGTATGTATGTTGATTAAGGAACTTTGGTTTTTTGGTTATTTGGGTTTTGAGTAATTGGGAAAATTATTTACATTTAATTACATTGGGTTTTATTAATTGGTTTGGTTTAAAACTTTTATTATGATGTTAACTGGTTTATTATCAAGTTTTTATGGTTTTTATGGTTGCCTACCGAGGATTTCTATGTGGGTTAGAAAATTGTGCACCAACACAGTGTGCTGGGTGTACACTGATTTTCACAAGGACATTAATCCCCTTTTGTCAAAGTGAGTTGAGGTTGCTTTCTGCAAAAGCCTCAAACCTGAGGTTATCAAGTGTGCAAGTTTGGTGCAAGTCCCTTGCTGGCTCAAAATCATAGGCTAAAAAAAGACGTTACATCACTTCTGTTTCTCAAAGAACACATAAACATGTTTTTCAAGGTAAAGACATGGTTCAACACCCAAAAGTAGCAAGAAAGACATCCTGCTTAACCATCATGCCTATTGTATTGCATCTAGTAAAGAAAAAAATACAAAGAAAACAATACCTTGGAAATTCTTGAAAAATGTGAGTGATCAACTCAGCGGAATTCACTTTTGGAGAAAGAATGGGCGAGCTTGCCAAAGAGAAAAAACATGTCATGTTTATAAAAGATTGAGTGTCTTCCCATCTCTCAAATCCCGCCCACTAGATGAAGTTGAATTTTCTATTCTTTGATGTACTCATCATCTACAGTGATCTCAGTGATATCATGCCTCTCACTTTCAGGAAGTTTTGAATTATATTCTTGATGTAATCTCTCTGCAAAATGACGAAGTTCTGGACAATCCGAGTAACGGTGATAGATTTTTGAATAATAACCATTGATAGCGTTCGGTAATGGCTCTGCGGTCAAGCTTTTGTATTTTAAAGTGAAAGCGTATACACTTCCTAAACATTGTCGTATGTAAAGCGCTTTGTCTTCTGTCAAGTTTTGATGTCCCTTAGCAATAGGAAGTCTTGCTAAAAGAATTGAAAGTGCATATCTTTCGGCAATCTCTTGTAGATCATCATCAATTATCGTAAAAAATTCTTTATCACTTGCTTTCTTGAAAATTTTGTTGGCCACTTTTTCAAGGGATAATAAATCATATCTAAATCTCCCTTTGGCTTCCTCGTATAGTCGATTTTTCAAAGATCGGTGGAAAATCCATAAATTTTGTTCTGGGTTTGAAAAGGTTTTGTTGAGTTCTAGATGTTCTTTCAACGTTTTGAGAATAATTTTTTCAATGCTCGCTTTCAAGTCGCTGGTGATCGTAAATACAGGTTGAAAGAAATCCGAATTATCTGCCTCTGGAAACAACCTCATGTTGTGGACGCGTAAGACAGGCTCTAATACGTCAATCATTTCGGCGAACTGATCTGGAGTTGTATTCTCATTTCCTTCTGTCAATTTCTTTAGGATTGAGAGTTGAGGTTGTTTAGTTTTTCGTTCTTGATCCGCAATATATTGGGTAAACGCTTCGGCATCAACTGAAGACAAACCCAAGTTTTGAGATTCATGTCAAATCAGAAAATATCTCTTGTCACTGGGCAGTGATGAAGCACTCACAAGAGTCTATGTATTTTTCCACCACTACTTGCCCACTTGGAGCTTTCGGTACGAAATCAAACGCGTAAAGTTTAATACATTAGAGTTGTTATCATCACGGGAAACAAATATGGACTATGTTTACCTTTTTCTAATACTTCTGGAGACCAAATAACTTTGCAAAAGTTTGAGATTTTGAATTACATAAGTAAGAGGAAGATGATCTTGAACTTCAAATGTAGAAAACATCTTAAAATCCTACATACTTGTCTTTTTGGGGCTCAGAAGGCTTTGCCAGTGGAATTTTGTTGGGGTTCCGGGTTCAGATTGGAACATCTTCCTTACAATATTCCATTCATCTGGACAGAGCTCAAAAGAGATCACAATCAACTTCATCTCGATAGGCGTCAAATTTTGAAAGCTTACAAACCTGGTGGACCACTCAGTACAGTTTTGGGTGAGGGACCATCAGGCGAGTCGAATAACAATCTATCGCTCACCTTCCTTCCTGGATAAGTTCAAGAGGAATCATTAAACCAATATATACTTTTAAAGAAGGAAGAAACGGAAAAGTGCAAACCTTCTTGTAAACTATGTAGTCTTTCAAGGACAGGTTTTTTGGGATGCTCGAGTTTCGATGAAGAGAATTTGCTCCATAGGTGGCTAAGTTTTCGCGAAGACTTGATTTTGAACGCGTCGCGATTTCCTATCACACTGTCTACGACATTATACAACATCCTGCATGAAGACACTTTGTTGTCCCTCGATATTCGCTTTAAGCTCGAGTGCGTCTTCGGAGCCAACCATGATGAGTCTCTGCTCTGATCATTGGGTTTATCACACGATAGCTGTTGATATGCACCTGTTAAAGTGGTTCCCTGTTAAGCTTCATAGAGAAATTTCCTAACAAAGTCTCCTTGGCCGTTTTGAAGCGGCTTGAGGACTCACCGCGTTGAGCTCCATTGAAAGGCCTATCCGATTCTGTAAGCATCAGAAGTTTTGGTTCCTTACGTAGATGCATACCAACGACTTCTGCTTTGTTTTGATTTAAAATTCCCAGGAGAGAAAGGGATAATAGAACATACAGCGCACACCGTTGGAATGAAATCAATCCGAACATTTTCACAAAGACTATGAAATCTCAAAAAAATGTATTTATCGGATTATGCTGCGTACATCAACTGCAAGGGAAGGAAATTAACATATGGCGAACATCACATTGGTTTTTATGGAGCTGGCGGAAGGAATATCACCTCGATTTTGAGACTGCAAGTCACCGCTGCGAGAGATAAAGTCTTGTTTTAGATACCTACCCAGTTGAAAGCTCGAACTGAACCTTTTTCTGCAACAGTCACAATGATTGTACAAGAACCTCAATCCACAGTGTTGTATTGACTGCTTTTGAATATCATGGCTTTCGACACATGAAGTTTTTGAACAATGAAGTGAATCATAGACTCCAATACCCTTGACACTCAGAGCTCTATGAGGTAAAAAAGGTTACAAGCGTCTGCATTGTTTGAAAAACGTATATATATATATAAGTCCGGCCACACAGCCATTAACTCTTGTTCTTGACGTGAAATTTGTATCACATGAAGCATCCATTTGATACATCAAATTCTCGAGACTCACCAGCAAGTACATTGTACATGTAGATACAGGTTCTTCATAAATGGTCAAAAAGTTCTGCAAGGAAAGAAGTGAATAGGCAAGTCTAAGGTGATACTAAACCTTCAAACTAGTTTCCAATTTCCTTCACAGCCTTGGAATACAGCCAATATCGAGTTTGCAAAGATTGTGTATCTTTCTCTTGTCTGCTATGCATAGATAGTCTCAATTCTTTGCAGTAAAACAGATCCATTGAAGCCCAATGGAATATATATTCAACTGATGTCCACATGAATAGTATATTCCTTCAAAGAACAGCGTGATAGATGCGCACAATCCATACTTGCATGGAATATGGGTAGAATCATGGTTGATTGCGGAGGCTGTGAAGAAAAGGGTATTTGGGATGACAGTATGGATATGGTTGTGGTAGCAGTTGATTAGAGTATCAAAGCATTATAGGCAATAGCATACCATTGTGACTGACATCGACCCCCATGGTGCAATGTTAATAACATATTCCTGAAGAATCATCAGGGGCATATGGGCCCGGCAGTGGCTAGTGGGATGTCCAATGATCTACCAGTCACCCTCCACTTTCAACTCAGCTGCTCTCTATCACTTCTCCAGGTCATCTTGGCAAAACAAAAATTCAACACTGTGGTGTAATCTTGAGGTTTCCTTCAATGTTTCAATTTTTGTTTAACCTTTCTCATGCAGGCACACATGCTGGATGCCAAAAACTTGGACAATTTTTTGACTGTCTGATACATTCAAGTGGATTTTGAAATGAAGAAACTTTGGTGTTGCAAGCAAATTTGGAAGAGAAAATTATTCTAACAAGATTTTTTTAATCCTAAGATGATTCTTGTTTCTTCTAATTTTTATCAAAGTTACCTTCACGCTTACAACATGAACTCAATTCTCTAACTCTACTCCACAACATCTCAACATGAATTCACATACATCAAATTCAGTCTTTTGGACAAGAGATGTAATCACAGCGCAATGTTCTTTTATCAGACAGTATAATATGGCGTTTACCCATTCCACACTTCAAAAATTAGTTGTTGTTTTTTGAACTCACAGGGTTTGATTCTATGACACAAATCATCATTCTGCATTTCCTCAAATCATAAGGTCCCAAAATTGAAAACACCAAATCAACAAAATATACATTGATACCATAGGTACAGATTTTCGAGTAGCAGTCTTTAGAAAACATCAAAAAAATACTAAAAAAATCAACTACATTAATTCATTCTTTCATACCTACTATCTTTTCAAAAAACAACAATCGACTAGATTTACTTCATTTTAAAGTTTTGCATGACTTTTAATTGAATACCAGCTTTACGACAAGAATCAGCAAATAAAGCTTGTTGTTCAGAAGCCATAGTTGGTTCATTACGTTCAGAATATCTTGAAAATAAAACATCTTTAGTTTCAAGTCCAAGAAACCTTAAACATGGCCAAGTTCTCGAGTTGACAAGTTTTTCAATTAAAGTCCAATCAGGTTGACAACAAACTAACCAAGTGATGTCCTTACAATCTTGAAATGATTTAAGTAATCCATAAGGTTTTGCATCAAATAAAGTTAATTGAGTTAGTCTTGGTAAATCTAATCGATGGTTTTCGGCCCAACTTGATCCATGATTGAGATATTGATCATTCAAATGAATTCCTTCATCATTTTCTGAATTAAATATATCATCTTCTCCGTCACTATCTGTTTCGAATCCATCTTGATTCATGTGCATTAAGTTATCTAGATGTCTAAGTCCAACAGCAATACTAAGACATTCAAGTGTAGGAGCAAAGAATTTAATAAATTTATATAAATCGTTTAATGATAAATTTTCGCATAAAATCAATTTCAAATCCACGAGTTTAGTCGGCCAAGTGTGTGAAATCCATCTTGAGTCGACAAAATGTGGTAAAGCTAGTTCAAGTTCGTTTAAATGTTCAAGTTTAGAAAGTTGATAAGATAATGACTCAGGTGCTCTAAGAGCTGATGAACTTGGGATCGGATTCCCAGGTCTACCTAAAAAAGAAAACGATTGTAAAGTAGGAATTTTGGAGACAAGTGAACTTGCAATCTCTTCTCGATAAGAAACATCAGATGAACTCATGATATTCAATCGTTTAAGATGAGGTAATCTGATCACTAATGGAATCAAAAGGTTTTCAAGACGTTTTACATCTTCTGGTTGATAAGGTGTAGGTTTGTCTGGTAGGTTGATAGCGAGTATTTGAAGATTCGGACATTGCATTATAATTCTAATCACGCTCACCGGATTGAGCTTAGCGATTCTTGATTTGATGTCTTTGATTGTAGGTTTATCACAATCATTTGGACAACGAATAGTATTATCGTAAAGGGTTGATTTTGAAACTTTTGAAGGACTCATGAGACAATGTACAGAAAGATAAATCGAAAGAGATTGAACTGATTCCCCGTACTTTGGTAAGATTCCTTCGGTCCAAGTATCGATTGGTACAGGAAGTGAAGATGGAAATTTGATTGTCTATAATGTAACAACGAACGGTAATCAGATCAATAACTTTGACAAAGCCAGATTCCTACACAAGCAGACGAAAAAAACAAGTTTGATGAAAGCAAATTCACCTTCCATAACCAAGTACGACAAAGTTTCTCCATAGATCGATTAACACAAGCCAACGATTGAAGACTAGTCAAGATAGGTTCAGAATCATTTAAAGCTGAATAATAATGTCGAAATCTTCCATTGAGAAATTGACGAGTTCTAGTAGCTCTAGCAAACTTGAGTTGATGAAGTTCATCGACTTCTTTTAATGAAATTTTTTCAAGGTAGTTGATTATTCGAGCAAGAATTTCGATTGGTAAGTTTAAGAATGGTGAGATTTTTTGATGTTCAGTTGTGATGATCATCTTGAAGTTGACTTGATGATGAAGTGTTTTGTGAGAATGTAGATGGGTTCTTCGTTGGTTTATCGAGACGGTATGATGTGAACAGTCTGGTTTATATAAAAACTGTTAAGTTACCTTAAGAGCACTTACAGTGGGATTCCTTTTTAAGCATTGCCTTTACAAGCATATTTTTTGATAAGCATCAAAAATGATGTAACCATTTTTGGTGGGCAGTAAATTTGGATTTATAAGCATTTTAAGCATATGCTTCAGGTTTTGACTGATATGCTTGTATAATTTCATGTGAAGCATGAAAAAAGAAGCATAACATGATTTTTTCACGTGTTTATGCTTCTATGTGATGCAAGAAAGGAGAAGAAAGGTAGGTGAAGTGGAGTAAATTAGGCTGCATTGAGTAGAAAAGCCAAGATCAATTGAAAAACTGTCTGTCAATTTTTGCTTCTAGGTTTCTGTAGTACATATTTTTCAATAGTTGCAAGTGCCAAGCATGTCATTCAAGCATAGCATAATTTTGAGCATTTTTTATGCTCCTATAGGCTATTAGGTCTGTTCCAATAAGAAGCATTTTTTATATTAGCATGGGATTTGGTGCAACCATCACCATGCTTATAAAGGAATCTCACTGTACCCTGACTTGTCCTACCCTGACCTAGTTTAAAACAGTTCACCAAGTCTCAACTTTCAAGTAAGCTTCGGCGGAGTCTGGATATGAAAAAAAAACCTTGAAGAAGGTCACACTTTGGAAGTCACGGGAAGTGGGTCTCACAGCAGGGACATAGAGTGTATCAACACATCTTGCCCTGAGAAGATATTTTACCTTTGGCTGAGAGCAGCTTTGTTACTTCTCCAGCACAACCAATCGAACGCACTGTATCACAGTGCGGCTTGGACATTAGTGGCTCTCAAACCTGCCCCGGTTTTCAAAAAACCCAGTTGACCCAGTTGTTTTTTGGCAGTAACTTTGTGTATCAAGTTGACATTTGTTGACAGCTCCCAGCCAAAAATTCAACTGGGGCAACCGGGTTCTTTGAAACTGGGTCAGGTTTGAGAGCCACTATTTACAAGAATGATCTAGATACTTGTCACTGGATGCTGAAAATAAAAATTCTCTCACACCATAAGAAGAAAAGGGGCCAGAAGTTTGTGTGGGTTGTGATTGATTGTTGGTTGTTCTTAAAAAAGAATACCATGTACAAAAATTATGGGCTTTAAGAAGTTATGGGAGGAGCCTTTTTAATTTGTTAGCAGGTGGACAGGAGAGACTACATTTATTTAAACCTGAATGCTGAACCACATAAATGGCAAGGTATTCTGAGTATGGCAACTTGTGTGGGATGGCATTAACTTCTCATGCCTATGCTGTCACTAATGTCCCAAATTTATAAGATTTTGCAAATCAAGAAGGAGAACTTATGTGGATTGAATGTTGATTCAGATTTGTATCTGATGGTGAATCAGGAAAAAAAGTTGATTAAATCTCTCAAGAAAAAATCCTCAATACAGATTTCATTCTTATGAGCAAGGTTTAATAATCTTAAATTGTCCTTCTAGATTTCATCAAGTTGTCCTCAGAGCTAGTATCCTACTTACATGAGAAGCCTCAGAAACATTTGACTGTAAATCTAACTTTGAGATTCTTTAGGTAGGTTTGCTACAGGGTATCTTCATTTGTGGTTTTCTTTTGTCAGAGTGATACCCTGATCATGTCTGCTCCAGTGTGGGTGCCTTTTCAGGTTGAATTTTTCTACTTTGCCTGAGCTTTTGAACTTTCTCTAGAACCTTCTTACCAGAATCTGATTTCAAGAATGATAGTATATCTTAGATACCAAAATTTGTCTCAATAAATATCTTTGACCATTGAATTTGAATACGGAGGCTTAATACCCTTGAATTGAGTCATCCATGACTTGTAGGCTTTTTGCACAAAAAGTTTGGATTGGGCCCACCACTGTCCCCATGTTGGTCATTCCACAATAGTGTCTAATTTTGGTTGCCATTTAGTTCTTACTGGGTTTTTGGGGGCTGCAAGTCTGTCTTGTGATGGGAAGTCTATCTTGAATCCATCTATTTCATCTGCTTCATCTGGTACTGTTGTCTTTCCAGCTTGGCCTGGTACTTTTTCAGGTTGAACTTTTTTGCTTTGTCTGAGATTTTGAACTTTTTCCAAAACCTTCTTGCCAAAATCTAAGTATATGAAGGTGTACATATTTCAGATACCAACATTTGTCTCAATCAATATCTTTGACCATTGAATTTGAATATGGAAACTTACCTTTGAATTGAGTCATCAATGACTTGAAGGGTTTTTGCCCAAAAAGTTTGGACTGGGCCAACCGCTGTCCCAGTGTTGACTGGGCCAACCGCTGTCCCAGTGTTGGTTGTTCTTCCACAATAGTTTCTAATTTTGGTTGCCATCTATTTTTTACTGGGTTTTTGGGGGGTGCAAGTTTTTCTTGTGATGGGAATTTTAAGCTGAATCCATCTATTTCATCTAAGTCATCTATGCCATCTGCTTCATCTGGTACTACTGTCTTTCCAGTTTGACCTGGTTGGGTCTCTGGAACCATTGTCTTTCCAGCTTGACCTGGTTGGGTCTCTGGTACCATTGGCCTTTCAGGTTGAACTTTTTTGGTTTGTCTAAACCTTTGAATGCGTTCTAAAATTCCCTTACCCAGATCTAAGTATGATTTTGTTTTTGAAAAATTAGAATTCATCTTCACTAATGTGTTTCAAGAATTTGATTCAAAATCAAAGACTCACTCTTGAATCTAGTCATCAATATATTGAAGGATTTTTTTGGAAACAATCTTGCTATTCTCTGGACAAACTGTCTTGAACCTTGGCCTATTGCCGCTGAGCTACGTCCCAGAGCTTTCTTCAGCTTTGAGAATGATTGTGCAGCTTTGTTACTAAATTTATTCATGAATGACTTGAAGGGTTTAACAGAGAAGAATCCTGCTATTCTCTTAGGACTCCATGGATTTCCACCCAGTGTTGCAGTTCCCTGTCTACCTCTCTTTATAGCTAGCCTTGAAAGTGATTGTCGAGCTTTGCTATTGGATTTAGTGATCCATGACTTCAAGTTTTGTTTTGAGAATTTTGGTAGCTTTTTGAGCTTTGCAAGACCGTCCCGCAGCACTCCTGCTTTGCTTCTCACAGCTTGACTGGAATCCGAAAGGGATTTTGTGGCTTTACTGCCCAAGTCTGAAAGGTTTTTGCCAAATAAGATCAGTTCAAGTTTATGCAATCTATAGATTGATATCAAACCTTACCCTTGAACTTCCCCTTGACATTTGGAAATAAACCTGTCATTCTATCAAAAGAAAGTTTTCCTGATGGTCTTGTGTCTCCTGGTAGTGTAGTGGGACCTTTACCGTTAACGGCAGACGAAGCAGAATCGAAATTCTTTCCAGACTCAAAGGTATCAGGACCAGCATTTCGAATCTTCGACATGGAGTCTGGATCAAGGTCAGAAAGCAAATGAAGTCATATGTTAAATTTAATTCAGGCCATACAAAGCATTATCGAACTTACCCATAGCCTTTGTGTTTCCCACAACATCATCCGCGGTCCTGATGGAATTCAAACCTACAAAGTCAAGACGATTCAATATCAGAGGGAATCCGTCAATTTTTTTTGCTAGAATTTTTATGCATATGTCAATTTTTGGATTCAACGACAAAAGCTGACCTTTACTAGCATCGTCGATCCCAGTAGCCGAAATCTTAGCGCCGTTCCCACCAAGGCGTGCTAAATCGTCCATCGCTCCCAACCCTTGCAGAGGAAGTGGAACAGCTAGCACCCAAATCATTTGACACAAGATGATACTTAAAATCAACATGGCACATAATTTGACCTTGAGGAGGTTAGAATCATTTGAGGAAAACATTGTGACAATGGTGTATGTTGGGGAAAATGATAGGTTGGTGTGTTGTCCCTCTGACGGGTAATGAGGAATTCTTTCACTTTGAGAGATGGTTGAATTGAAAATGTTGAAATCAATTCAGTTCGTGATCTGGGTTCCGGTTCGAGTTTCTTATGTTTATGTATGTTGCAATGAATTTGGTGGATATGGAGGGGTGTTCGTCCTGAAATCTTATCTGATCAATTCTAGCTTGTTAAAATATCACCACGAATGTATTTTAGGTCACTGAGGAAGATACGATCCAAATTCGGATATCGTGAATTTGGTATTTTGAAAATGTCCACTCAAGATAGGTGTAAAAACACAATAGAAATATAAATAGTATTCGAAGAATCCAAGGCGCTACCAATCCAGTCTAGCAGATCATGAAGTTAGGTACAGTCAAGTGATCTTGCGACGTTTGAATTGTGAAGGTAAAGTATGGTAGATGAGCACACGCAAATAACTAAATAGTGAATCCAAATGTCGATGATAGATGAATGTCCAAGATAAGTGGAAGTGAGAGACCCCGTTGAAGTCGCTTGACAATGCGGGAGTGGCAGTCGAAAGGTGATGAAGCGATACTTTTTTGATTTGAAGTATCATTGGAGAATTACACCGCTTCGTTGTGGATGAAAAAATGAAACGCTTCATCATCCTTGAATCGAAGTCGCTGAACACCTTGAGCGTATCGAGGTTTCGAAGGCAGTGAAACCTGTCGTATTGAAGGTGATTAATTTCTTTAGTGTACTACTATTGACACTCAAGGTACCATGTCACCTCAGCGAGCACAAGGGTTGCCGTTTCGAATGTTTTTATATCTCAACAGAACTTTTACGAAACTGATGCCGGGTATTGAATTAATCAAATAAGATTCCTGTGATGAAGAACAGGTTATTAGCTTTAATGGAAAGCTAATCACACTGATCGAAAAGAATCAACAATACCTGTGATGAAGAACAGGTTATTAGCTTTAACGGAAAGCTAATCACACTGATCGAAAAGAATCAACAATCTGAGTAAACAAAGATTGTTAAAAAGAAATAAGTTTGAGTTCGATGAAGAAAAAGGTTACAAAAGTAAAAGAGAGAAACCTTTTAATAGAATTCAAACATGACGTCATAACAGGTAAATGATGTAAGCAACAGAGAAACCTAAAAGCGCATAACACAACGCGTCAACATCTCAATTCCCCCCCGTCTTTGCTACATCATTTAACCCCATTAACATACAAAATTTCTTATGCTTTGCTGGTGTTAAACCCTTTGTTAATACGTCTGCTATCATATCATCTGTAGGAACGTATTTTACTTTGATTTGTTTGCTTTCAGCCAACTCTCTTAGCCAATGATATTTAACATCTATATGCTTTGTCCTTGATTTAAACTTTTCATTCTTAGTCAATGCTATTGCGCCTTGATTATCTAAATTTAAAACCGGTGATTCTTCTTGTTTGATATCTAAATTTCTTAACAAATGATTAAACCATACAACATCTTGACCCCCTTCATAAGCTGCTCTGTACTCCGCCTCAGTAGTTGATGTTGCCACATTTTCCTGCTTTTTGCTCTTCCAATTTACTGTGCTATCACCCAACATCGTAACATACCCTCCTGTAGACCTTCTGGTGTACGGGCATGCCGCAAAATCCGCATCTGCGTAAGCTTTTAAATCCAAACTCTTTCCTCCTAACACAATCCCCATATTCCTAGTTCCACTCAAATACCGTAACACTCTCTTAAAAGCTTGCCAATGAATTACCAAAGGACTGGTAAGATGTTGCGACAATTGTGATACTACAAAAGAAATATCTGGTCTCTTAGCATTATTTAAGTACATTAACATCCCAACCGCATGCCGGTAATTTTCTTTCAAACTGATAAATTCTTCAACTTCTTCTTTCGTTCCAGGAATTAGGTATGTATTAGGAATCATTGGACAACCAACTGCTTTGCTATCTGACATTCCATATTCTTCTAATAAGTTGTTAATGTATTGTCCTTGTGATAATGTGATTGTCTTGTTGAGTCGATCTCTTGATACCTTCATTCCTAAAATATATTTGTAATCAACGTCCTCATCCATCTGAAACCTCTCTGTTATCAACCTTCTAAATCTTCCAAAATCATCACTTGCAATTGTCATGTCATCTACATGAAGATGCACAAAACACTTCCAGGCAGGATCTGAAGAGATGAACAAACTGGGATCCGACAAAGATGGAAGCAACACTGCAACCGCAACGCAACGCAATGGATTTTGACGTATTTCCATTGCGCTGCGGAGCCAGCGCAATAACACGCTACGAAATCAACCGCAATTTTTCATAAAAAAAATTCTCTCGACGTTGCGGTGCGCAGTCAAGGGCAATATTTCCACAATATTGCCCGCTACGCAATATATGCGCAATGTTGCGCAATATTGCGGATATTGCGCATATTGCGCATATATTGCGCAAGAAATTGTAGTATACGCACACACAAGATAGTATTTATTGAAAAGAAACATTTTTTTTGATACGGACAATGATCATAAGCATATTTGATCAACTCGAAAAGAATATAAAGAAAAAACATCAACACTAGACTACTTTTTTTTCTTCTTGGCTACATTGTCAATGAAAGCTTGAAGCGCTTTTGCTGCTTCTAAAAAATCTCCATCTGGTATAATCCCGTCCTTAAGCCAAGCTTGTGATCCTACCAACCGCTCCATTGTCTTAGGCAACATGCCGCCTCGTGAAGGAGTGCACACATCGGCAGCCGCCGAAAAGGTCCGTTCGCAAGCACATGATGTGGCAGATATCGAGAGATAATCTCGGGCTAGCTTTGCAAGGATGGGAAATCGGTGTTGATGTTCCTGTAAAGACAGAACCATTGTCAGCATGTTCATATTGAAAGAAAATTAAGAAAAAGGAATGAACGTACTTTCCACCATCCAAGCGGAGTTTGGTCCTTCTTTAACATACAAGCACCTTGCAAATACTCCTCAATCTCGGAGTTGGATGCTTTGGCAGTACCGGAGCCTGCAACTCCAAAGACATCAAAAGGATCGACGTCGGTTGAAGTGGTGTCATTTTCAGGAGTTGGAGTCGGTTCGTGCTCCTCAAATTCTTCAAGTTCAACGCGAGAGGTAAATTCGTGTTCAATCAGTGCAATAGCAGACGAGTGATGATCAGAATAATGAAGCTCAAAGAACTTCCCCCGCAGTCGTGGGTTGAGGATCGTTGCTAAAACAATGCTCTCGCATCCCACAGCTTCTTCCTGATACTTTGAGAGCCACTTGATCATTTCGTCAATCGCATCTTTGAGGCTTGAGTATTCCAATGATTCGTTTTTAATAAGTTTAAGCTCGGAAATGACACGTTTGTATTCGGTTAGGAGGATGCATCCGGTAGGTCCATTTCCTTCAACGCGAGCCGTGGCATCTACAAAGGTCTAACCAAACATAAGAAAGTCAGTATATTATTGAAGGTCTGCAAAAAGAAAGGAACATTACCTTTAATATTTTATTGACCAACTCGACTGCGTGCCATTCAGCCGGTGAGATAGTCACCCCCTTGAAGAAACAGGCCTTGCGATCCGCTGCAAGCATCGAGTTAATCACCTACATATAATAAAGAGTCAGTGAAGATTAGATGGTGTAGATGGAAGAATTAAAACAATACCTCTTGTGCTTCGCATGCTATCTTCCGGCTTTCATAATGGCTGTTCCAACGCGTCTTGCAAGGACGCTTGAGCATCCTACCTTTATATTCGAGACGCTCGGAACGTGCCTTGAAATCTGATCGCCTGGCTGCACTGCTAGCAATTTGGCCACTGACTGTGTCAACCTTTATGCAGTAAAAACAAACTATCAGTCAAAATTGTAATCATACTATAGAAACAAAGAAAATGACAAAAAGACTTACTTTTGTAAGAGCGATAGCAACAATATCGTCTTTGTTACATACTTCACCATCTACATTTTCATCCTGAGTACCATCCTCTTCATCAACTCCATCGGGTTTGTCAGGTAAGCCAACGTTGTCCTCTTCATCTGATTCAGAATTATCAATCTCAAGTCCATCCTTGCCATCATTGACCTCAAGAACTGGAATCGGGAGGGGAACACCTTTTGGAATGGTTGGTTTTGTTGTATCAACCTTCTGACCGAGAATTCGAAGGCCATGCCCAACTGTGAGGTTCAGCTTGTGGGCATAGCAGCGGACATGGTGTGCCGAGTTGTCCCAAGTGACTGATTCCTTTGCCGCCGCAAACATCGTCCGCATTTCGTCAGCCATCGGACCGTTATTGCTGCCACTGTCAGTAGTCTGCGCTAACATGTAGATACAAGAAACAAAAAGTTAGGGATAATTGTGTAAAGTATCAAAAGCCGAAAGAATGAACAAAATTGGTACTTATCTTTTTGTGAAGACCTTGACATATCAAGAAACGTCCGATAGGTCTTGCCAAGAGAGCCCCATAATGTCGCCACGCGACCCTCTTGAGCGTCAGGTGTGTCGATCTGTAGTTCCAATCATCGTCGATGTAGTTAGCAGTGGCACCAATGAAGGCATACCGGTTGCCTTTGGTAGTCCACACATCGTGGATCAAACAAAACTTTCCCTGGTTTTCCTATTCAAATAATCGGCAGTTTCAAAACAATCAGTTTCATATTTGGGTTACATACTGAATGAACAAACAATTAATTAAAGATAGATATTGACTTACTTTAACACTGGTAATTGCTTGATGGCGCAAAGAAGAGTACAGCACAACAGATTGCTGTGCTGCCCATGTTCTCGAACGGACAGTCGCACCTCGATTGACAGTATTGAAAGCGGCGCAAAGGCCCGGGTCTTCAAATCGGGCCCAAGGAAGCGCGTGCCGGACGATCCACAAGACCAAGAGCATGTTGAGAAGCTCTACTGTGAAAGGTGGCCCAGTTACAAACGATGAGAGAGTTCCTTTGTTGTTTTTCTTGATGGACTCCTGCTTGTCGTTATATGAAGGAGGAAGGTTGAAGCCCGCGGCAATAGCTTTATGTCGCTGCTTGCACACAGGGCGTACAGCGCTACCATCACGATGCCCACGTAAGTTAAAGTAGGATGTCTTCGATTTGTCGCCTAGGAAACTTTTGTGACAAAATCGACAATTGTAAGTTCGGCCCTGAATAAGAGGAACATGTTTTAGTATAGCTGACAATACCTAGATACTGAGACAAAAATTAAAGCTTACCTTGGGTGGATGAAAATATTTTTTAAGATCATCCACATCAAGAGACCGAGATGCATTGTAGCCAGGTTCATCGTTTTTGATGATCTCGACTTCAGAAGACTCTTGATCCACATCGACACCATCTGGTACCTCATAGACCTGAACAAACATTTCAAGCATTATCAATATCCTGAAATATGGGAAGAGAATAGATAAAAAGTGGAAGAGAGAAAATGAAAAAACAACAATCAAAAGATATACAACTTACATCCGCTTTAGTCTTTGATCTCTTCGATGATTGGGGTGTTCCAGCCGATGAAGTAGCTGAAGGTGACCGCGCACGCTTGCTAGCCGAGGATCGAGTCTGCATGGAGTAAAGATATCAACTGTCAGCTGATCACTCTTCGAACATCGGCCAATAATCAAAAAAGAAGAGATTTGGCTTACCTTTCCTTTGGAAACGGGTTTGGGGTTTTTATCGGCCAAGGGTCGAGGCAAAGCAGGTCGATGAGAAAGGGTTCCAGGTAATTCATCCGTGGCAGGACTAGATGGTCGAGTAAGAGCTGTCCAAGAGTCGTTTGGAGTGATGATGAAGCCCGGCTGCTTACGAGAAGGGCTTGCCGGGCGAAGGGTTCTAGTGGAGGACGTACCCGGAACCTGAAGCGTACTTTGAGAGGTTTTTGGGGGGGCCATGGTGATCAATGTAAGAAAGAAAAGGGAAGATGAGATGAGTGTAATATCAGGAAAGTGCGATCGAGGAAAAGATGCTACGGAGAAACGGGCATACCTCTTATGAAAAACTCGTATCAAAGGTGAACCACATGTCAGCCGCAGGGGAGGTCTTGTCCAGGGGCTCCAGGAGTCGTCTTCCGGTGTTTGATAGATCCAAGCGCCACTTCTTTCCATAATAGGACGATTTGAGGCGATTCGAGTGGAGGAGTGGTTGGGCGACAGTGACTCCTGTACACAGCCCCCTGGTACAAGGGTTTCACTGCGCAATATCCGCAATATATCGGAGTGAACCGATATTTCGTTGCGGGTTTTGAGGACCCGGGGTTTTCTGGCCCGGATTGCGGTGCGCTGAAACCGCAATATCTTGCGGGGCCATTGCGGTCCTCAAAAACACAACGCAACCGCAACGCAACCACAATAATTTGTGGAGCGCTTGCGGTATTGATGGAAGTAGAGAAATAGTTTTGAAAAATGCTTTAAGACAATTGTACCATACTTTTGGTGCTTGTTTTAAGCCATAAAGTGCTTGATTTAATTTCAGAACCAACACTGCAGTTGCACCTGTGATTTCTAAGCCTTTTGGAATGCGAAGATAGATAACTTCTTCCGGCGAGCCATTTAAAAAGGCCGCTACTGCATCCATTTGGTGTACTTCCAAGTCATGTACAGCTGCCATCGTATTCAGTGTTCGTAAGGTTGCCAGTCTGCCTGTTGGTGCAAATGTTTCATTATAGTATTCTCCATATTCTTGAGAAAATCCTTGCGCACATAACCTTGCCTTAAACTTTATTAATTCACCATCTCCTCCCATCTTTCGTTTGAAAACCCAAGTCGTTCCTATAGCATTTTTGCCTGCTGGTAACTCACATACATCCCACACTTTCCTTCTGTCCATATTTGCTAATTCATTATCAATAGCCTTGCGCCAATCAAAAGCATTATCCGACTTAAGAGCTTGTAAATACGTCTTTGGATCTATCTCAACTTGAGCGACTCAAGCAGAAATAATTGGAAACTGTTGGTGATTGTTCAAATGTCAAGTTGCTTGAGCTATTTGACGCTCATCAATTCGCTTCAATCGCCGAGCTTCATGAGACCGATGCCTTTTTGCATCTGGCGGTAGAATATTTGATGGATCGATTGCGCTAGTGATGTCATTCGGAGCTGCAATTGTTGCTAGTTGCCACTCCCAGGTTCTTTTCTCAGGGACAATAGATAGTGGAATGGGAGGATCAGGGAGATCTGGTACAGGATGCTCAATTGCCATAGGTGTACCTTGATATACGACAAGTTGATTTTCTTGCAATGTAGACGTGACTGTTGTTTGATTTTCTGCTGACGGCGATGTGGTTGAGATTGAATTTTCAAGTGTAGTGTTTTCTTCGTTTGTCGAAGGAATGATCAATGTTTGTACAGGTTCTGGGCCTTCAGGTGATGGATTTGAAGATACTGAAGTTAGAATGTTCATAGTTGTCAAAACATCTTCACATTCTTCATTGAATTGCAAACCTTCTTCATGTTGAATACCCGGAGAGCAATTCTCATCAAACGTGACATCATGAGAGAAAATGGTCTTTCCTGAATCTAATCTTACTCGATAATTTTTCATACCTAGTTGATATCCTAAAAGTATACCTTTTTTGCTCGTGTTGTCAAGCTTTTTCCGGAATGACTTAGGAATCAGAACGTATGCACGACATCCAAATGGCTTCAATCTTGTTAAATCAAAACTTCTTCCAAACCAGAGATCATAAGGCATTTGACCGCCAATCTTTTCCATTGGAGTGACATTTTCCAAAAAGACTGCCGTACTTACTGCTTCTCCCCAAAATGATTGAGGAAGATTAGACTGATGAAGCAGAGTCCTGGCCTTTTCAGTAGTCGTGCGATTTCCGCGTTCCGATACTGAATTTTGCTGAGGCGTGTATGGTGCGCTTAAATATGAAGTCGTTCCATTTTCCTCTAACAATTTACAAAATTCAGTTGACATATACTCACCTCCTTGATCATTCACAAGGCTCACAATCCTTCGATTATGTAAAGTCTCAACTTCAGCTTTAAATTTGATAAAACATTGGAATGTATCCGCCTTTGATTTCATGATGTATACATATTTGTAATTAGTGAAAGAATCTGTAAGCTTGAAATAATAAAGGCCACCACCTTCAGAAACAACTGAGATCTTTCCACTTAAATCACTGTGTACAACTTCTAGCGGAAAAGTGGTTTTGGGGAGTTTTCCAGAATATGGGAGACGATATCCTTTAGATAACATACATCCTTCACAAACCCAGTTATCTGGTGCATTGAATCCATACATAAGCTTTAGACGTTGAGGGTTGACATGTCCTGAACTTCTGTGTAAGACATTATAGTCAGTGAGAGTCGTTTTGTTGCAGATAGGAGAAATTGACGTGCCTAAAGTAAGATCTAATTCAATTACTCTATTTCTAATTTGACCACGAAAAACAGTTTCTTCTTCTTTCAGCATCATAATAATCCCTTTGTCATGAATTAAATTATACCCATTGTTAAGGAGACACCCCATACTGATAAGAGGACTTCCTAATTTTGGAACATGATAGGCCAATAAAGTGATTTGTCTTCCAAAAGTATTGCAAATTACTTCTCCTTTTCCTGCGATCCGAATTACTCCACCATCTGCAATTGATACTTCTGACGATAACTCAATATAAGTGGTGAAAAGAGAACGATCATTGACCATATGATCAGAGCAAGCGCTGTCGAGCAAAATGTTGCTACCGTTCTTCTTATAATGACAAGATAAAGCGGAAGTTTTGATTATGTCATCAAGGTATGCAGCTTGTAAGACAGCTGTCGTAGCTTGAGAACGGACAGGAAGATTTGCTGGTCGCAAGTGAGGAAAAGCAATCCAGCATTTATCAGGTACATGACCTTTAACTGCTGGATTATGACGTCCATTAGAGCACGTTGGATAAGGATAACGGTGTCCTGAACGATGAGCGGGTGGTCGATTGTTGATCGCCGCTAATGCAATAGAGTTGTTGTCAGCTCTATGTCGTTTGTTGTATTTGATAAGATGAGCTTCAAGTACATCAAAAACAGTTTTGGTCTTCAAAGGACGTTCCGTTTCGAGGATAGCCAAAGTAGTTTCCATTGAATTGGGTAATTTGGAAACAATAGTCTCGGAAATGCATTCATGAATTTTGTCAGTGAAATTGATTCCGACAGCGTGCATTACAGCCAAGTTTGATCTGACATCTTTGATGTATTGAGATAGAGTAGTGTAAACAATTTGATTAAAGGCTGAATAGGCTCTTCCTTTGCTGCTGGAGGTTGTTGATTGAAACTTTTCTTTCATTAAATTCCAAATGTCCAATGGTTTGTTGATGAATCCTTCAGATTCAACCATGATTCTATATTGTTGACTCATGTGAGAGTACATGATACCCGCCGCCTTTCGTTGTCGAATGACGTAAGCTTCATAGAGAACTTTTTGTTCACGAGGTACGGGTTGTTCCTGTGGTTCTGGTACAGGAGTTGCATTGGAGTCGATGAACTCGTCTAACGTGGCAGACATGAGCGCTCCGGTGATGTCTCCTTTCCATTCGGGATAATTGTCTTCATCAAGCTTAACGATACGAAGTCTTGTTTCGGATGATGACATGATGACAAAAAGAGTGGCGATGAAAAGTGAGAAGATGAGTGATGTGTGTGTGATGTGATAGAACATAAGTCGATCAATGTGCAATAGCAAAATTTTTTTTTGTGGTGTGACGAGATGATGTGATGATTTTGTACAGCTAGTGTGCTGGGCTCATAACCAATCAAATAAGATTCCTGTGATGAAGAACAGGTGATGATTTTGTACAGCTAGTGTGCTGGGCTCATAACCAATCAAATAAGATTCCTGTGATGAAGAACAGGTTATTAGCTTTAATGGAAAGCTAATCACACTGATCGAAAAGAATCAACAATCTGAGTAAACAAAGATTGTTAAAAAGAAATAAGTTTGAGTTCGATGAAGAAAAAGGTTACAAAAGTAAAAGAGAGAAACCTTTTAATAGAACTCAAACATGACGTCATAACAGGTAAATGATGTAAGCAACAGAGAAACCTAAAAGCGCATAACACAACGCGTCAACATCTCAATTGAATTGGGGGAAAGATGAAGGGAAACTTGGTAAGCTTAACTCAGGACTTGAACATGTGACATCATAAATGCTCTCGTGAGATCAGTTGGGTATTGTTCAACTAAATATGGTTGTCCTGCACAATTGGTCATACCTCACAGTCACATCCCCTGTCTTCAAATTGACATATTTATCTGTTGAGCCCGCTGCCCTGTTATAGTACCAATCTGAATCACTGGAGCAGTTTGCCCAGTTTTTCAGTTTTGCACTCGACAAAATTTCCCACTATTGCGCTATATGATTTGAGGCGCTATGAGAGACAGGTGTGTCTGAAAGGCGTACACCGATTTGCTCTGAGATACGTATACTTGCAATGGTTCGCACTGAATAGTGCAATAAAGGAGAGAAGTAAACAACGATATTTTTCCAAATACTATGCTCGATCAAACATAACCCTAAGGAAGAGTGAGGGTATTGAAGTGGTGTGTGAAGAGAACCGGATATATGAAGAAAAAAAGATAACAAAAATATCAAAAGAAAACACCAGAGACTAGCTATAGTGGCCTTGTGGCTCTATGAGGTGCCCAGTGTTATACAGGTCACATACGAAAACCAACATTTGGGTTAGCTTCTGTGCATAGCTAGCTTTGCTTGTTAATTAGTGTGGTCAGGCTTTTCTGCTGCCTTTGGCTTACGCGGTCGAGGGCCGCGCCGGGCCTGTGGTGGTAAAGACCTATACCAGTCGCGGGCAGCTGCCTCGAGGCGAAAAGCACTTTGTCGCTTGCGAATTGCTTGCCTTTCTGCGCGTTTTTTGATAACATCTGAGAACCACATGCAATGAACATATATCTCAACTCATCTAGCTGCCTTATGATAGATACAGAATGAATCGAGACTTACTTTTCCACATAACACTCCATGACTTGTAATACCTCGCCAAGACCAATTTTGCCCTTCTTAAAAAATTAGGTTTTGCTGCTGTTTTTATCAAGATTGGCTTGAAGCCCTGTCTCGATGGATCCAGTGTATCTTCCAATGGCTTTTGTTTTCCTTTCATGCGTTTGAAGGGATTCGGAAAAGATTGTATAAATTTTTTAACCCGATCTAAGGAGAAATGGTCAAAGCAAGGTATATAGATAAATCCATTTCTCTCGATCCAAGTGACCAAATCAGAACTTACTTTTTAATTTAGTGATCCAGTTCAAAGAAGAATGAACGTTCTTGAGATCTGTAGAAGGATCTTTGATAGGGTATATGATCAACTTATGATGTGGAGACTGGCTTAAACGATTGAGTAGCTCATCAAGCATACCTATGACTTTTGGAGATTCCAAAACACCGTCAGTAGACTTGACAGTATCCAGACCTAAAACGTTGAAACCAAGATCAGTAAGTAAGATACAGTTTGAGGGGGATAATGGAAGGTCTTTAAAACAATAGTGACACTGAACCTTTTGTAATATCCTTGATCCCATTAGCAGATTTCATACTCGCGATGTCAACCGAAGAAGATGCAACCTTGAAAGATGGAAAAGGAGGCGGTAAGGCCATCACCAGCATCTTTTCACACATCACCATAGTCAGGAGCAACAGAGTTGAGAGTTTGAAGCTGAGAAGTTTCTTCTTTCTGGAATGGTACAAGTAAAATGTGGGACCCGTCTTATCTTTTAGGGTGGTTTTCATATTTTTTGCAATATTTGGATTGTCAAGTGGTAGTTCTTTTGGGAAATTTGTATCTTGTCGGAAAGAAAGCAGCTGCTGAAACTGTTTCTCTTAAAGATTGACTTGATTTCTATTTTGTGATGTTCACAGTAGGTTTGAAAAATATATATACTCTGTCGCTTCGAAGTATTTGTTTTTGATACAAGGGGGTATTCTTTCTATTGAGGATATCTAGCCAAGTGGGAAGAATATCGTGACAGCGCTTGTTTGTTATTTCGTTGTGAGCCGTGATTTTTGTTGTGACCTCAAAATGCAATTATCTGGTCGATCAAGAGATTATAATGTATTTTTTAAATATAGGTCACCCAGCTAAAGAAGAGTTAAGAAGTCTTGTCATGCAAAATGAATGGTTTGGATTGTTATAGGATAGTTTTGGGTGATACAAAAAACGTCAATCGTTTGGAAACAAGAGAGATGTAAAGCTTGGAGAATATTCTCTGATAGACGTCCTAAAAGCACATAAAACCAGAGCTGCGCGATGAAAGAGATCTGCAGAACACATACTGAAACCTCTCATCAGTTTGTAAAATTGACCTCGCTGAATCCCACTCTACAGTTGACGTCGCTGAATCCCACTCTAAAAATGACGTCACTGAATGCCACTCTAGCGTCAGTTTACGACCTTCCGCCAAGAGCAAAACCTGCGATTGGAGTTGGAGCACGTCCAGCGCAGTGCATACATAGAGTGCAGAGCATCTTAGTGCGCGCAACACGCCTATATTTACAAATCCTCTGACAACTGTGCGGCTTGAAGAACTTCAACATCATCACTGAACATAGTCGCAAAGATAGCTTATCCGCTGTAGAAACATCGGGGATTAAGTGTTTTTACCCGGGGATAGGACCTTTTACCTTTTTCTAGGGGGCATCTGCTTCTACCCCAGCTCCTTCTTAAAAAATTTCACGGAAGTCATGATTTCAGAGGTTCAAACTTCCAAGTGACCTTCCAAGATGAGAATTAGAACCATTGAGACACACATAAATTATTGGGGTAAGAAAGGTCTTCCGCATTTCAAAGATCTCTACTTGCATGAACATCTCTTCTACTTTGCCATTTCAAAACAAACAAAAAGCAACATCTTGCTAAGTCTCTCATACTGATAGCACTGAGAAGATCTGAAGCTTGTAAATGAATCCACTAGTCTTCTGTTCTCTTCTTTTTTTCTTGAAAAAAAGGTATCATCCAAATTTCTTATTTGATTCCATAATAACTCAATCAAAGAAGTTAGGTTGGGTATGGTTTTTAAGGATTGATTTCACCTATGCTCAACACTTCTTACAAAATCAAAACAAACCCACTTTTAGGCTGGTAAAAAGTTCTGGATGTGTTGCATAACAGATCCAGAGATTATCAATCAACCTTAGCATGTAGTGGAAAACCATAGTGATGATATATTGATCTGATTTTTATGGATATATCAAGCAAATAATTATATTGCTTCAGAAAAGCACATATTTCATGATCATCATCATCACCAAAGATAATTTAAACTATAAAGGAGGATATGGCCAATGTTCCTTCTACCCCTTCTACCTATCATCAGATCACTTTTTCAGATATTTTAAGCTTTTTTCTCAAGTGGTTATCCAAGTATGAAGTTGTTTTCAAGATATTAAGATTTATCTCAATTGATATTTTCAATCATCAGAGTGAAACTCAAAATTAAAAATGATGCTGTTGTTTAGCCATCCATGGCTTGAAGGATTCATTTGATTCAGTGATTCTCTGAAATTGTCTTTCCAGCTTGGTGGTTGAACTTGTGTCTCTGGCAATGTCTTTACAGCTTTTCCTGGTTCTGTCTCTGACACTGTTGTCATTCAAGATTGAACCTTTTTGTTTTGTCTGAAATTTTGCATATGTTCTACAAATCCCTTACCAGTATCTAAGTATAAAGTTATTTGAAATCAAAAATCAATTTCAATCAATCCTTTTCAATCATCAGATCCAAAATCATAGGTGACTTACTCTTGAATCTATTCATCACAGACTTGAAGGATTTGATTGGTAAAACTCCTACTATTCTCTTGAGACCAATTGGTATCCCACCATGTTTTCTTGTAGGCTTAAGCTTTGAAAACGATTGTATAGCTTCTTTTCTTAATTCAATAAGCTTTGACTTTGAGTTTTTGATTAAAGTTTGGGGTATCTTTTCAAGCTTCTTGGTATCTTCTGTCATCAAACTTGTTCTACTTCTGAATTTGGTTCTTGTCTTTGCAAGCATCTGTGTGAGTTTTTTCCTCCAATCTAAATTGATTTTTAATGAAATCAAAATCAATTTAAGTTGTGTTTTTTCTTCAATCAAATGAATCAGGATCAAAATCAAAATCACTCAATCTCACCTTGATATTTTCCAATTCCATTTGAAACCAACATTGCTGCCCTTTCAAGACGTAGTTTTCTTAATGATATTTCAGTTCCTGGTAGTGTGATTGAATCTTTACCATTGGAAGCAGATGAAGCAGAGTTCACGTCTTTTCCACTAGTGGTTTCATCAGCAAACTTTGAAAGCTTTCCAGTCTTGAATTCATCAAAGCCAGTGTGTCTCAATTTGGACATGGAAATTTGAGCGTGATCTAGGAATCAAATCAAGTAAGGTTCATTTCACTCAGTGATAAGATAACCAAACTCACCAAAGGCTTTTGTGGTTGGCATGACATCATCCGTAGGCTTGAGGGTACCTAAACCTAAAGAAGTTCAAAATGATGCCATATAGGCCACAGAAATCCATTGAATTTGGGTCAAGAAATCTAATCACAAGATCGATTTCTAAAACTCAAAAAATCAAAAAAAAAACTCACCTTTACCTGAATCCTTGATCACATCAGAGTTTTTAACAGTATTCCTACCAAAGCGTCCTACATCATCTAATATTCCAGAAAATTGCATAGGAAGTGGTACAGCCATGACCGAGAAGATGATACTTAGGATAAGAATTGTTGAGAGTTTGAACTTGAGGAGGTTAGAATCGTTTGAGAATAACATTGAGATTAGAGAATATGATCTGGACCTGGTGCTGATTCGGTCTAGGAGGTAATGAAGCTAGATCAACATTCGAATTGTACGACGTCAAAGTTTCTTGAATATAAAAGTACAGTGATTGATCATATAAATTGAAAAAATGTGAATGTAAATCCCGCTTAAAGTCGGTTTACAAAGCAGAGATTGATCGACGTAAGCTAGAAAGGTAGAGTTCCCGACTCAAAGTATCCTAGAAGAGTAACAACGCCGAGGTGTGAATCCATAAAAAATGGGAAACGTTCCATCGACTTTAATCATTAAGAACGCTAATTACCTTTGAGGCTAAGCTTGTCGAGTTTTCGAAGTTATTGAAACTTGTCATGTTGAAAGCGATCCGACTTCATTCATACTATCATCCCTACTCAAATACCAACACGCAAGTTGTCTTTTCGAATCTCTTTTGCCTCAATAGGACTTGATAAGATTTGATATCAGGTAACCAGATAGATATCATCACCAAGATGGATGGCGCTTAGGTACAAAAAATTGTAAAAACTTGAAGCCATTGAATGTTGGTACACTCTGAACTAGAAGTCGGAATGTGTTTCGACAAACGAGAAAAACTTGTGTCCATCAGCCAAGAAAACCGGGCACAAAGAGAAATCTGGGGAAATGTGATCTCGAGCAGTAAACGTGCTCTTGATCAGACTCTTGGTAAGATCATCCGACCTTGATCATGACTTTACACAGCTTTACACAGCTGGATTATATGAGCTTAGTGGCTGGTAATCGGACTAGAATGATCAAGATCAGCAATATAGGAGAGCAATACTGATTGCCGGGAAATGTGACACATTTTGTTTGATTTGAATTTGGATCCTGACCGAATAAAAACCTCAGTGAGGAACTGATTCATGGGTTTTGCTTGGTTTTGCAAGGTGACACATTGTCATTTTCCATGAAAAAAGTCAATGATTGTCAAATCAGCTGTGATCATGGTAATTTACCAGTGTTTTAAAGCTTTGAAAATATGTTGTAAGTATGATCACCAAGTTGTTTATGTTTTTTTCAAAGTTGATTTCCGTGAAGATATGTAAGCCAAGCTTGAATGGATTTGAAATGTGGATCTGCTTGGAATGCTCATCAAATTGTGATCATATGGCTTATCCACCTGTTTAAAATGTTTTACTTATCACCTGATGGTTGATTATTACACAAGTTTAGCTGTGAATGAAGCTATGTATGCGTATGTAGAAAGTTGCGAGTGTCTGTTTTCCGTTTTATAAACTCAACAAAGTGATTGTGAAGTTTGAACTGGTTGAGTAAGTATCGTGGTTGGTGCTCGATTAACTCAGTGGAATATGGTGAAGGATGGCTAAAAAGGGAAAGCACGGTAGGAAGAATTAAGATCAACGGACTACAAACCACCGTTTGTCCGAGCAACCACCAAATGGATTTGCGAATGAGGAAGATGATTCAACAAAAGTTTACCAAGACAATGAATCTACATAGTGTAAACTATTGTCTCTCAACTCCCAGTAGGATCGAAACTCTCCTTTCCATTCCTACTCATTCTCTCATCTTCCATCTCTTCATACACAACATCCATACACACCACCAACGGTCTCCCACATTGATCGTATTCTTCAGCGTTTCCGTGCTTGGGTTTCTTTTTTTTCTTCCTTAGAGCTATTTATAAAGTTTGCTCATAGAACTACGATTTATGGAACCTAATGCCGCTAATCAGAACAGAACAGTGGCAGAATGCCTTCTCAATTTATTGGAGAACTACGAACATTATGGAGGGTGCAACGCATACTCAATGTTGGCACTTAGGGCGGAATTCGCGGTCTATATTCCGTTCACGCACCCTGAGTTCCATCGACATTTTTCAGCCTTTGCTATACAAGCAGTGGAGATCGACAGACGCCATAATAGGTGGTGCTATCCCATCGGAGGGCCTGCGCCTCCCCAAGACATTCCTATCGAAAACCAAGTCCCTTACATCTTCCCACCTCTCCCTCCACAAACCCCTCATATGGGTAACACGCCTCAACTTGAGAATCGACAAGGTCAACAACAACAACAAGAACAACAAGACCAGTTCTGACAACAACAACAACCAGGTAGAGGTTTTAACAACCAAGACGCGCAACAGCAGGAGGGTAGATATCCCCAACCACCTGAACAACGCGAAGATAGAGATGACGAAGATAGAAGCAAAAGCAGATCAAAGAAGAACAAACGGAAGAGGAAAAGACGTTCTCGCCGTCACAGTTCTTCCGATAGTTCCAGTTCAGCAGACTCTGAATACGAATACTCGTTTGCGAAACGAAGAGATGAGAACGACAAAGATCTGGCTCAAGAATCTAAAGAAATTAGACGATATAGAGACGAATATCGCAGCAACACACTCAAAGATGCAGTGGATTCTTTCTGTTGGATCGGCGACAAACCCGCCGAGTTTCCCAGTGCTTTGGTTTGGGATCTGTTGCAGTACAACTACATCGAACTTGAAAAAATCAATGCAGGAGTCATCCCAGATTCTTCCGAACATGTTCACAAATCTACAGATAAGGATGCAGCAGCTAAGATCAAACCCCGCCAGTTCACTGAGTCTGGCGAGTGGAGGAATGCTCTCAGCCTGCTACGAAAAGCTCTTTCGGCAGCCTTTGTAAGTTTACATTTGTCAAAGTTTTTGGGTTCCTCTCATACCGCCATTTATATGAGCCAGATATCATTTAGCATCTCGCGTCATCTACACCCCCTCTTCTGATGAAGAAGCAGTTATACAGAAGAGTCATTATTGACGAATTATTTCTTATCCTCCTATCTACATTAATTCTATACATATACGCGAAACATGTTTCATATACATTTACCTACCCATTTACCGGTTTTCTTCGATCCCTCGGTGGAATACTTCAGCCGGCAGCTGCCCCTTCGTTCAAAAAATACACCAAGCATGTCAAATCTTTGGAAATCATATTCACCCGTAGGGTAGGTATCTAAAACTCTCTCTATATCTACTTATATCAGTTCGTGTGGCATGCCACGACGAGTGGTTAAAGCGGATGACGCGATAACTTTTTACTTATAATCCCAGATATGATAACAACATTTGTGGCTCTCCCACTGACGCTATGCTTGTTTAAATATATGCCCTCTAGGGAAACTGGCGAGATATCATACGCTACGACGCTGAAATGCGAAAGGTGTTCGCAGCAAGCAGACATCTTTCTTTCGCCGATTTCGATAGTCGGGAATTGGACCATGTCAAGGCTTTGGCATGGCCGAAAAGCGAGTCTAGACGCACCACCGGAGAAGTTTTCAGGCCTACCCAAGGCAGTTCTTCCAGACCTCTTCTCAGAGCTCCTTCCGAACGATCTCGTGCACCGCGCTCCCCCAAAGACGGTTTCAAGTTTAAGGACACGAGCCACCTCCCAAAGAACCAACAGATCTGCGGAGGATGGAACGTCAACAAATGCCCGGATCCGCCGACGTGTGGCAGGATACATGGTGTCTGCGACGTGCTTGGGTGCAACGACTCTCACAAAAGATGCTTCCACCCCAAATAAGCCACTCCCTTCATCATCTACGCGCTCCGAAGTTGATAGATTCAAGGACGACATCATCAGGGAGATGGCAGATAGAGAATACGGAACTAGGAAGTTCAAGCGAGGTTATGAATGGGAGTGGCCAGGTGCAACCGGATACTCGAATGCCATCGATTCCAGCTTGTGGGCGAGTCCTCTAGACGAACCCCCGCCTTTGTCAGTCGACACTAAAGCAGCCTTTGCTTTGAAGCAGTACAAAGAATTTTTCAAGATAGTATCTCCTATAGATGTCAATATGTTCGAATTTCTACTCAAGGACCACCCGAATCAACCGTTTGTAAAGTCGGTGGTTAGAGGCCTTCGACACGGCTTTTGGCCCATGAGCGAGCTGCCTTCGGACGATATCAGCTATACAAAGAACCACCAAGTTATTGAGATAACATTGCAATAGCCAACATCCCGATTAGGAAGTATAACCACCATTCCGAATTGGTCATGGTATCCAACAACTCCTAACTCCTTCTCTTCGTTATAGTCATATGTTTTATATTTGTCCCAAAGCAGTGAATGAGAGTCGCAATCCTGATGAGATATTATTAACCTATGTATCGGAAAGTTAGCTATATAAAAGACCGTTGTTTGCGTGCAGTAATTGTTTCCTGACTCAAACTCTTATCTTGTGTCTTTTTTCATTCCGTGCTACCTTCCAACAGGTGCATATCTCACTTTCATCACTCATTAGTGATAGTAGCCTCAGCGCTCTTTTGACATCACTAATTCGTGATCCTTTACCAGGTGCATATCTCACTTTCATCACTCATTAGTGATAGTAGCCTCAGCGCTCTTTTGACATCACTACTTCGTGATCCTTTACCAGTCACGCGCCCATTCCTTACTTTATTAGGTTATGAGCCCAGCCTATTCAACTTAATCAGTTTCAAGCGCTACCAGCTACTCTTATGAGCGACGGTCTATCTAAATCGACGCCTGCACCATCCACTCCATCTACCATCATCAACAACGATCACTCACACATTACTCAGGTAATGTCGAATCACCAAAACTCCTCCGAAGCCACGCATATTGCTCCTCTGGAGCAAGACTGGCAACGATGGCAACCTCTCATGCTCGCACACTTCATGGAAGGCGATCTTGACGCCATCGTCGACGGTACTGAAACGGAACCTGCTGAAGATGCAACTGCCGCTATCAAGCTCGACTATCAACGTCGGCGAAAGAAGGCTGCAGGTTTTATCTCCAGAAAACTTAGTCCTGAGAATAGAGCCCTAGTTATCAATGCTACTAACATCAAGGATCCCAAAGCAATTTGGGATGCTTTAGTTAAACTCTATGCTTCTACTAAAGCCAGAAACCGTGCTCGTATTCTTCGCAAGTTTCTCAATTTAAAATGTTCCGACAATTCACTTTCATCTTTTCTTTCCAAGTATCGTAAAATAACTCATGAGATGACTGAAGTCTCGTTCAAGATTGATGATGATATCCTAGCTCATATGCTTTTATACAAACTTTCACCTCGTTACCATTCAACTAGAGATTTATTGGCTCATTCAGCAGAGACTGCCGACACTCTTTTAACTTTAAATCAAGTCTTTGAGCATTTGCAACAGATTGTTCTCGATTATCAACCTAGTTCCACTCCTCCTCCTGCAGCTCTTGTAGCTGAACGACGCACTTCTAATTATCCTCGTTGTTCAAATGGAGTTCATAATCCTTTATCATCTCATGCTGAAGATCGTTGTTATCAAGCTCATCCTGAACTCAAGCCAGTCCGGAACATCAATCGCTCCAATAACAGCAGTTCAGCCAATGCAACCATTAGCGGTACGGTTCTCACTACTTACGTATTCAATGCTACACTTACCGGAAAACCTGTTCTTGACTCTGGCGCCTCGCAATCTATGTTCAGCTCTCGACTTTGCTTTACTGATTATAGACCTTGTCAAGCTACCATCCACGTCGCAAATGGACAACACATCAATGCCATTGGAACCGGAACTGTGTCAGGTACTCACGATGGAAAACTCGTATCATTCACGGATTGTCTCCATGTACCGCAACTTTCAACTAATCTGGTTAGTATGGTCGCCTTGGTTAGAAAAGGCTGTACATTCAACTTCAGTCCAGATGCTAGTTTCAATGTCGTTGTTGGCTCTGATGTGGTTCTCACTGGAGACACTAAGAGTGGAGTTATGGAAGTTAACTTCGACATGGGCAAGTCAACTTCACTCTCACTCACCGCTTCGACTCAAATTGACTCTGTCACTCTTCACAGGCGCCTAGGCCATCCTGGACGAGTCCCCTTGGAGAAAGCTTTTCCTGGAGCTATCCATCCTGATTCATGTGATCCTTGTATTCTCTCTAAACATCACCGTCTGCCATTTAAAAGTCATCTTCCCATCGCCTGTGATCGCCTATCTGTGTTATATAGTGATTTGAGTGGCCTAATTACTCCTCCTTCTCTTGGCGGCGGTAGATATTACTTTAAAATCACCGATCAAAAGTCCAATTATAAATTTGTTTATATTCTCAAAACCAAATGTCAAACCTTTTCATATTTTGTTCAATTTAAAGCCTTAGTTGAAAATCAAACCAATCTTAAAATCAAAACTCTTGTCAATGACAACGGCGGAGAATACACTTCAAAGCAGTTTACTGAGTTCATTAATCATGAAGGAATTCGAATGGACTTCACTGCTCCGTATACTCCTCAGCAGAATTCCATCTCTGAGCGAGGAAATCGCACAACTACTGAGAAGGCTAGAGCATTACTTAAACAAGCTAGTTTACCTCTTGTGTTCTGGGCAGAAGCCGTATCAACCTCAGTTTATCTCGAAAATCTAACTCCTTTTGCTAGAGATAATTTCGTCACTCCTTACGAAAACTGGTTTGGTAAACCACCTTCTCTCACTCACTTGCGTGTGTTTGGTTGCCTTGCTTATGTTCACGTTGGTAAAGAACGTCGAACAAGCAAATTTTCTGATGTGGCAAAGAAAGGAGTTCTCCTCGGGTATCAGGGGTCCATGCACAATTACCGTGTTTACCTTCTTGATGACCATCGTGTAGTATTTAGTCACGACGTAGTCTTCAATGAAAGTGTGTTTCTGTTTTCTGATCCTGTCATTCTCGCTGAGTTCGAAAAGAAGTTTGGTACTTTTGATGAACATTTTCTTGAAGACATTAATGAAGATTCAAGCTTTGAACAGCCACTTCCGCATTCACCAATTCACCCTCTAGCAGCTGATGAAGATCTATCCATTGCTAAATCTTCTCTGTCTGAACTTGATACCACTTCTTATTCTTCTGATTCCATTCTACCAAACAAACAACTAGTCGACTCTTTAAATGAACCTCAGCTTGAAGAAGAACCTCAGTGTGATGAAGAACCTCCGGTTGATGAAGATCCTCAAATCGAAGATGAGCATCAACAAGAAGACGAAAGTTCAGGTCGCCCTCATTTCTCCTACATCCCTGCAACTATCCCTGCACCCAAAGCTATCTCAAGTTCGATCGACCCATCGAACATCATCACCACCAGACGCCGAGCCAATCTTGCCGTCAGTTCTCTCACCTCAATGCGAAGAGCAAACCTAGCTAGTCAAGATTCAGAACCTCATTCGTATCGAGAAGCTATGTACCGACCAGATTCAGCCAAGTGGAAGGAGGCCATCTCAAAAGAACTGAACTCACTTATTGAAATGGGTGTCTTTACTGAGATGGAGCTCCCTGACAGTGCGCATGCTCTCGGCACGACTTGGGCGTTTCGAAGGAAGACGGACGAGAACGATGTAGTAATCAAGCACAAGGCTTGACTATGTGCGCAAGGGTTCTCTCAAATCCCTGGACTCGACTATAACAAGACCTATGCCCCTACCGGTCGTGCTGCAAGTATGCGTATTGCTCTAAGCATATGTGGAATTGATGATCTGGAACTCCGGCTTATGGACGCAGTTGGAGCTTTTCTCAATGGCATACCCGATGAAGTTCTCTACATTAAGATACCACAAGGTTATATTCCAAAGCTCACTGGTAAGAACATTGTTCTTCTTTTAAATCGTTCACTGTATGGCCTCAAACAGTCTCCTCGGTGTTGGTACAATATGGTCAAATCCTTCTTCTCAACAATCAATTTCACTCCTTCCAAGTCAGATCCGTGTCTCTTTATCTCAAACGATCCTTCGTGGCGTTGCTTTGTTCATGTACATGTCGATGACATGCTGATTATGGGCAAGAACACCGATTGTTTCTCTAAACTTATTCAGTCACGCTTCAAGATGGAAGATATGGGTGTATGTTCATTTTACTTAGGTATGCGTCTAGAACGAGATCATCTTGCACGCACTATCACTCTCACTCAGGACAAGTACATACTCAATATGCTTGACGAGTACGGAATGAAGGATTGTCACCCAGTTTCAACCCCTATGATTCCTGGAACCTATCTCACTCCGGCTTCCGATGAAGAACACCAGCAGTTTTTATCAACTGGAATCAACTATAATCGAGCGGTTGGTCTTCTCAACTACTTAGTTCTGTGTACTAGACCTGATTTGGCATTCACGGCCGGACAGCTTGCTCAGCATCTCAAGAAGCCTGGTCCTGAACACTGGGCGGCCTTCAAGCGTGTACTTCGTTATCTTCAAGGTACTTATCAAGACGGGTTGGTATTAGGTGGTGGAACGTTGGAATTAAAGGTGTTTGCTGATTCAGATTATGCAGGATGTCCAGCAACTCGACGCTCAACATCTGGCTACATCTCAAAGGTAGGTAATGGTTGTGTGAGTTGGCGTTCTAGGAAGCAGCCATCGGTATCCACTTCATCAACAGAGGCGGAGTACCGTGCTGCATATGAAGCTGCTCAAGAAACGGTTTGGTCAAGGCGGATTTTAAATGACTTAGGAAGTACTCAATCAGGTGGTACGCCGTTTCTCTGTGACAATCAAAGCTCCCTCGCATTGCAGAAGAATCCTCTCTTTAAGGATCGATCAAAGCACTTTGGAGTTCATCTACACTGGATCAGGGAGCAAGTCGAGGCCAACATCATCAAAGCAACCTACATACCCACAAAGGAAATGCTGGCCGACGTGTGTACAAAGTCACTTCCTCGTCCACAACATGAGTATCTTAGAAGTTTAATTAGATCTTAGGATGTTTGCGATTGAGGGGGGGTATTGAGATAACATTGCAATAGCCAACATCCCGATTAGGAAGTATAACCACCATTCCGAATTGGTCATGGTATCCAACAACTCCTAACTCCTTCTCTTCGTTATAGTCATATGTTTTATATTTGTCCCAAAGCAGTGAATGAGAGTCGCAATCCTGATGAGATATTATTAACCTATGTATCGGAAAGTTAGCTATATAAAAGACCGTTGTTTGCGTGCAGTAATTGTTTCCTGACTCAAACTCTTATCTTGTGTCTTTTTTCATTCCGTGCTACCTTACAACAGGTGCATATCTCACTTTCATCACTCATTAGTGATAGTAGCCTCAGCGCTCTTTTGACATCACTAATTCGTGATCCTTTACCAGGTGCATATCTCACTTTCATCACTCATTAGTGATAGTAGCCTCAGCGCTCTTTTGACATCACTAATTCGTGATCCTTTACCAGTCACGCGCCCATTCCTTACTTTATTACAAGTCTGCGACCAGGCGCCGGAACTCTTAACGGCGGCTTGCGCCGAGGAAGTCAAAGCTGGCAGGTACTCACACGGCTTCCACACCCTGCTACCCGGCATGAAGGTGTCCCCCCTGCTCCTAGTGTCCAAGAAAGGTTCAGCCAAGATGCGTGTATGCACCGATATGAGCTATGGCAAGCCAGCTCTGAACGACCACATCATCAAAGACAAAGTCAGGGTATCTTTCGATTCGCTTATATCATTCGCCCCGTACATGGTGGAATTGGCGAAAAAAGGAGTGCCGTTGGTTTTATGGAAATCTGACGTTCAGAACGCCTATCGGATTCTAGCGATGGCCCTTGCTTGGCAATTGCGGCAAATAGTCTGCATCGATAACCTGTTTCATGTAGATCGTTGCGCAAATTTCGGGTCAGCTGCTTCTCCCAAGATATGGTGCTCTTTCTTCTCCTTGGTTCTTTGGATTGCAAGAACTCGTTTTGGCATTTCACGCATGAACAATCTCATGGACGACACTTGGGGCGTCAGTCCGTTGTATTCTATGGTAGATTTTAGAGGACACAAGGTCCCTCTAGACCAAGCAAAACTCTTGCTTCTGTTCGACTTACTGAACATTCCTTGGGAATGGAAGAAACAAATTCAAGGCATCGATATAGAAATCATAGGCCATTTTGTGCGTGCAAAAGAGCTCTCATTTTCCTTGCCAGACGACAAGAAGGCAGATCTAGTTCGAGCGTTACGCGAATTTACCTTAACGAAAAAGAAGACTCTACGTGAATGGCAGTCTATTCTAGGGTGGGCTTCCTGGGGTCTCAATTCTTTCCCAATGGGACGTTGGGCGCTTCAGTCGTCTTGGGAGAAAATCAGCGGCAAGGAATACAAGTCATTAGTTGTTCCGCACAACAAGACAATACAGTTAGATTTCAAATGGCTGGCTGATCACTTGGAGCGTTCTCCGGGAAATTTCTTTCTATCCGCTTCCATCTGGTCAATTCGAGATGCTGACTTTCTATGCACCGCCGACGCGTGCCCGGAAGGGTTGGGTATTTGGCTTCCTAACTCGATCGAGGGCTTTCATTTCAAATTTCCTTTACCGTTGCGCGACATATACTGGGCAGAACTAGCTGCCACCTCTCACGCGATCCTGATCGGTCTGGCACGGGGTGCAAAGAAGCTTTTCATTTGTTCCGACTCTTCTAATGTGTGCGACCTTTTCCTCTCACATCGTCCGATCGAGAAAGTTCGACCCCTATTCTCTGCGATCATTACCCTCATTCTCAGGGCAGAGGCAGACGTGCGGGTTTGCCATCTGGCAGGTGTCAAAAACGTGTTCGCAGACGCTCTGTCGAGGAACGAGATCAGCGATGTTCGCAAACTCATAAGTAGCGCCGTCGTCTCGCCTCTAGACGCTTTCACCTCACTTCCGGACGGCGGTTTCAAGCCCGCTAGTGTTTAAATTATGTCTTCGCCTTCTAAAGCTGATCTTCTGCTCGCCATCTCTAAGGCGGACGCTGATCAAGCTCTCGCGGCCACCACCAAGGCTAAATATCGTTGCGCTATCATTTCCTTTTTGAATTTTTGTCACTCTCAGTCACTTGCGCCTGTTCCTTCAAAGGAGCTTCTCATGTCCTACGTTTCTTTCTCATGTCGCCGCATTAGTCCTCGCACAGGTCAGCGTGTCTCACCAAGAACTGTAGAGGCCTATCTATCCGGCATTGCGTCCGCTTTCAGTCCTACTTTTCCTCGCATCACCGACTTCACCAACAGCAAAGAAGTCCGAGACGTGATGAAAGGGTGTAAAAGACAATTTTCATCCCCGGTCCTCCGTAAAGAACCTTTAACGCTCCAGGACCTGTCCTTAGTCCACTCCTCCACTCCCCAACATTTCGATTCGGTCCTTTTCCTCGCCATGATCACCATTGGCTTCCATGGTCTCCACCGTCTGGGAGAACTGGCCGTTCCAGATAACTCTCGTCTCCAGGATGACCGGAAGGTTATCAAGCGTACATCGTTGGTAGTATCACAATGCGGTGGTTTCTTCAGATACACTCTTCCGTACAATAAGAGCGACCCATTTTTTCTCGGTTGATCAGTCATCCTCAGCAAATGCAATGTCGCGGGCGCATGCCCGGTACAATCTCTTTTAGACTATCTCAAGTTCCGCGACCATTTCTTCCTCATCTCACCGTTCCTGTTCATCACCAGTAAGGGCAAACACCCGACGAGGTCTTGGTTCTTGCGCCATTTCCGGAAATTCTTTTCGAGAGAGAAATCCGGGCACTCGATGCGCTCAGGAGGTGCTTCCGCTTTAGCCCGTGCCGGTTTACCTTTGGACTATATACAAGATGTGGGCCGATGGTCTAGCGAGGCATTTAAAACCTATATACGCGACCATCCGATTATGTGATTACCACTTCAGCGGCAATTTCCTTTGTCCACTAACAGCCATTTGGGTGCCGAAGTCCATTTTGGTCCAGCCGCTGCAGCAGCTTTCTGACCGAGTAAGCCATGTATATTATTTTTTTTAGAACCCTCTATATGCCTCCTTCCTCGGACGCCTAAGTGTCTCTTAGGTCCACTCCCGATGGGAGAGTTTTCGGGAGCACCGAAGAACCGGGGGAAAGTTGCTGAGAATGTGAGAATGAGAATTTTATGAGAATATGAGAATACCGAATTTCAAGTTAAGCATACTTACATGTCGTACACATATGCTGAAAACGGGGGGGTGTAAGTCCAAAACCTTAACGTACAGCCTGCCCTCCGAGACCTTTCACAGCCTCACCAATTCCTCAGCGCCCCTTGTTTCATGCAAATTTTTTCCTCCAAAATTTTTTTTCGCATACTACTCGATATCTAATGCGCCAACCCCAATATGAATATGCCCACGCTGTTATCATCCTCCAGCTCATTCAGGCCATCCAACCCTCAAAGTCAAAAACTTGGAATCGCGATAGGATGGTTCCAACCCTCATAACCGCCTCTTACGTGATGGTCGACCCTCACCCTCACGCTCAGCTACCAGTACCTCGACTCGATGGTCTTGTCGGTCTAAGGTGCCCCGTGTGCTTCACCCCGTTGGTTTACAAGCGTGCCAATAAGGATTCGTGGCTGATCGGAGTGAGTGACGTCGATGTATCTCTCAGATAGTTCTCACATTCCGCCTGGACACTGATATGATCTTCCTCAACGACCAGTGCCCAACACCGTCAAACTCGCACAACTGGAAAACTTGGAGATGTGACCAACTGAACCACGAGATCGCCTTGATCAACCTTGGCGCGCCTAGGCCTATCATCTCGAACATGACCGAATGGGGTCCCCGGGTGTCACCGTATGGTCAGATTCTAGAGGACACACCGGCCGCGTCATCAGCTGCGTATAATCCCTATCCCAGCTCTTGATTGGCCCATTCATCCCCTACCCCGATGCCACACTCTAAACCGATCTTGCAGTGCAAAAGGATGTTGGAAGGCGCCAAGTCTCAAAATCACAAAAATGCCGCCAACAAAGATTGTTTCTCACAATTCTGTCGGGGTGTAAGACAATTTCCTTTCTATATATGTAACGAATGTCCATACTCTTAGCCTGACATCGGTTGTTTCTATACTTCAAAGTGCTGTGTCGATTTTGGTTCACCACTTTGCCGAGGACACTTGCCAATAATCAACCCCACATTGAGCTGAACCAACCACACCACCTCCTAACGCACGCCAGCAGCACCCAGGCCCCCAATGCGATCTTGTCCAAGGGCCCTGCTTCCCAAGCGCGTCCACATCAGTGGGCGCAATCATCAAATTCCCTTGGTCGTCGGCTTGACGTGAATACTCATGCGATGCTCCAGCAAAATCGCGCCCAGCGGGACCAAGCTGCGACTCGGCATTCCATCAATCTCATCGATGAGAGAAAGATGGTAACTCTCTACTTATGGGTCGATGTAAGATTTTTTTCCATATATAATCTGCAATCAGAATGTTCCTCTGATCGCTTTGTACTGTTCCAGGAAACCGAAGCGCGCCCAATCACTGCACTGTTCCCTCAGTGGCCCACAGCTTGCCTGGACCAAAGTCCACTTTTGGTCCAGGCCGTAGTGAAAGTAGTTGGCCCCCAGTGGAATCAAGCGCTCACCGTTTGGGACACAGAGCTATATGCTTGGGTGAGTCCGGTTTATGCGATCCCGCCTCATGTTACAATCCAAGCTGATTCTGTTCACCGCGCAGCGGGAAACCCTTGTAACATATCCTCATCGTTACCAGAGCCATCTTCGCAGCTTGGTGGTGCGTCTGGCAAACGTGACAGTACCTCTCTCAGCAATACCCGAGGCCTTGCGCCCCCCTCCCCATGGCACAACTACCACACCACTGCCGCCTGATGCTTTCCGATCAACCGCCGAACTGCCTCCAATTTGCGATATGCCTTCTTCCCCATTCAGCGCTAACCAAGCTGAAACTAATGGTTCTTTGCCTTCGGAAGATCACTTACTTCCAAACTCCTCACCTGATATGAAAATCCAAAGTCAGACCGGCAGTGAGCTGCAAGCACCCGATGATAAGAGCGACCGTTCGAGCGAATCCTCACCGAAAAGGCCAACTGCAATGACTGTAATTGATATTTCACAGTCACCGGACCTTCCTTCAAATAAAGACAGTGATGTTGAAGACTCAGCCACCCCCAGTGTGTAAGTATTTTCTTCAAGTTGAACCGGCTTACAAGCTCTATTTCTGACTGATTTTTCCAGCTCCCTGAAAAAACGTTGGCCAGGATCCAAGCTCCCGGTGTCCATCCTGCTTGCGTGGTACAAGGAGACCGCCCCAGGTAATGTCCAGCAAAAATGGTCAGAACGATTTGGTCGGCAATGGCGGTTGTGCCTTTCAACCGTTTACCGATATCATCTTTGGATCGCGGAGGTGGACCACGAAGTTATGGAGACACAGTTCCGATCTCAACCAAAAGCGACTATAGGAGACGCTCGTAACCTTTACCAACAAGAATTCAAAAGAGTTGCAAGGCTCAGCAAGCAAGCGTCATAATGTCCTCTGGTATGCATGTCTTGATTCATTTTTGTTTGGGTGAGCTTGCTATTCGATACTGAAACCCTCTGTATCTATTGGTAATTAAGGGTTTTACTTTCAGGGTTTCACTTCTACATACCCTCATCGAATCATGTTTATTTTGTTTTAAAACACGCATGTGTCCAATGTTCAGGTCCAGGGGGAACTGATCTAATCTTTACTTACTGACCTGTACGGCCATGAGTCCCATCTCTGATTAAATTCATTTTGTAGTTGAAGGGCTTTGAAATGCATGGCCACTCACGCCTTGGCGCCTTGCAAAAATTGATTGCTTCATGTTTTGACGCACACCGCGGTAAGCCAAGCCGAGTACCTTACATGGTGTGCCACGCTGAAAATTTTGACTCAAAAGGGGCTCAGGTCAGGTGAAAGCGATCATCGTTCCTTTGATTCTTTCCCACCTTTTTTACTTTTTCTACACTTCCCTTTCAATTTTCTTTGTGATTATCATTCACCTCTTTCTGCTCTTCCTGTCATGCTCTTTAACATACCGAACAACCGCCCGATGGCGGTGACTACCATGACTCGGTTGGACTATGGCCATGCGCCTTATCTCACCCAAAGTCTCTCCGACCGCAGCAAAAGGGCCGTTAAACGTCAGTCATGGCCTATTTATCCTGCCCTTATACCACGTCCTATCTAACTTCCCGCGATTCCAGGTCACTTCTTGACGACCCACTCAACCAGGAATACTGGCTGCCATGGCGTATTCGGTGGTGCGTCATCATTGCCATGACTTGTTGGCCACCAAACACTGACCCCCGATTTCCCAACTCAGTGCCAGTTCTTCCACCCATAGTTGCGAACAACAATATACGTGGTGCGCTTGGTGCCCAAGCTCTCAACCTGCCATTGATTCCCAAAAAAAGCGATGCCATGGTAACTCTCCGCCAGGACGTACATACCCAGCACTTTCATTACGATTCCAACCATGTCAAGGTCATCATGGGGCCCACCATAGTCAATTCTTGGGACTACTCAACGTACTCTGCCCAAATGGATTGCCCCGGTGGACACCTCGACATTGAATTACGTGAAATGACTGCTGACCCCGATGTTACCCCCGCTGAATCTGCTGGCCAATACCAGCGGCTCGTTCAGCAGGATTATTACGCCGCTACCCTGTTGGAACTGTTCAAGAACAAGATGAAGAGGCACGCGCCTCACCTTACCGTTCCGGAGGCCAACCTTGTGGCAATGACTCGGGTACGTCTCCAAAGTGGTTCTTTCTGAAAGCGCCCACATTGGCTGATATGGTTTATTGCTTCAGTTTGTCAAAAGCCATGTCCTATGCCGCCGTGACGCAAACACTCGTAATGATAAGACTTACCTGTTGCAAGCCCCAATCAATGTTCTCCACCTGCGCACCGCCACTTCAACAACCAGCTTTGAACCTCCAGAGCATGAAGGCAACAGTCCCATGGAAGATTTCTTGTATGCCTTTACACACTTTACGTATGAACACCACAATCGCCGCGCTCTACTGTATGGATTCCAAGCCACTGAAAACACCATATATTCGTCAGTCCTGCTGGATAGAGAGTATGTGTCCGTTCTTACTATATAAATAAGATCTTTCATTTCGTTCATGAGTCTAAACTACACCCTTTGGTTAGTTTCAAATGGCATGCAGAACGATCCTCGACCCCCCTAAAGTATTTTGCAGAAGAGCATGAATGTCATAGCCTTTGCAAGCGACTGGGGCTTAAAGCGCCTGTGTTACCTTGGTAAGCAGTGTCACCTGCAAGCGCTTTTGGTACGCTGCTATACATCAAACACCGTATGATACATTTTGCGTTTAAGGTGCTCATGTCGATGAGCTTTGTTTGATTGATAGCGTTTCAATTCAATGTGTCCTGATTCTGCGTATTCTGTCTCTTGAGCATCAATGGCTTGCACATACAGTAGTGTTACTGATCATTACCCCCGCGACCTTTTTTTTTCTCAAGGAGTTTGATGTGTGCTTTGTGTATCTTTGTTGTTTTTCTGTCTCTTCCAACTTGGTTCGTAGCAAATTACATCTGCCACCCCTGGCATACCTTACACTCATTTAACAAATCAAATTGGTGCCCATTTCTAACTTGCCACTTGCCTACCTACCTTCAAGTATGAATAGCAAGATGATATAAAACTAAACAAATTTTATAAGTTTTTGATTACTTTAAATGTAATCAAGAAGTTATCAAGATCCAGATCTATAAAATTTTATTCAAGTCAAAATTGCATTAAATTGCATTGCCATTCAAGTTAAGTTAGGTCTGTCAAACTGCCACTCTCAAACACCATTCCTAGGTAATGAGACAAGGTGATGTAGTAAAAAAACCAAAAGTGGAGCATACTTCAAGTTATGCAGATGCTATCCATAACACTCTGGAGACATTGAACTGATGTGGTCTGAGGCAAGCCAACAGTGGCTCCAGTTTTCCTTTCAGTGCAAATACTCCAAGCATGGGATTTGAACCCATGCACACTTTGATTGATTGGCTGAAGAGTCTATACCACTAGCACTGCGGGAAATTCGCTGGCGTGAGCCTGGCTCGCGCCACCGTGACGTGAGCCACGGGTTGGCCCCGGTCTGAAGCCAACCAAAATTCACACCAACGTCTGACGTAAGCCATTGGTTCGTTGAAGACATCCAGCTGGTTGACGTACGCCATCGACTACAGATTCATCCAATCCTCCGCTCGTCCAATCAAGCTGATCATCCCACCCCCATAGCCCTTGATCTGGATTGTTCTCTGTTGGATACCAAAACATGGTTTTGGAGTCTCTGCACTGGTATCTCTTTGTTTTCAAAATCCATAGTAACTCACAGAAACCTAAACATCATTGAAAGAGAAATCCATTACATAATTTGAAAGAAAGCTTGAAACAATCACATCCTACATTTACAAAAAACGAGATACTATAGAGAATTGGTTGTTTGCTATATCCAAAATATAACGGAGCAAAAATAGTCAATCAATCGATTCATGCATCTCAAATCGCTGATTTGTCTCTTGCTGTACCTCTTAATTTAACACAATCCTTTTAGAACCAATCTGAACATGAAAGCAGCCCAAATATCTCGGAATCGATTCAAAACATGCCTGGATATGAAGAACAAAGTCATCGATTTCTATTTCAAACAATCTCAATCATTTGAATGAAATGATCCTACTTGAATTTCACCATTGATGCGCGCTAGAATGATGAAGTCAATCAAAAAGGCAACACGAGGATGCCTACTGCCAGATTACTGACAGTAGCTTCAGTTTGAATATATGTAATCTCAAATATCGTTTATAGATGTATGCTATGAACTCAAACAAATTAATCTTGCAAGTGAGAGAAAAAGATAATACATCCGTACAAATGAGCTCATTGATAAAAATTGATGAAGTCAAAAAAGAGCCTCAAGCAGTGAACATTCGATCAAACAAATACATAAATTACAGAATGTATATTACTTTGCATTCATTCTCATTCAATCGTTCATCCAGTTTTCTGGAAGATTTTGTTAAAATTTCTGGATAGAAGTGATCATTGACACTGTCTTCATCATTAAGAAATCCATTGATTTCTTCTTCTTGATCTTTTTCAACTTGAGCAGATTTACCAAGTGTTGATTTAAGCCTAGGGTGAAAGAAATCTTCTAAGCTTGAGTCAGAGAATTTAGGTAATGGTAATGGTGCTGATGGTAAGTTTTGGATAAGTTGATGAGAATCAGATGGTTGTGAGACATTTAAACCATCTGAAATCAATCCCATGCTCCGGTCAGTGAATTTGATCGCAGGCATTGTATGTCGAAAAAATGGATGTGGTTGAGTAGGTTGCGGAATTGCCTGAGGATTTGATTCGCAATTCAGAGGTAGTTTTCTAGGCATTGAATCAAGTTGAGATGAATGTGGTTCAGGACAAGAGCTTGTGACATTTCTTGAGGATGACCCATGACTCGGATTCAGATTTTTAGATTTAGGCATTGAGTTTTGAAAAATCAATGTGGTTGAGGAGCTTGTGAGATCTCTTGAGAATTTAATTCACGGTTCGGATTGGTGAAACTGAGTGGTTTTGATTGTTGGAAAAATACAATGAGGTCCAGGAGCCAAGTTTGCTGGGTGGCATAGGAAGTGATGAAGATAAAGATCAAAAAGTGGATGTGAACGAATGAGTGGCAGTCGTCAAGGCTGTCCTCAACCGACCAATGGCTGACGTCAGGCGTCGGTATAAATTCTGGTTGGCTTCAGACCGGGGCCAACCCGTGGCTCACGTCACGGTGGCGCGAGCCGGGCTCACGCCCAGCGAATTTCCCGCAGTGTAGACTATGGCCACTTGGAATCCCCAGGGCTCCCGGGGTTATGGCGGATGACGGAAACATGGCTAGACCAAGTTTGCAAATAACCAAATGATCCACCAATGGATCATTGGGTGCTTGTGTCCCCTCTTTTTGGTCCCCTCACACAGAGGGGACAACACATGGTTGTCTCCTCTGTGTGAGGGGACAATTAACATAAGGCTTCCATCACAAATATACAAACATCAATGCCAATGAGAAGCTTTGAAATAAATTGACAAAGCATCAGGCATTGATGTTTGACAAAATGATGTCCAAGATCAATCATTTGTCACCAAAGCCAAAGGAGTGGCATCCACCAGGCCAACCTGACTGAAGCTGCAATCAATCATCAAAATGACAAATTGTCTGGGGAGACCATTTTGCTGGCCGAGTCTTGTGTTTGCTCTTGAACACTGTTTATGTGTTTAAGAGAAAACACCAGACTCCTTCTTGGAATCTTGTGAAACCTTGATAAACAAGTTCCAACCAAGAGCCTCTCAGACTGAAATAATGTATCAAGAATGGAAGTCTGACTGATGATTGCCATTACCATAGGTGACCCATATCCCTTCACATTTGGTTTGGCTCCCGTTTGTCCACACACCCAGTTGAATTCCTTTCACCCACCATGATGCTGGTTGGGATTGATGATGTATGTGGACCCAATCATCCCTGCCCAAATGAGGTAGAGAGCACACCTCCTTTGATGAAGACTTACTTGTGTGTAATTTTTTATGTCTGAACGTGAAAGGAATGGGTTTGTAACTGGCTTTGATGAGAGTCATCGCATCACAGTGCGCTCTCATCCAACCACAACATCACTGTGATGATTCTCAGATAAGGATAAGGAGACAGTAAACATTGGAGTCACATTTTGCATGCCATTGTGTGTTCACGTGGTTCTGATGAGACATAATTTACATCCAAGCATATTTGGAAACTACATTTGGTAGTTTCAGTGGTCCCCAGCGATTTGTAGCAAACATGGTAGGTATTTGGTTGTGGAGACCCAAATACCCAAACCCCAGGGAAATATTGAGAGATCACTCATTTTCAGTTCCTTGGTTTGGTGGGCAGATTGTTTAGTTAGGTAGGTGGTGTGCATCTCTATCAATTCTCTGATATTCACAAGAATTCAGTCAAGATATTAAAAGGTAATGAGTCAAACATAACAAATATGCAAGCAGGTGATATTCACATGAACTCACCAAAGTTCAATCAAGTGAACTTTGTGTTCATCTTTTAGGTAGTGGTCTTCATATGAACTCACCAAAGTTCATGGAAGTAAACTCTTTGTTCATCTTTTAGAAGGTGGTATGGTATTGGTATTCACATGAACTCACCAAAGTTTGAAGTAAACTCTTTGTTCATCTTTAGTGGTATTCACATGAACTCACCAAACAAAGTTCATGGAAGTGAACTCTTTGTTCATGTTGTGGGTAGTGGTTTTGTACATGAACTCACCAAAGTACAAAAAACCAAGTGAACTCTTTGCTCATCGTTTTTTGAACTTTGGTGGGTGGTATTCAACTCACCAAATTGCATGGAAGTATGGTGAGTTCATCTTTTAGGTAGTGGTATTCACATGAACTCACCAACCAAAGTTCATGGAAAGCAAGTGAACTCTTTGTTCATCTTTTGGGTAGTGGGATTTTCACATGAACTGACCAAAGTACAAACAACCAAGTGAACTCTTTGTTCAACTTTGAGGTTGCAGCCTTTAAAGCATGCCATTTTCATACATATGCGGCTAATGATGAAAAAGAATGACAGTTACTCTCATATGTATATACATGGCAACTCATCTTAACAATTGCAGTCAGGTTTGGCATACCATTGTGTGTCCTATTTTCTCTTGATGACATTCTTTTACTTGAATAATGTACATCAAGAATAGAAAGAACCAAGCTTTTCAGCATGCCACACTTCATGTTTTTCAAACACTATCTTGTCAATACAGTGTTTGACATTTTCATATGTGGCAGAGCATGAATCTCTCATGTATTTGGAATTCATATTTCAGGATGAAGAACAGCAAGATGGTGGGGCTTCCACGGAAAGTTGAGTTGCAGTCCAAAACAATAGGCCAAGAGCAAAGAGCAAAGAGGATGACATGTATTCATTAATTATTGGCCAGACAATTTCCTATTTTGTCAAACATTGGACGTTGATGTCCTCCTGTTGGATAACTCGCAAAAGAAAACTACAAGACACCCTCCCCAAGATACTCCATTCCAGATCTTTTGTCCAGTTTTTTTGTCAGCCAAGCATTCCTCAGATACACCATCTCTTCCAAAAAGAAGTTATAGACTAGTGAATGCATGTTCCGACACATGGAGGCAAACCCACCATACCATATGTTCGTCAATTCGGCAGCTGAAGCGTTGAAGATCCATCGTCCCTCTTCTTGGATATCTGGAAACAGCTTGGGGTCAGTGAATAGCTTGCAAAACTCGTCGGACTCGGCGTGCGAGCGGTGGTGGAAGGGATCCACAGGGATCACCGTTCCCGCCCACCGGGATGCGTCCGACTGGCCTGCGTAGATGTGTTCGGTCAACCTGCATGCGTTGTCATAAAAGACAACCTCTGGCATACGTTGAGGAAAAGATTCTTCCACAAAGTCCTGTGGTTGGTTAGAGATAGAAGACATGGTGAGCACATGAGCACATGTTAGGGAAGAAGTGATTGATCAGTGAACTACCTACCTTTACTGCACTCACGGATTCCGCATTGTAGAAGGTCTTTCTGGCTAATATAATTCCGCATGGTGCAACAATCAGCTGATCGTTGTGCGTTCGGCTTCTTGATAATAAGTATTTCCCTGCCGCCTGTGACTCGCCCCCATCGCGCGCCGCTTCGTGTGCTCGTTGCGACTCATCTGTGTGCTGTAAAACCTCTAGGTTCAGAATCTGCGCAGTGTCGGCATCAAGATGGACAGTCGGGTCGGTAGGAAGGTGTGAGCCTGGTCGATTGAGAATCGACGTGAGAGAAAAGTTCCCTTTGATTTTTTTGTTGAACGCCGCCCAGGCCTTGATGTGATCAACATCTTCACATGTCTCTGAACCAGTAATTGCGGCCTTTGAACACGGCTGAGCTCGACATTGATTGCCCAGTATCACGAAATGATCTCGGCAGAAACGGTCATTGATGTTATCAAGTTTGTTGGTACAAGGTCCTTCGGGCATTGGGTGGCCTAGTTTAAGAGCAATCTCTCGCAGTTGGTCAGACGAGGCGCTACAGCGCCAGTGTCCAATCGTCAGGCCATCCGTGACCACGGCCCGTATAGCTGAGATGGCAATCATAACATGTCAGACAAAAATGTGTTGTTAGGAAAAGATCGAAATGGAACTTACATTTAATATACTCTTGGCCAGTTTCACTATCTACACCATCTGATTTCACACGGACACAACTAGAACAAAAGTGGTCTCTATACTTTGTTCCTTCTATCAACAAGAGGTCAAGGTGAGATTCTATTGCCGACTCAAAACGTATGTTGTCCACACCGCTTGAGCTGACCACCAGCTGAGTACCGCGACGGTCCGCGTGCTTCATCAGAGAATGAAGGGTCAGACCATGCCGACACGCTTCCTCGGACATCGACGGAGTAAACAGTTGGCCAGCGGTGAAAGTCGGAGCAGGTGTATCTTCTACAAACATCATGTTGTACCAGTTGACCAGGTTGAAATGCGACACACTGTCCATACCACGTAATAGCAGTTAGTTTGGAACTGTGACAGCAACATAAGTGGAAGAACTTACTGTGCCAACATTTGGAGGACACGGAACATGTAGGCTAATCGACGAGACATGTAATAGTGACATAGTACATGAAGGTAATCGTCTTCTCGGCCCATGGCCTTCGTGTAATAAAGTCTTTCGCCGTCTCGGTTGTAATAGCTGGGTCTATATACTGTCCCACATTTGGGATCTGATGCATCGCGAAATAGTCAGTAATTGAATCGACTGTTGCGGCAAAATAAGCAAACTTAACTGGAGCAATTCAGAATGACAGTCTGAACCGTGTGCACGCCATCGATATCGTGCAGGTAGCCGTTTATGCGAGAGTGGACGTGTAACACATATGACTGGTCTGGTGTGCAGACAATACATTTTGAAAGTGGTGAGCGTAGGAATTGTTCATGCATGTTTGTGTTTGTGGTGCCGGGTGAGGACAGTTGGATGCCGAGTTCGCGGATGGAAGCTCCTGGGTCGATTCGGCACGCGCGCAGAAATGGGAATGATAGGTGCCATAGATCGGCCAAAAGATGATTCGCGGTTGGTTGCATTGATAAAGCAGATTGAAGAAAGGGTAAGACAGGGTTTCAATTGGGTGATAGACGTAAGGATTTCCCGGCGCGGTGGTGGACTTCGCCTGCCAGGGTTGCAAATCGGACGAAATCGGCGACGGTAAGTGAGGTCGAGAGGGAAGGAGACTGGTTGTCGAGTAGGGTGGTGAAGTCACGAACGAGCATGGTAGTGAGCAATTGGGTGAACGCCTATTTTAAAAGAGTTCGAATGATCATTAGTGAGTAGTAAGAATGCAGAATGGAGGGGAAGAAGGCGAAGATATGTGACTCATTAAGCTGAGTCGTTACACAGATCAATTCTTACCGGGTGGGTAGGGATGTGGATGTGTGGATGTATGTTTAACTGGATCGAACGGTGGAGGTCATCATCGTTGATGTAGTTGAGGTGGAGAGTGTAAGGAGTAAGGTTCCCGAATCGGGGTGAATGGAGATGTCACCTGTTGGAAACCACTCGACCCACCATCCGGCCCCCGGCTATCTGAGTTCCGATTTAATGGAAACCCATATATCATGGGAATGTGGGGGATTCTCAGAGTTCTCAGAGCGTTCTCAGGGGTCCCCCCGCTTCTTCGGTTTACCGTAAACTCAACTAAGTCCCTCGCTGAGTCTCGCACGCTTCGAGCGCAGCGAGGGACTTATGACTCCCAAGCACATTTTTGCCTGTGAGGGAAATGAAATTTGGCAGGGAAAAACTTCTCTCCTTATGAAACGTTTTCCCCTATTTGTGAAATTTCTTGGTCCAAAGAATTTTTTTCTTCGCCTACCTGAGCCGCTTCAACCTGAGCCCCGACCCGAAAAACGCGGGTAATGGCCATCCCGCACCCCGAACTGATAGACAATGAGCCATCCCGCACCCGAACCGTACCCCGAACCGAACAAAACCCGGCTCCCAAGACGTACCCCGCGCCCGAACCCGACTACTCGACGGGGCCCCGTCGGGGCACGCCCAAAGTCTACCTTCCGACCTCGGAAGTTAGACTTTGATCCTTCTTCAAACCCTCAACCACCCACTCCCCATCGATCCTATGCAACATGGCTCAAACTGAGCCACGTCCACCCACTCCCCATCGATCCTATGCAACATGGCTCAAACTGAGCCACGTGTTGCATCTCAAGCCTCCACTCGCGCTTCCACCCCAGCTACCTCGAGTCGTCCAGATACCACCGATGCCGACGATGGCGACACCTCATCAGTGGCCACACAAACCGTCAAACGCAAGCGTTCGAGCTACGTTTGGACTCACTTTGTCAAGATCCCAGGTGCTAAAAGAGGAGACGGCTTTAATCGTTGTGAAGTTATCGATCCGAAGACTGGCAAAAGCTGTGGCCTGAAATTGAAAGAAGACTCGACCGGAAGTACCAAGTCGATGAGTAATCACTTGAAGTCTCAACATAAACTATTCGAGGATGGTCCAGCACCAAAGAAGCAACTGAGTGTTATTGGACACTTCAAGCAAAGCACTATAGGTGAACAGGTGAGGTTTTTCATTCGATATCATCACTTCATCTTCACATTATTCAAACTCGTTTCTCTCTTTCTTTACTTTGTACTTACAGGAAACCCTCAACGTGGAGACTCTCAAGACCTTGATCGCCTATTTCCTCGCCGACTGTGATCTTCCATATGCAATTGTCAACCGAAAGTCATTCAAGGACCTCCTTCTACTCATAAACCCTCAAACTAGGGGAATGCTTGTGCAACGACACGCGATAGCTCAGCACTGTACTAAAGTATATACACACTATGAGAAATTCATCAAGTCTACGTTTTTCGATCAAGCGG